TTGGGTCGTTTCGCTCGACGCCCCAGTCCATGTTTATGGAGAAGTGTTTCAACGAGCTGAGTCTTCCCCACACTTTGACCTCAATCGATCGCGGACCAATGGGCTCATTCGAGCGGGTGCTCACCCAGGCCACCTTTGGAGGAGCGTCGGTGCATCCACCAATCCCGAGCGGTACCGGGAGCATTCCGGCCGTGAGCGAGGCGGCGCGAGCGATCGGGCTAGTAGACACGATTGTGGCAGGCCCTCAAGGCCCGCAGAGATCGTTGGTGGGAGAGAACGCGACATGGAAGGGCATTCGCGCCACTCTAACTCGGGACTACGTGCCGTCGGCATACCGCGGCCGAACCGCAATCCTCTTGGCGGCCAGCGAGAGCGAGGCATCGGCAGCCATCTATGCCCTGCGCAGCTTAGGAGTGGGTGCGATCCACACAGTGGGCTTCCGAGCCCGAGGCCCCTTGGCAGCGGGGCTTGAGCCCTTCACATCCATTCAATCGGTCAAACGGGTTGAACAGCCGTTTGTGATGGTATCCGCGCTACCTCCGGAGAAGTCGTTGCTAGTACAGCCACTGCTGCGACATTACCGGACCAGTGGGCACTCGTCACCCCCCTCTACTCGAGGCAAAGTCTATCTCGACTTGACCCGTGGGGAGCGTACGGGCGACCCTGTCAATGTAGCTGTGAAAGCCGGATGGACGGCATATGGAATAGAAGACGTGGATGCGTGGACGACGGTGGAGACGCTGCGCTTGCTGGTGGGCCAGAATGTGCCATTTGACTTTGTGCGGATGGCTTCAGGACGGGTGTTCTGAATTTGGTTTCCTTGGCTTTTTTTTTTTTTTTTCCCTCTTTTTTTCTCCCTTCTTCTCTCTCCTCCACGTCCTTATACCTTTTCGGTTGTTTGGTTCTTGGAGACGAACGAGGAGAAGGGAACCCGGGGTTGATATATACACTGATTTGGGTCAGGAGTTCGCGCGGTGTAGATTGTATGTATTTTTTTTTTCAATTCTGAACCAGCCAGTCAACGGCGGTCGGCATGAATGACATGAAACAAGACCGCATCTCTCGTTGGGGCTTAGGGAGAGGGGAAAGGGCGGAGAAAGCGAGAAAGAAAAGGCAAGGATCTACAGTGGATTCCGGGGTAAGTGGGAGCTGCAGGATGAAGTACAGTACGTATAACGGCCATCTTGTATGTATAGTAACTAGTACTCCTAGTAGTTATAAGTTAGATGTGCAATATCGTAGTCACCGGACGGGAATCCGTGCTGGAAGCGGGAAAATTCCGGGGGATAACAATGTTGGCAGTGGTTTTACCCCTGCAGCGTTCCCAGCTTTCCCAGCTTTCCATGTTTCCTGCTTTCTTCTTCCCCCTCTTATTTCTTTTCGTCAGCCTGTTGACTGGTTCTGCAACTGAATCAGAGTGCAGTGACTGACAATGCTTCTGATTGCTTAACTTAGCCCTACCCCCCCCGCATCAATTCCTTTTCCCATTTCCCTTTTCTTTGTTCTCTTTTCCCCCTCCATCTGCCCCCCGCTAAGCCTTTTTGACCCTTAGGTTCCCCACTGGGTTTCTCCGCGTTTGCAGAGCAGCCAATAAATCCGGGGGTGCTGCTGGGCTTCTTCTTCTCTCTTTTCCCTTCTTTCTCTCGCCTTGTCTCTGTCGGTCTCTTTCCCTCTCTCTCTCTCTCTCACTCACTCTCTCTCTTTTTCTTTTGGGAATCTCTCTATTACTTTACCTACTACTATCGGTGATCAACGATTACCGTCTACTCTCCTCCTCTTTGACTATCTAACTGATCTGATTTCGCTACTTCCCCCCCTTTCTTCTCTTCTCTCTATTCATGTTATAGAGAATGCCATGTCCCGCCCCCAGGTCAGCATCGACCGTCTCACACCCCGACGTGTTAACGTTGAGCCCCGCGAATCGATGAACTGTAAATCCTGTCGGAAGCGCAAGGTAAAATAAATCCCGACCTGCACAAAATTCCCCGCTGACGACCTGCCTTTCGCCCTTTTTTACTCGATTCAGATCAAATGCAACCGTCTGCGCCCCAGCTGTGAAGCCTGCAAGGTCTTCCAGTGTCCATGCATCTACGGTTCGTTGCTTGCCTGTTCTTCTGTATCATTCTTGATGTTTGGTTTGGTTTTATTTTGTTTTGATTGTCCGTCTGGTCCCGATCAGGCCATATGTGCACCCGCCGAGGTGTCTCCCTAATTCTTGTTTCTTCCTCATTTTCCACTGCAAGTACAACGCTTACAATTTTTCCTTTCAGATGCTGTCCCCAAGAAACGCGGACCCAAGACGGATGTCTTGGAGGCTCTGCTGAAGCGTGTCGACGGGCTTGAGAAACGTCTGCAGGAGGATTCTCCAATTTCGCCTGTCTCGTCCGTCTCGCCCATCAAGTCGGTCGAGCAACAGCAGCAACAGCAACAGCAACAGCAACAGCAACGACCGCAACCCCCGCCGTTGTTACCCCCAGCCTCGGTGGCCTTTCCGCAGCCCCCACCACCGCAGAGTTATGGACTCCCACCTCGGTTACCCGACGCCATGCTCGACACTTATTTTTCTCGTCTGCATGGTAAGCCTTACTGGATTTTAGACGAAGCCCAAACCCGACAGCGCCATCAATTGGGTCAATTGCCTGTTCATTTGTCTATGGCTATCTACGCCTTGACGTCACGGTATTTGCGGTCTCCCTCCCTCTATGCTGGAGCCTTCGCACTAAATCAGTCTTGCAGCTATACCAATCCCAGCCCGGTCCTCGGCAGTCAGGACTATGCGCGACAAGCTCGCCGGCTGGTGGACATTGATGACCCCTCGATTGACGGCACCCAGACACTCTTGTTGCTCTCCCAAACCTTTTTCGCCCACGGCTGTGGGAAAACAGCCTACATGGTACTCTGTGAGTCGATTCCAATTCCGGTCAAAGGGCCGAGACTAATTTATTTGTCAGCAAATGCGGTGGCTATGGCCTTGGCCCTGGACTTGTATCGCGAGGTCTCCGCTCCAACCCTGCCCGCCTCCGAACGCGAGATGCGCCGTCGCCTGTTTTGGACCGTCTACACCATGGACCGCTTCCTGACTTGTGGCTCCAAGCGGCCGTGCCTTATTGCAGATCACTCGATTGCACTGCGGCTACCGGGCGCTGGCTCGGAGACTGGAGAAAGCTTCAATCCTGTCGGCCCTAACATCCACTATTCTCCCGACCGGCGCAAGGGCCCTGGGGGCCCAACTTTGCTGGTTGACATTACGCGTATACTAGGCGTCACTCATCGGTATTTGGCGGCGGGAGGTGTCAAAGGCGACTCCCATTTTCCCTGGCATGCATTGTCCAATTTGTCCAAGATCCGACAGGAGCTGGACCTATGGGCCGCCGGCACGCAGGATCTCTTTACCTCAATCGAAACACTTTTCGGCCACCCGGAGAGTACACTATTACTGCTGAGCAAGCTGATCTACCATCTAGTGCACTGCCTGCTTTACCGTCCCTTCCTTCCCATTGACTTGGTAGAACTGCGCGGCACCGGCCAGCATCAATCCTGGCAAATTGAGGCGACCACGCTCTGTTTCTCGCACGCCAATGCAATCGCAGAGCTAGTTGAATTGGCCCGACACGCTCCACGTATTGAATGGCCATCACTCGTGGCGTACTGTGTCTGTACCGCCGGTACGGTGCATGTACACGGCGTGCACTACCACGGACGTGAGGGCGAGGTGTTTGCGTCCAGCGCCGACTTCCTGAATCGTGAGATGCATCAGTTGGCCTGGCTGCGGCAGTATTGGGCCGGGGTGCAGCATCAACGGGAAATGCTACAGCGCATCGCAACCTGTCATGCGGACTTGGTACGCACAATGGCAGCCCGCCCGGTCCGGTTTGCGCCTGTCTTTCACCTCGAAGACTTCTTCGACCGGTACCCAGGCTTGGCTGTTGAGAGCGGACACGTGCGGTTGGTGGATGGAGATGAGACGTAAGCATTGACCCGAACCGCTTGGCTGAAAGAATCAAATTGCTAACCTGCTTTCACAGCCTCCCTCTCCTTGATCGACAGGACTTCCCTGGCGGGCTCATCTATCCTGCTACGGCGACGCTCCCTTCCCAAGGACGGCCATCGATAAGCTTCCAGTCGTCGCAGGCGTCTCCACCGTGGGGCCCCGGGCCCGACTTGACTCTTCCGGAAACCAGTCTGGGATTTTCTCCCGGAGTTAGCAACTCTCCGGCAGCGTTCTTGTCCGAATCTTCCTTCACTGCTCCGACACCACCGGCCCAACCACAGTACGCGACGTTCCCATTCGAGGCCACGCCTGGCGCCCCGGCATTGACACCAGACGCACCCTCTCAAGGCAGCTCTGGCACTGTCACTGGAGGCGGGGCCGGAACCAGCGACGGGGAGAAAGATCCATTCCTTAGTCTGTTGGAGCAATTAGCAGAGAATGAGAATTCTCAGGGCGGGCCCAGTGAACTGGACTTCTTCCTAGGCGAGGGATTGGACTCGGTCCGCGTGCCCGATGATCATTTGATGGACCCAAACAGCCTGCCCGAACCTGAGTGAAAGCCGATGATGGATCTGCAATTTCGCTCACCTCCTTATCTGATAACGGATCTGGATATCTTCCCGAACCTTATGAGAATACCGCAAACAGATACCCGGGATCATGATATCATACCACGTGACTCTCAAGGGGGCCGGTTCTGGGAGGGCATAAGCCGTGATGATGCGGAGAACAACCTCCCAACATTCTTGCTTTGATTATCATGATTTCATTAAGAAAACATGGATTTCCGCATCGATGCCCTCGCTACCGCCAATAGCTGGGTTCAAGGTTCGCCGACGCGACCGTATACCGGCATCGTCAGCCTGTACATGGCCGATCAGCTGTCCGCTGAGACGACTGCGCGGGAAATCGTCAGCGTGATCAACGAGTTGTATTATGGCGGAGACAGCGGGCTAGTCGGTATGCCATCTTGGACCTAATGATAATAACTTATTGATACCCTGGTAGAGGAGGGTCTTATCGACCTGTGGCGGACAATCGCGCACACTTCTAAGACGCTGGAGCGATCGATATGTATCCGACAGCCAGTTCGGAATGAATCAGAGCCAATGATTAGCAGCGATTCGCCGACAACGCCTACAGCTACGCAGCCCACAACACAATCAGACCGGTCATACTACCCACCCACCCCGGCGCAACGTAAACTCCTTACCCTTCTCAAAGCCATCAGAACCTTTCCCACGACCGACCCCATGCCTGGTACAATGGCCGGAACCAGCTATCAACACCACCCCTCCTTATCGCCCTACCTCGGTGCTACTGTCTTCTCCTCGTCGTCATCATACTATGGGTCATCCTTGAGTAGCAACCACAGTGACTGGAGTGGCATGCTCGCTGATGACGCGGAAACGCGAATCGAGTGTAAGAGGGGTATTTGCTGGGCCGCTCTGCCATATTTCCGTGAGGTCATTGCAGAGATATTCCAGGAGGATGCACCGGGAGATTGGTTTCGCCGACCATCGCAATCGCGGCACACCGCACCTGCACCTGCTAGTACGGAGTCACAGTCGATAACACCACTTCCTACTGCGAAGTGGCCTGAAGTACTAACAGGCGCGGAGCCCTCACCTCATTTCTATTCCACTCACAATCCTATTCCTGGTCAGCTCGAAAAGCCCCCGCCAAAAGTCGGCTTCGAGCCTTCCGAAAGTGAAGCCTGGCTCAACCTCACCTCGTTTCTGGCATTCATGAGCAAAGAGTCCATCCTAGAGACCTTGGACGGCGTCGGCCTCGTCATGATGGGATCTGTGCTGGGCAATGAGGGAAAGGCTCTCTCAGCTTCTGCTTCTGGGATCGGCAGCCATTCTCACGGCCAAGGTGTGGATTGTCCCCCTTATCCTCAGACTCAACCTGATAGCTTCACTGGCTGCATCGTCACCAAACCGTGTCTCGACCTTTACATCTCGGCCGCAGCCATCTGGGCCGTTATCACAGGCGAGGATATATGGAAGCGCAGAGGAGAAGATGCGGGGAACGAGTTCGTGGTGGGACTGTCATTAAACGATGATGGCAGGACCGGTGACCCAACCATGTTGAAGAGGACTGCCTCCATGTCGCTGGGGAGTAGCAGCAGCACAACAGGCGCCACTGCGACCATGTCTGGTGGCCCGTCAGGCCTGGCACCCACCACACCCGCAAGCAAAGAAGCCAGGGCTATCCGTAAAGCTAAGGCCGAAGAGCGCACCCCGCGAGACGGCAAGGATGCTATCTCCCGCCGGGCGTGGGACGCGTGGATCGGCCGCCTTCGGGCGGCCAGCTGTCGGGAGGACCTGGCAGCGTCGACTAGGTCAATCGCTGCAGAGGCGGCGGACGTGATGTTGAGAGCTTGTGCGTCGTTGGATACATAATCTCCCTATATACTATAAATATTCACCAAGTGGGAAGGAGCCCAACTCGTCAGTCACATGGTCGGGAAAAATAATGGAATAATCATACATAGATGCTCCAGCAGAGCTTCCATCATTTGAGTAATCTCTCTGTTTAGCCGTGGGCGATTAACCAGATTGGGTGATTCCGTAGGATCAAAGCACACTGCCACCGCGCTTCGTTCCTTTGAAAGTCCAGAGCCGGACAAGCTGAGTAACCGAATTGGCTGATTGGATTGGATGTGTCATGTTAACGGCGGTAGTTCCAAGACCACGAGAGGAGGGACTGCGTTTCCGTGGCTTCCCCGAACCCGGAACCCGGAAGCCAAGATCAAGCCTGTTGAACACGCCATTTGGATGAACTGCGTCGGACTTTCTGGTCTTATTTCGTTGACAAAAAGCAGTTTCCACTACCCGCATCCTGAATAAAAGAGTATGGTTATAATATATAGCTCTATCTATAATTACCAAGCCACAAGAATAGGGGGGGGAGGTGGTAACCCATGCCACCCACGTAACAGTATATAGAGCATATAAGTGACACTCCCCAGTACATAACGGATATCGATCAGAAAAGTATCGGGGATAGGGAACCCGGCAATGAACTCTTAAGGAAGCCTCGCTATGAACAGAATCGACAAGTTTCACAATGTGAGAAAATGAGACGTGTCTGTCTAGGAGAACTTCACCCCTTTACTGGGATCCCACGTCCCGCCTGCTCCGCCGGCGGCGCCGAACCGAATCCCCATTTCCGGCGTCCACATGCCCGGCGTCATCGGAGGTCGCGCGTTGGCCCGCGTCGGCTGCGGGGCGGTCATGGGTTCCGCGCGGGGCGGCGCTTGCGGTTGCGGTTGCGGTTGTTGCGGGGTCGTCGGAACGGCTACGGCGATGGGCGGCTGCGGAGCGGGGGCGGTGTATGCTGCCCGGGACTGCTGCTGCACCGGTACAGGTGCTGCTACTACTGGGTCGTATGCCTGCTGTGCAGTCTGGCTATAGTGTTGGGTGGTCGGGGCCGTAGATGTATATGATGGCTGCTGCTGCTGCTGTTGGCGAATGGGTGGGGAGATGTTCAGTGTGGCCATTGCGGCAGCACTGGAGATGTCACTATGCAGGCGGTTGGCTCAATTCGTAAGGAAGGAGGACTGATTCTGTGTGAGGGGGGGGGAAGAGGCTGCTCACGCTTCGATCTGACTGGCTTCCATCCTCCGCTTGTGCACAAAGGCCTTGCAATCGTCGCGAAATCGTCCTACGATCTTGGCCAGGTCGTTGTAGAATTTGCGCCCGACTTCGATGTTGGATATGATCTCCTTGTACTTCAGGTATCCGTTCTCCAGTTCCTGCAGGGCACGTTCCCTCTCCTTTGTCGACGCATCGCCCGTATGTGCGCGGGAGAAGGCCCGGTTGGCCTCGCAGATGCGTGATGCGAGCTCGTCCTGCTCCTGCTGTTCCTCGGCTACCATTTGCAGGTCGGTGTCATACAGGCGGAGCTGTTCCTCGAAAAGATCCTCAAATTGGCTCGCCTGAATGGGCTGCATGGGAAACTCGCGTTCCAAGCGTGCAGTCTCCTTGGTCAGTGCTCGGCCTGCTGGGTGGTTAGTTCTGAATTGTTGGCAATGTGTACACCGGATCTACTCACTGATATCATCCGCCCGCGCCTTGTCCTTGAGAGCCTGCACCTGTCGCTTACGGCGGCTTTCTAGCCGGTTTACCTCGCTCAAGCATCCACGCAATCGCGCCACCTCCCGCTCAACCTCGGGCGGAATCGCGGCCCTGCGACTGCTGGGAACGTACATTTCGAGGTCCCGGTTTGTGCCGGTCAGCACGCGGAAGACCGCCTCCGAGCCTTTCAGCTTCTGTTCCACAAGGTTATCGCTACTTTGAGCTGACGTGAAGTACCCTTCAATCTCTCGGGACGTTGTGTAGAGCTTGGAAGCTGCTTCTTCGGACGACGCACGTGCCCACCGGTCAGTGCCGTACCTGCGGCGTGATGCATCATCTTCTGCTTTCTCGGCGGTAAGAAGCTCCACTCCTTCCGTGTATACTGCTCTGTCGTTGCCCTTGACCTTGGCCGTATCCTCAAGAGACCTACGCAACCGGTAGAGACCATCCTGCTGACGCATCTCCTCTGCGTGAGAGACCAAGGTCGGGGGTAGTCCCAGCGGCTTTTCGAGTGCTTGTAGGGAGCCTGGGAGGTTGAGGGATGAAAGCAGACTGATTTGTCAGTAGGCTGGTCCTTATCAGAGCCTTCGAGGCACTTACTCTCGCAATTTGTCCGTCATAGTCTCTAGTTCTCCGATAATTCTCTCATTGACCAATCTATCCCTCCGATCGGAGTAGATGCTAGCAGCGATATGCACTGCGTAAGGCACCAACTTCGTGAATAGAGGCTGGCCGAGAGGCCCGTTCTCCCCAAGCATTGAGACGGCATCTGTCACCTGCGACGGCGCTTTCGCGGCCACCATACACGCGCGATCGATCAGTCTCAGCTCCGACTTGGGCGGCACGGGATTCAAGTAGATGATATCATTATCCTTCTCCGCGCGCTTTAGATCCTCGGTGACGCGGCTCTTGAGGCCCTGCAGATCCCCCAGCACCGTGCGGTTGATCCAACGAGACTCCTTGAGCGCCTCGTTCACGCAAAGCTCACTGTCCCTCAGCCGCGCCACCTCCTCACCATACTTGCGTTTCTCCAGGCAGTCCAACGACTGCCGGTACTGCGCCGCGGCCGCAAAGTGATGGTGCTTGGCGGTCATATGATGAATCCACTCCGGACTGATCGCATTCGACTTGACCGCATGGTCGCCCGCGTCGGCGTAGAAATCCGAGACCTTGGCGGCCAGTCGAGCAATCGAGGCGTCCTTCAGCCCGTCTTTCACGGCCTTCTGCCAGAAACATTCCTGCGCTTGCGCGAGGAGAAGCTGTTCGAGGCTCTGAAGAGTCATCTCGTCCATGTCTTCCGGCGGAGATGTGCGGAGATCAGGCAGAATATCGCATCGGAGGTGCACCAGAACGCCCGCCGCTTGGCAGAGGTAGTTGCATGCCTGCTTGAGTCCGTCCGCAGTGGTTCGGTTCACGGAGAATGCGAGCTGCGAGTACAAGGCTGCGAGATTGTACATGATGTTGGCGAGTTCGAATCTGAGGTTGTTTTGCGAGACTATAAAGTGGCCCAACGGTATTAGCTTGAAGGGGGTTCTCTCTTGCCAGGGACTCCGAGCGGTTCGGCTTTCTAACGTACTTGGTCTCGAGGTATTGAATCCAAAGGCCGGGTACCATGGGAATTCCACGCCAACCTGCGGGAGTTCGAGCAATTAGCACCACTTCGTCTTTTGGTTCCGCTGATCTCTCATGCAGGAGGGGCACTTTGATATCTGTCTGTCTCCAGAAAAAGGCATGAGCGGACATTGGCTTACATCGACTGGAAATTTGCCGCCAAGCCACTTCAGCTGCGCCGCGTAGGTGACCAGCCGGCTGATTCCGCTGACATGTGCCTCCTGGACATTGATTGCTTCGCTCCGTAGCCGGTCGATGATCAGGAGATCCTCGGCGAACATATCCGGACGCTGGTCATATTTCGAGGAGATGTACTGCGTAATGGCATCGTTGAGGGAGACGGGGTGCGACCGCCGAAATGGGACCTGGAGAATATTACTGTATCACAGTTAGCAGACTCCAGGGAAGGTTGAGAAGATTGAAATCACATACGATGCCATCGTGTCCTTTGATTGAGCGCACGCAGGCGAGTGAGAACGGTCGGCCGATGGCGGGGAAGTTTTGTTGACAGAAAAGCCCAATTCTGACCCCCGCCGGGGCAACGCATGACGTTTTAGTTGAATGCCTCAGTGCCTGAGGCATAAACGCCCCGTCAGGTACACTGTTCCATCTATCATATAAAAAGCACGTAGATATCAACATAATTCATTCTGTATTTGTGGCTTGTAGCTCATGCCATTATGTACTTGGAGAAGGATCATAACAAAAATTCCGACCATATACGCCCAACAATACACACACACACACACACACACACACACACACACACACACACACACATGTACTGTACGCATTGCACCCGGTCAGTGAGCCTTTCATCATACACTAGTCCAGCTCGTTTATCCTCATCTTGATATACTCAAAGATACTCAGGAGGATCATATTATTGACCCCCGTCCGTATCAATATAATCGAAAGTCCCTTGTACATGCTCGATTTGGCTACGGCGGCCGTTGCCTCGCCCACCTCCTTTGATTTTCCGAGCAGAACACTCTGTGCACGGGTTTTCCGCGTGTCAAGTGGATAGGTCTACTTCAGTTAGCTGGGAAGCTGGGATCAAGTGCTGGACAAAATCTTACGCAGAACCAAGGGACGGTGCTGCATATTGCACCCGCAATCATGGGCGCCCCGAACGGAGACTTGTCAGGGCCCAGCTCCTTCGCTGCAAGTTGTTTGACGGTTTCATAGACGGTGAAATAGAGACCAGAGCCGAGCGTGTCCCGCATAGCGTGAAGATGAAACCCCGTGTACAACCCGCGGATCCCATACCGCTGGATGATCTGTTTGATGGCCTCTACCGTTCCCAGGCGTGGTTTCCTGCGAAGAGAAGGATCATTGACTGCGTTAGGGGCGGCCTGTGCACGGTTCGAAACCAAGACCGAGGTCTGGACCACATTTTTGGCGAGCTCAAAGGGGCCTATCGCACATCAGCGGGCAGAATTCCTGCTAATAATCCAAAGCGACAGCTTACAGGCTAGGGGTGAGGTTATAAGGCCAGCAACGAGGCCGGCAGCGGTGAAGGTGAACAGCGTCGACACAGTGGGGCTACTGCCTGGCTGATTATACATCGCCAGTGGCGAATCCCCGGTCATTCTCTCAATGAAATCGGAGATTCGATGCTTGGCCGCGTTGTACGTTGTAAAATTAACCACTCGGACCGCCGTAACGCTTGCTAGAGGTGGCAGGGCTCCTGAGATTCGACATTTACATTAATGCTTTGTCGCGCAGAATCCAAGGGGCGATGTCGACCTACCAGCAACGTAACCGCGGGGTCCTTCGGTACGCCACAGGTAGCGGACGCATTGGAAGACATTCTTGAAATTATGTCTGCATCGAATCTATCAGCAAGGAACCTCGACCATCTCGTCCAACGAGCGAATCGCACTCACGTCTGCATACGAGTTTTGACGTTTTCCAATGGAGTCTACGCCAGCCGTTCGCACCTCCGGTCAGCTCATTCCATAGCTCCTTCGCTTCTGCTTGGTGTTGACCTACCACGGCGAGGGTGGCACAAACTGTCGAAGTCGCCGAGGCCACCTGGGTTTTGTACCTCTTGAGCACTCTATTTCGCTTGGCTTCGTCCATAAGCCAGGGACTTCGATTCGACATGGCTAGGGGAGGAGATTTCGAGGGGGTCGGGGTAAAGGGTGCATGTTCAGCGCGTTTGTCTAGAGTCATGCCTGAAGGTATCCCATCTGCGGCAGATGAAGAGGCCTCTTTGGTTGTGTATGTTCAGTTCGAATGGTTGTGCTTGTAGGCAGGTCGACAGGAACAAGCAGGCTGGGGAACCCTATGGAACGCAAAGCGGTCTCTCAGCGCGCGAGCAGACCGTTCAGCGTCCCACACTTATCCATGAAGCAGATACCGACAGCCTCCTGAACGATTTTCTTTCACGGCTGAAAGAACGGAGGTTGTAATGTATTTCGACGGCGGTCAGTGGAGGAGATAGCACCAGCACACAGCTACCGGAGCTACTGGGTTGCTAATGAATGTTTCTCTGGGTCGAAAAGACGACGTCCAGCTCGATAGCGCACTGGTCGGTCGCGAATGAAAGATTGAAGTCAGGATTCAATTTCTCTTTCCACCGACTGGGACCTTGCACTGTTGTCCAGGAATACCTGTTGAGGATGCAGAAGGGTGAGCCACTACTTCCAACGCGCGCCAGTCCTCACATATTCTAGGAGGGATTAAAGTCTCATCCGCGAGACGACAAGCTCCACGTACCTGTGCGGAACAACTGCGACGCAGTGGGGTGGCAGCCGAAGGCCAGAGTCGGGAAGACAATGGACTGTGCGGATGGCAGGGAAGAAGAATCAGGTCGAAGAAGAATGGAAGGAAGTTTACAGTCGAGACTAAAAAGAGAGAGTGGGAGCGAGTCGACAACCATCACGACAGACAGACCGATCGATGGGGGTACCAGAAAATCGCTTAACCAGTGGGTGAGCAGCAGTGGTACTTTGTTGGGTTAGTTTCAGCAGTTAACTTTAGTGGGCCTAGTTGGGTTTTAGTTGTTTGACTAAGTTGATGCATAGACAGCATACACATACACAGTAGTTACTCGTAACTTCAGTCCTTCGAGTAATTTGGGAGAGCATGGATTGAGCATTAATCAATTCATTCATTATTGTGGACTGTGGGGGTCTGGGTGGAAAGCCACTGCGCCCACTGGATGACTGGATGAATGGATGACTGGATGACTGCCCAGTGGATCACTGGAACAGGCTTAGTGGGGGTCCCCATCCAGTGACGTCGTCGTGAGGCATCCAGTGCAACTCTGCAAAGCGTCGAAATATGTGATACTCACTCAGTATGAGTACGGTGATTAGGTGATTAGATTACTCCCTAAGTATTGTTGCTGCATCCGTTGAGTTCAATGGAAAAACGGTTAGGAAGATGGGGATGACCATCCAATTGACTGGGGTGCCTCTTTTCCATCTATTTGCTTAGCCAAACGATATCATTTGAGTCCCCCCTCGTGGGTCCGTTGATCTTCTACTTATACATACTCGTACGATGTATTTCTTTCTCTACAAATACTTCGGCGAGCGGTAAGTGTGTATTCCTCATTAGCCTACTCCGTCGACAACCACGCTACAAGTCCACTCAATACTCCATCCACACACACACTCACCCAAGGATGCAGAGTGTGAGTAATACTCACTCAGTACAGTAACCTATGATGCGTGGCAAAGAAGGGAAGAAAGCTGCAGCGGATCAAACCAGTCCGGTCGGTGGTTGCGGTGGTTGCACCCGCCGCCCGGACGGATCGTCTACGGCATTGAGGAGGGCAATAAGAATAAACTGATCAATCAGTCAATCAATCAGTCCATCAATTACTCTACCCCGCCCTGGCTGAACCGCACTGCAAGCCACCAGTCAGGATCTGATGTTGATGATTCTAGTCCTGTGGTCCATTCTTAAAACGGGTGCAAAACATGCCAGTCGGTTGTTCTGCCGGTGCTTACTGCTACATGGATAATACTCGTATATATTGATATATGTATAGTACAATAGTGTAAGAGCTATGGCAGGAGCTGGGCGGTAAAACCAGTCCTTTTTGGGGTATGTGGTGTGCTACATCAAGCTGTTGAATGATATCCTCCCCCGCCCAACCCACCTCCCACCTCCCTCTTTCTGTTTCGGCAAGCATAACTTACAAGCTTCACATGTAAGTTGACCACATAAATGATTATCACCATGCTTCCCTGATGGCCCTTCTCCTCACTTCATGACTCGACACTCTTTATCGGAGGCTTGGCCTAGATCGCCAGCAACGGGCTGATGGTTGACTGTGGGCCTCCGAGCATGCGTGTAGATAAGATGATCGCTCCTCAACCATGGAAGCTCATGGTTGGGCCGTGGCACTGGTGTCGTAATCCATCTTGTACTGGCCAGGATACCATCCGCGATTATTTATTGGCTCTTATTATTGGCTCTTGTGGCAGACAAAGTCCTTGCTGGAGATACCTCTGAGCACTGCACTGTCTTGAGTGAACGAATCATATCTCCGGTACTTGATTGGCATTGTTGATCCACAGCCCTCCCTGAGAGAGGCGCACACACCCTTGGGATCAGGATTCTGTAGCAATCAGTTGAGAGCAACGCTATGGTCACTCGATTTGTGTCAATGCTAATTGGTGGGCGACTCCCGTGCTTCGTAGCGCAATGCATCTTGAGGAAACGAGACAACGGGGAACGAGGAGCGTGGTCAGGCTACTCAATGCCCAAAGTAGAAGTAGACCAGGGAATTTACTCGGTGGACTTGACTGCAGAATCCATGGTAGCACCAGTCTCAGCAGCCAAGGTCTGTTTTCATCATATATTATGTGAGATCCTCAGTTCGAGGTTCCACAAGTACTGTACAGAACAGTATATATAATCAACTTATTCGTCCTAGGCTCGTGCGTGATATGATTCGATCTCAGGTGTGAAAGAATCAAGATGCTGAACATTCATAAAGAACCAGGAATCTTGCTAATGTGTCCTGCGATGGGAGAATAGGATATTCTAATCACAAATCAATAGTGTTCATTGCCTATTGTGCATGTATGTTGAATCCTCATGCAAGGTAAGGTAAGTGGGGAGGGGGCTTACCCTCGGGACCTCGGTCCCGCAGGCGGTTCCCCCGCAAAAAGGAGCGCTACTCCGCATCGGACCACTTGATGTTTGCACTACCACCATCAAAACACATAACTACGCCTGCCATACTACCTCCTGAATCTCGCGTCGCTCGACTCAGTCAACTCCCAACAGAGTATTCCATCGACAGATATACTTGGTTCGATTCGCGCTGACTGAATCGAGTCGTGACCTTCAAAGAGAGAACCCCCATTTCTTTCTCCGAACGATCATCATGGGCAAGAAGCCTTCAGGCCCCGCCTACGTTCTGGGCGTTGGTATGACCAAGTTCATAAAACCACGTGGCAAGGTTGATTACCAAGAGCTAGGATTCGAAGCTGGGGTCAAAGCTATGCTGGATGCCCACATCAACTACGATGAGGTCGAGCAAGGGATTGCATGCTACGTGTACGGAGATAGTACCTGCGGGCAGCGCGTCTTTTATCAATTTGGACTCACGCAGATTCCCATCTACAATGTCAATAACAACTGTTCCACAGGGTCCACAGGGTTGGCTATGGCTCGAACGCTGGTCTCTCACGGGGCCGCAGACTGCATCCTGGTTGTTGGCTTTGAGAAGATGAGCCCCGGTAGTCTCCAGTCGGTCTACAGCGACCGCGCGAACCCGACCGGCCTGTTCGGAAAGATGATGGCCGAGACTAGAGGAGTCACGAATGCCCCAGGTGCGGCACAGATGTTCGGCAACGCTGGTCGCGAGTATATGGAGAAGTAAGTGTGTGTGGTCTGGAATCGGCCGCTGCTAAGATGAGAAAAATGAACTAATCGTCACATGCAGGTATGGTGCTGAAGCCGAAGACTTTGCCAACATTGCGCGGATTAACCACGAGCATTCCAAGCGTAATCCATACTCCCAATTCCAGGACGAATATACTCTCGACCAGATTCTTAAGTCGCCGATGATCCACGCACCTCTGACGAAGCTGCAGTGCTGTCCAACATCCGATGGCGCGGCCGCTGCTGTGGTCGTCTCCCAAGCTTTCCTTGAGGCGCGTCCCCACCTGAAAGACCAAGCAATCCTGATTGCGGGCCAGACGCTCGCCACTGATCACAGCTCCGTGTATGATCGCAGCTCTATTGACTTGATGGGATTCGGAATGGCCCGCAATGCGTGCCGAGCTGCTACTGCTGAAGCGGGTGTGAACGTTAAGAATATCAAGGTGTGCGAGCTGCACGACTGCTTTTCTGCCAACGAGATGATCACCATTGATGCACTGGAGCTGTGTGAGCCGGGCAAGGCGCACGAAATGGTGCGACAGGGCGACATCACCTATGGTGGAAAGATGGTTATTAACCCTTCTGGAGGTCTTATCTCCAAGGGTCATCCCCTGGGGGCAACGGGATTGGCGCAATGTGCAGAGCTTGTTTGGCACCTGCGTGGCTGGGCCAACAATCGCTTAATTGACGGCACGGATGCTGCCCTTCAGCACAACCTGGGGTTGGGAGGTGCCGTCGTGGTAACCGTATACAAGCGAGCAGATGGCAAGCCCGCAACACCGGTACCATCGGAGACAGTGGCAAAGATCACGGGGCTTGGGTACAACCCGGCTGTCGAAGCCAAGGGCTTCACAGCAGAGCAAGCTCGGTCAGTCCAAAGTCGGAAACATAGTGACAAGTGGGCGTTAGCCGACACGCAGGACCGGGTGCTGGCGCGGTTCTAGCTCGAAGGATGTGTATAGGACAACACTGGGCTCTAGGATGTGAATTATAGCATTGCAGATATGTAGTACAGTACAAGCTGTAAACCTGGGTCATTGGACTAATGGTATCGACTAATGCGCTTTCTCAACCCCCTCTCAAGTTTATGCCTTGGGTGTAAACGATCCAAGCTGCTGGGTGGTCCTCTCGGCAGCACGTTGCGCCGCGCGCGCGCGCGCGTAGCTGACATAAGCAGGCGCGATCCACCGCGTAGGTTAAATTTTCGCGCAACTTCACAGTTCAAACTTTTTCCTTTCTCCTTTTAATACACCAGGTCTCCAACATACCCTTGCGGATAGATGCCCAAAGGGCACGTTCTATTTGCAAATTTTAGCTTCGAGACCAAGAGCGAATCTTCGCATGCTCGTTCTAATCCCATCACGTGGCGCAGGGTTGGTCTAACCATCTCATCACGCTGTAGTTGGGTTCGCTTTTGAGCACACATCCCTTGTTTGAAATTCCGTCACATTGTTCACATACCTTCGCATCTTCAACATCTCTTCTCTTGTATAGAGTTGGATGCTGCAACAAGTCTTGCATGGCACGAGAGCTTGAAACTGGCTCCGATCCTGGAAAAAGATGATTTTCCTCGATTTGTTGTCTGTATCAAGCCATGTTCTCTCAACTTGCTCAATCGTTTTCTTCCCCGCCTTTTGTGTGTGTACTAACCTACAGGATATATCGCCACGTAGCCTACACTGCCAAGGCACTTTCGAAGTCTCGTCTGTTCATACTCTCCATGGTATTCGAGGTCAAATTTGTGCCAAAATTGAATCCCGGACTCTATTGTCCAATTTACTTTTCTCCCTCGTGTTGCGTCCGCTGTCAATCTGAAATGGGGCGGTACGTGTCAAAGCAGGGAGGTACATTCAAACTCGTAGAATTGTAAGTAGTGCTGTTCCGTTGGCTCGCGCTGGCGGAATGCAAGCTGTAGGAAAGCTCAACTTGGAAGGTCTGCAAACCATACCTCGCAGAGGAGAGAGGGCGGGTGCGCCAAACGTTGTCAGGTATGCGTTTACGACGCGAGTCGGCAACCGGGCCATCCTTGTGGAACAAACCATCCCTTAACATTCGATTGAAGGAGGTTGTTATGCTGTGCAATTCTAGGACAATCATTCTTAGGATCAGCATCCCGCTTGGAATGTCCAGTACGTACTCAATTCAATGAGAATAAGCTTCGCAGGGCGCGGTGCCTGGCTGAACCAAGGCTGCAGGAGGCTGCGGTGGCGTGGATCAATGGTAACTTCTTGAGGGTGTGGCCGCCCCTTACATTCCTTCGATCAAGGTACAGAGCCATGACTGGCTTGTCGCGAGGTGCTGGTGCATTGTCGCACGGGGAAGGGCGTCTAGTCTTGAGAGGATGACAAGAGAATCTCGGATCTTCAATTCCAATGCTTCGAGGAGGCGCGAGTGGCCATACTCCTACGATCGCCCTCACTCCTGGTTGAAAAGCCCTGGCAAGATGCCAGTTATAAAGCTTGACTTCATCTCTCCTCCCTGCAGAAAACCAGGCAAGTGTCCGGATTCAGTTTTAACAGTCATCGATCGGAGGTCTTTCTCTCTTTCTTCACTCCGATTCATTGTTTGTCAACCTTGGCTATAGATCGCCTCGTCTAGTACGCCTGTCCACTCTCTTACTTTCAACTTTAAACTTCTTTTTTTTTTTTTTATCTCAGCAAATCACAATGGCCCGCTTCAGCCTCTCCGTCCTGGTGCTCTGCCTTTTCATGGCCTTGATGGCATCTGCCATGCCTGTCAAGCGCGACGATGTCGCCAATGAAAGCGACTACGCTATGCAGGGGATCGAGGTAGGCTCCGGCCCTGAATTTGGCTTCGACGACGTATGCTAACATCTGACTCAAGTCCGCCACCAAAATGATGGAGGAGATGATTGAGAAATACAAGCAAGCTCAGGAGGAGGCGAGCGACAATGCCAACGATGCCTCCGCCGCAACCGCCGACGAGACTGAGAACAAGAACGCTCCGATGGAGGATGCGAGCACGACTCCTTCCTCCACAACTCCCACTGAGACGACGCCCGTTGCCAGCGCTGCCGCCCAACCCCCCAAGCCTAGCAAGACTCACATCGTGAACGACAACCCTTTTGCGAACCTGCCCCTGGTCGGTGGTCTGTTGAGCGGCGGTGGTCTGGGTCTGTGATGCCCCGATGGTGCTCGCCCGGTGCCGTCAAAGGCAACTGCCGGAGAACCCAAGTTTTGGTGCTGTTCTGTGTGGTTACGATGCTTGTATGAGGCATGATGATTGTGATTTTTCCCACCTTAGTTTAGGATTTGCTTAGTGGAGCTCGTTTGTTCGCGCAGGTTGGTTCCATAGAATACTCGATAGGATAGTTAGTGCGCAAAAAGAATATAACAATTCAGTGCTATGAGACAAAATGGTCGGCTATGCAGAAATACTCGGTGCGAGTCAATAGGCAAACATTCGCTCATGGGTGATTTCCGTGATTGCAACCCATGCAAGAGCAACGGGATAGCTCTGGGTATATAGTAGTGAAATGGTGCCATGCAGTCAAGCCGCAGGTTTTTTCAAGGACCTTGGTTTTGATTTGCTCGCTGCTGTCCTTCATAAAGCCCGGTATAGTATCCAGCATAATACCAGGCCATCATGAGGTTTTTCAAACCTTCATCTTGCACTATTTGCCGGCGTCAGTATCTTGCTACCGGCGCTAATTACCACAGGAGCCTTACCTTGTGCTAGAGCGGCATGAGGCGGAGGCACGGCTCCTACAGGAGTGAAGCCTTGGCCAGTGGGCGCAATTGTTGGATCCGCAGCCGCGGATGACTGCCCTGTTGTCTAGAAGAAATGAGCATATGCAGCCCAGAAGATGGATTTTAAGACTTACCTTCGATGTCTGAAGGGTAGGGGCCTGTTGAGAATCGACAGTGACTTTTGCTTCAGCAGGAGTTGCAGCCACTACAGACGGCGGTTCGGCGTCATGATCCATGCGATCAACCGCTTCATCCGGTTCTTGCGCCGGTGAAACACCTTGAGAGCCCGCTTCAGCCTCTGCCTCCCTCAGTACATCATCTACATTCTCTCCTCTTGCCTGGATGCTGTGATAGAGCTTTCGTGGTCTTCGTTAGCATTGGATCACGTGCCTTGGACAGAAGGAGCTCATACTTTGTATTCCTCGACAGCTTCGTCCCAACTCTGGACCAGCGCAGAATCATCCCAGATCTCTTCTTGTGTCAGTGACCTATTGGCATTCTTAGACTTCCCCATGGCATCGAATAAGAGGCCGCAAAGGAAGGGGGGGGGAACAAATGAGGATAAGATGGCCGACTACCTACAAATAACTTGAGACTTGAGTAGTCAGCGGCAGCCAGGCCGAGTGAAATTCACTGATGGTCGGCCGGCCGGGGGGTCGAACTCACCGCTTGGCGGCGGAAAAATTGCGAGCAGAAAAAAAGTTTCCCGCACCTTTCGCAAAGCCCGCCGATTGTAGCGCTTCAAACACCAGCCTACATTTCTACGCCCGATCGCAAAAGGATGGCTCCGGACAAGAAAGACAAGAAGCGCAAGGGTATGTGATTCTTCTCTTCCCTACTAATTGCGCGAATTGATCCCCGGCGACTGACCACCCCATAGCTGCCAACGCCGTTGCCGCCGACTCGCCCGCGAAGAAGACCAAGAAGGTCGACGCCAAACCTGCTCAACAGCCTAAGGAAACTCCCAAGCCAGCTCCCAAGAAGGCAAAGAAGACCGAGGCACCTGCTAAGGCCGAACCCACCTCGAAAGTGAAGGTCAACGGCGAGCCAGCTAGACAGGTCAAGCCCCGTAAACGTGCGGCCGACTTCCTCAGTGACAACGACGAGAGTGAGCCAGAGGCACAGACTACCGAAGTCAAGGCTAGCAAGGAGAAGCCCAGCACCAAGAAGTCCAAGAAGTCAGACGGAACCGCCGCCGCTGCCACGAAAGGGAAAACCGCCAAAGCGAACACCAAACCCAAGAAGGTCGAGCCTGTTGTGGAACAAGATTCTGAGGATGAGGATGAGTCTGCCGCCTCGGATGCCAGCCAGAGTGAGGATGACGAGGATGACCGCACAACTGCTCTGATCCGCGGCTTTGAGAGCAGCGGTGACGAGGCCGACTCCGACGACGAGGGCTTTGACCCGAGTAAACACCTGCCCAAGATCCCCGACTTGAAGAAGGCACAGCGCAAGCTGAAGAAGAGTCAAGCGAACTCCAACCAGCCAGAGGGGCCTGGTGCGATCTATGTTGGGTGAGTGCTACTGCTCCTTGTTGTGATCGCACGTCTAACCGTCTTATTCTCAGACGTATTCCCCACGGTTTCTACGAACACCAGATGCGTGGCTACTTCAGCCAGTTCGGTACTGTCACTCGCCTGCGTCTTTCCCGTAACCGTACCACCGGTCGCTCGAAGCATTACGCTTTCATCGAGTTCGATTCGGAATCTGATGCTAAGGTCGCTGCGGCTACCATGGACAACTACCTCTTGTACAAGCACCTCCTGAAATGTAAATTTGTCACCCAGGAGCGTCTGCACCCTGAGATCTGGAAGGGCGCCAACAGACGGTTCAAGCGAACCCCGTGGAACAAGATCGAGAAGAGGCGACTTGAGCAGGGCAAGACGAGAGAGCAGTGGACGGACCGCATTGAAAAGGAGCAGCAAAAACGGGCGGCCAAGGCAGAGCAGCTGAAGAGCATTCTGGGATACGATTTGGAGCTTCCTCAACTGAAGAGCGTGGACGAAGTTCCTGTTCAAGAGAGCAAGGCTATCGAGGCGGACGAGCCAGCAGCCGAGGAACCTGCCAAGGCCATTGAGGCCCCTAAGACTGAGGAGGTCGAAGCAGTGAAGGCCGTTGAAGATACCCCTAGGAAGACCAACAAGAAGGAGAAGAAGGCAGCTCAGTCCCCTGCTGTGCAAGAGACCGCCAAGCCATCAACGAAGAAGACTGAAGTCGCAGCCTCCCCCGCCACTAAGAAGGCTAAGAAGGCTGGCAAGAAGGCTAAGGCCAAGGCTTGATTCTTCGATTCTATCTAAAATGTTATTGTCTTGTTATTCATCGCATAAAAGATCGCTCGGAGTTGTTTGATTTCAATTGTACATGGTTATTGTATTATTCGCTAGGCATGAATAGAGGAATATCCGTATCAACCTACTTCACCTCCGTGCAAGTCACAGGTGCCTTTTCAAGACTTCTCAACCCAGCAGTTCGAAACCGATCTTGCATTTCGCAGTTTCACCTCCGACCACTTAGCCGCCTGAGGCCACCAAGTCCCGGTACAGTCACATGACCCATACTAGGCTGCAACCAGTCTAGCTGGGCCCACCGACGAACCTCGCATAAATTTGCAGCTACGGAATTCCTACCATTGAATTTTCTTTTCTCTCTTTCTTTCTTCCAACTCCTCGCTCAAAGAATCGCATTCGAAGCTCACACACAGAGAAGTCCCTTCGGGGATTTCTCTTCTCAACCAGCTTTTGGGAAAGTCCCCGGACACCCTGACTGTTTCAATCGTCCCTCGTGGGCCCAGTCAGGCAATGCGGAAACGCGCCGCCATAGAAGCAATTCGATAGTGGCTTATTGCCCTGTTCCCTCCCAGTGCTCGCATCCGTATCCGACGTCGCGGAGAGGACATGTCTTCTCTCGATGGAAACAATGGTGATACGGGCTTGTGCTGGAGAGGGGCTTTGATCTGGGTTGCCTTTCGTCGTGTTTGGATAGTCATGCGATTGCTTGCTACCGAACCCCCTTTGGGGCTTGGTGGTGGGTAACTCAATGGGGCTCATTCTTGAGGCGAGGAGTTCATCTATGCTTTTCTTTTCCCAACGAGTCTGTAGCTTATGGAAAGCGGTGATTACGCTGGTTCACAGATGCTCTGTCGAAGGAGTCGGACTCTTGCACATCTTTCTGTTTTTTGTTTGTTCGTGTGATGATATACCAATCATAGAGTCAAGCCCTGAGATTCCGTACTACGGTATAGGAGTTATTGACGATAAACGATTGTTTCTTATCTGATGAGCATTTGATGTTATTGTCGCGCCACCTAGTCCAGCTCGGATTTTTCTACTTTAATAATAATATAATATCATGAAGATGAACTCAAACTCCTAAGTTCGCTACCTGTCAAATGAGAGAAATAATGAGAGCCATTATCATCGTCATTCTATTTTATACAATTGTCCTCTTGCTCATCCAGTAATCTCGCTAAAAACAACCCCCCTCCCTCCCCTTCGTGTCCTTCATTGACCTTTCTTCTCCTCGACACTGACACCAGCAGGAACAGGCTCCGCCGCTCCTTTGTCCGTCTGCAACAGCAATGCCGTAACAATCTCGGCCAGAGTGGTAATCGCCGTGGCACACACATTACTCCAGACCTGGATGCTCACGGACCCGAAAGGCGCGCGGGGGAACGACAAGATCCAGGCCACGTAGTACGGGACCCAACCCTCTGGCAGCATGAAGACGGGCGTTTTCGAGTACCAGAATTGCAGGAAGAACTTCAGGCCACTTGTACCGACCCAGCGGACGGCTTTCACGCCCCAATCGAAAGAGGATTTCTGCGATGCGAGCTCCTTGTCTGGATTGTTTGGGTAAGGACATAAAACGTGTTAGCTTGCGACTTCACAAATAGCTTGCGGTTGCGTGAGTGCGTGCGTCGTCGTCCTCTCCTCCGTCCTGCTACGACACCCGCAGAAGGAGAAGATGGTAGGCGACCAAAAAACAAGGGGGTTTAGGTTGGAACGTACTCATGGCTTCATATTCCTCCATCGTTTTGTCGTGTCGCCTTCGGAGCTTAGCCCATTTCGCAAACTCGTCTTGCGAGCTGGTGTTGTTCATGTCCCGTTTCAGTTGGACAATCTCGCGCTTCAGACGGTTCTGCTCGCGGAACTTCCTAGATGTTGGGGTCGGGAGTCTCAGGTAGAGAAGCCATAACTAGACGTAAGATCGTCAATCACTGTTTAGGAGACAGGTTCTCGTTGAGGCGGATCGTAGTCAAGTGAACCATTGAAGGGGAATATATCCAATCGCCCGGGGTCAACGTACTAGGCTGTCAATCGTGGCCGCACCGACAGTGTTCACAACGTAGATAGCAATGTGAACGAAAAGCACAATCCCCACAAGAGGCAACATGATGGATCGGGGTGCTATGGTTGTTGACAATGGAGGAGGGGGAAGTTCTCAGTGGAAAATGGAAAGAAAGCCCACAAATCTGCGACCGTGTGGATTGAGTGCGCGTATGCAATGCGCCGCAGATTTCCAAACCGGAGACAGGTCGTATGTGATAAGTCAGAGAGATGCAGCCAGCAAAGAGGTCAAAAGACACACGAGTGTAGATCGAGAACAAAAGTTGACCCTCAGGCTTGCGGAAGGGAAATCGAGATGACGTTTGTCACGAGTTTCCACCCGCCCGTCGGCTGCGGCGTTTCTTCAGTCTCCGGTCCATGCACCTCAATTACCAACGAACTCGGTACTTTCTACTTTGTACAGCCTGGTGAAGACTGGACTTTCTCTTTCTTGCAATAATCGCTATGCAGCAGGCTGGATGATGCCCAATGTCCCCTCCTTCAACTCATGATGCCGCATTTCAAAACCTCGCCCAGATCCTTTCAGCTGGATACCAAAACAACGAGGTTCTCGAGATCGAGATACTTCCTCCGGGTCTAGGTCCCCTCCTACAGGATGGTCACTCGGTTGGCATCACCAAGAAGTACCTAGTCCAGGCTTTCGTCACAGCGAGACGCAATTTCTTCGGCGCTTTGAAGGGGAAATCCCTCGATGGGCCTGAGCATGAGAACAGTACCTCACCACCTGGGCACGGGAATTACGCTTCGGACGAACTCCTCCTTGTGTCCACAGAGATTATTCTCCTCTTTGACTGCGAGCATTTGACGGCATGCAACTGGCGCAAAAGACGCCTGGCTGCGTCTATCCTGCGCCACGATCTCGCCGACTCTGATAAGGGGCGTATTTGGTCGCTCATCGATGTTTTGAGCAAGGAACTCTCGTTGATCAAGACCTTTCTCTGCTCTCCATTGCATCGACACACCAAATCCCCGACCTTATGGAATTATCGCTTATGGCTCCTGACTCACTTGATGCGCCTTCAACGGCTGCCCCAAGGGCAGCTGGATAAGCTCTCACACGTCTCACGCGAAGTGATCCCAGGGATCTTGAATGACGAACTGGCCATAGTCCTTCGGGCTGGAGAACTCCACCCTCGGAATTACTACGCCTTTACTTATCTAAGGGAGGTCATTGGTGTCGCATCGGGAACAGGTGATGGTGGTCAAGATGCCTCTACTCTACTGGCTGAATCTATGATACAGAAAGCCCTGCAGTGGTGTATCGCCCACCCTGCCGACATATCCGGATGGGCGTTTACTGAGTTCTTACTCGCAAGAATTCCCCAATATCAAATTCGCAGTGACGCGGTGCGTCAGGTCATACAATTCGCCCTGGATATCGGTTGGGAGGGCGAGAGTCTGTGGATATTTGTGTACTCCGCGTCAATAGACCTAGAGGGCAATTGTCTGGCCAAGGATGAACGACGGGCGTCTCAGTGGGATGCGTTGCCGGAACCTCCGCTACCAAGAATAAGGTCGAATGGTGGCTGGAAGGTCTGGCTGGATTGGGCCAGGGCTGTCTGGGCTGCTGGCCCAGCGGTCAATTAGGACAATGGTCAGCCGTTCAGATAGAGAGGCGCAAGATTATAGGCTCCAGCAATGGGTCGTGCGTGTTCTTGGACATGGAGTATGCGTACCTCGTCGCATCATACACCTATACATGTGAACCATGAGGATGTTGCATGACTGTGCGGGAGCCTCTTGAAAACGCTAAATGTGACCAACTTTAATGAAATCCTCGCTAGCTATCATGTCCTCATAACATGCTTCCAATCGAAAACGGGTTGTCTCCATCAACGTTGAAAAGCCCGAGGCCGTGCGCAATAGTCGCATGCGCTCTATTGTAGCCCTGCGCCTCACAGGCAGACCAACTCATGAATTATGCACGGACCCGAATAGTTATAGCCAAAACAGGGGTGTCAAAAAGCATGGTCTGGGAAGGATATATAGAGAGGTACTCGGGGCCCGGACTGCGCGGCGACGAAGTGGCGGACAGGCTGGGAGGACAAAACCGGGAGATTTCTATCGGGGAGAATGGGGGAAAGTGTCATTTTTTCTTCGCTCCTGCAAGTGCTTCGGCTGCTCGGCGCTCATCGGCTGTAAAAAGAAGTGAGAGAGGGTCAGTCTGATCGAGTGCAAAGAATCTGGAGGCCGATATTTTCTGTCGGGGATCAGTTGAAATCTTACCTGCTTTCTGTTTGGCCTGCATTTTGGCAGCATCGCTCTCCTTCTTCCGCTGAAACTCCGTACCAGTAAGCTCGTTCTTGGATTTCTAGAAATGACATTATTAGGTTAGGGACGATACATTCATATGCTGGAAATTTGGCAGGAAACTCACCTTCTTGGACTGTTCCTTGTTGTTCTTCGCGCGATCGCGATCTCTCTGGTTGCCACGAGTCATGGTGATGAGATGGATCGGATGAAATCCAAGCCGTGTATCACTTTGAAATAAGAATAGAAGGAAAGCAAGGAAGGAAATTGTAACGGGCTGCCAAGAGTACGGTTCTGTTGGTGTGGAGTGCCGAAGAAATCGGAGGGTGGCTTTGCTTGTGAGGGAAAAGTTTTCCTCTTTTTTAAATTGTATGCATCGTTTTCTTAAGGGAGTTGCTGCGGCCTGCCGGCCGAGCCTCCGCCACGGGCTTCCCCGGGCTTTTTTAGTCCAAGAGGTTCCATGCCACTCTGCTCTTGCCTTGGAAGGCATTGGTTGGTACCTCGCTTTGTATCTGTCGATATAAACGGCGGGGAGTCTCATGAAATCACAAACATGCACGCAAATGTGTCTGTATGTACATAACCATAGATATACTACGGAGTACTCAGAAGGTATTGTTCATGGCTCGACTAGTCAGCTGGCTTGAGCGCTGCTCATTGACGGTCAGACTCGAAGAAGCATGAAAGCTGCAACCACCCATCAATACATCAACCCACTTGGATCTTTCATGGCACATGCATAGAAGAGGAAGGGCTCAATTCAACAATAGGCGGAAGCAGGCAAACCTCGAGAGGGATCGATTAACCGATCTGAACAACTTTCTGCAGGGTGGGCGCTTAATTCATCAACCCATTCATTGGCTCATACATAGCTCGTTTCAAGCCCTCGAGAGCGCCATCCTACCTGGCTGACCATCCAATCCTCCGCTGCTTGGAAGCGCCTTCATCGACCAAGAAGTCGCTCCTAGCTGCACATAATAACATCAGAGCCTCCTTCTCATTCCGTATCAGCACCACAAGCGCTGGGAGCTGGACTCCTTTGGACACCCAAACCCGCACAAGGAAGGCCTCATCCCCCACGATGGGAGCGAACAGATCCAATTCATTCAATTAGGCGCCAATTCCCACCCAAACAAGCAGGAAGAAACCAAACTGATTGAGATGACTGGCCCTTAAGCTCTCCAAAGGCTTTGTGAAAGTGTTTCAGGGTTCCCCGTCCTTCACCCATTGTGTCTATTATTGTCTTTGTTACCCTCCTTATGGAAGCCTCATTCAATGGTGACCCTATACCTGCCTGCCTGTTCTAGGGCTGAGCTACCCATAACCCATAACACCAAGCAGTCACTACCGACACCGTCAGATCTCCAAGCCCGAGACTCCCAGCTCTCTTTAACACCCTCTTCGACCTCGTGGTCCTCTTCTCTTTCTCCCTACTGATTTCCATCAGATAGTCTCCGGCTGCTGGTCCAGTCTTTATTTCCTTTCTTCCTCTGCCTTGGCCTTCTCGTTCAAGTACCTTTTCTTCTTCTCAGTGTTTCGTTCCAGTTTCGCTTTTGAAGAAGACCATAATACCCATACATAACTCATACACACCTGGCTGGCACAGACTTGATCCAGCTTCTCGGCTAGAGCCTGAGATCTTTCCTTTTCTTAACCTTTGACCCAAGCATGATGGCCTCACTGCAAGAATCCTTGGCGGGTCCAGGATATGTGATTCTCAATGCCATTCGCGTCATCAATATAATCGTCTTTCTGGACATCATCGCTGCCAGTGCGGTGATGTTGGTGAAGATCTCGCTGTTGACCAGCTTTTTCTTCTTCGAGGCAGTCTCTCGTGTGGCTACGGCAGGAGTTAGCAGTAAGTACTTGGCCTCGATTCTATCCCCGTTATTACTCTGTACCCAAGTGAAAAGTTGCTGACTTGCACGGTGACTAGTCTTCCTCATTATCTCTGAGCTCCCCATCTTGCGCGGCTACTTTGACCGCAATTGGCCGTTACTAGGGCAGGAGTCGGGATTCATTACCCTGGCAATCGCAATGCTGGTACTGGGGATGGAGGTGTTGGGCGACCTCAACACGAAGGCGACAAGCCAGGAGTCACTGGGGATGCCGTTCTGGCGCCTCGTCCTCTCCGCTGGTATCTTATCCGTGATCATGAGCGTGATCAATGTGGCTGCGGTAAGCCGACTCCTACAACCCTTGAGCTGACACAGTTGCTAACGATTCCATCTCTGATAGAGCTTCGTGTTTTCTGACCGTGACATCGGAGTCAGCGCACGACATGTCCGTCTCTATGGAGCAGTGGCGCCCCAGAAAGTGGTATCGCGAGCTGGAAGCCAACGATCATTCCAGCTGAGCATGAAGCGGGAGGAATCTTTGCCAACATACAGCCCGCAAAGCTCGGTGCGGAGACACATGTCTCAGCGGACTAGCACTCGCTTTCCACTCAAGATCTCCCCACCACTTAATCCGATCAATATCAGCGACGCGGCATCGTCCAAATACTCGAGGGACTCGGCTGGAGTTACAATCCCAGACCTTTCGCATCATCCAGCAATGCAAGCAGGACGCATATAACACACTACATCAGCGAGGATAACTTGTTGGCAGTCGGACGTCGATACTTTCTGGTTGAGCGGAGCATACACAATGGCGTTGGTACAAGTAGCGGCTAAGAGATATCCACTTCCACTTTGTTGTTTTTTTTTTCTTTTTTTTCTTTTGCGAACTTCGAAAGTCTATATATATAATTAAAAGTAGCAAGCCATTGACAATCGTCGTAATGGTAACTACTTAGTATACTCAGTACCGATTCATGATGGTAAGTGAACTTCGGAGCCCTGATTATTATTGTATGAGTATTCTATAGTTGCTGGTCCCTCTTGATTGGCGGACCGCGGGCACTGCCGCTTGGCGCCGGCGGGCGACCTTATCGCCTCCAGCCAGGCCGGCACTTTGAGGCCACCTGGAACACTGCAACGCATCTGCTTCAAAAGAAAGAGCAAGTGGTTGTCCGCTCGATGCGACAACTTCCCTCGCACCACACAAGACATTGACAAAGATGGTTGAACTCGGGATCTCGTTTGCAACGTATGTATCACCTACCCTACCCCCCACCCCCCCAATCCACCCTTTTTTACATTGTCAATAACCAACACGAATCCCGGCAACCACAGCATCAAGTCATTCCTCATCTTCTTCGCGCCCATCATAATCCCACGCGCCATCAACCTCTACCGCAGCCTGCGCGTATCGATAGCGACCAGACCGCCGCCTCGACCGATCCCCCACGATGCCGCGCGCGCGCTGAATCTCCTCTTCTTCTCCATCACCTTCTTCTTCCTGCTCAGCCTGCCCTTCAGCCCGCGGGCCCCACCGCAGAGCATCTTCACGCTCACGCACTCGCGCATCAACACGGCCAGCGACGTGCTGTTCGCGCGCCTGGCGCGCCTGCGACCGGAGAACACCCTGACGGCGACCGACCTGCTGCTGAAGACGAAACTCACCTCGCTGCCGGCGCGCAAGCTCTACCTGCGCTTCGGCCCGGACGCCCTGGCCCGCTGCCAGTTCTGCTCGCTCGACAACCCCACCACCTACATCCTCTACTACCTCCCGAGCCACGTCCTGCTCCCGCACCTGTTCCACCTGGCCATCCTGGGCGCCGCCACCGCCGCGCCGCTCACGGGCCCGGACGCCAGCCGCTGGCGCAACAAGTTCACGCTCGCCGGCGCCGCCCTGGCCCTGCTGGATCTCTACCTGGTCTTCCGCTACGATCCCGTGCAGACCGGGCCCGCGGCCCTGCGCGCCGGCCTCTCCGTCCCCACCGCCGCGTACTACCAGCTGGGCCTGCTGCGGCCGCTCGCCTTCGCCGTTGTGGATGGGGTCGGTGCGCTGCTGATCTACCTCGCCGCCTCCCGGCGGTTCTTCTACGCGCCGCCGTCCCAGGCCGAGCAGGTCGCCCAGCTGGTCTCCACGGCGCTGTCCGCGCTCGGCGGCGCCACATCCAAGCTGCACGCCCTGAGCGTCACCCGCAGCACGGTCGTGCGCGACAGGGTGCTCAAGGATCGCGACGATGCCTACTGGCGGACCGTGGTGGCGCTGCATGTCGACAACCCGGCGCTCCGGGCGAGCGAAGATGGGCCTGGGGCGCCGGCTGCCTCGTCGGCGGCACCGATCTCGATCTGGGAGGAAGAGGAGGTGGTTCGTGCCATGTCGCGCGCCATGGCTGGGCAGGGTGGGGTGGAGATGGCCAAGTTGGGGATGGACGCTGCGGAGTATGTCAATACCATCACCAAGGGGCTGGATGGTGCTGGTCAGTAGAGCGGAACGGGTTTGCCTGGGAAATTTGTGCGTGGTCAAATATGGAGCAAGTTGGTTTGGCCAGAGTTTATGCTCTTGTTATATTAGATAATTAATCTGTTCCTCATCATGAATCAAATCCCCCGTCAAGTGAATTCATCTCTCTGGACGGTGAATTCTTGTCATATTCACCTCATGCTAAACCCAGATACTACCGTCCAATTGGCATATCATGGCGATGCAGATCTCTTGACCACTCCGGCGCAATCTTATCCCGTTCGTACAGCAACCCACAGTTGTGACAGAGCGTCTGTTTGATCGATGCAGGTCAGCTGGGAACGCAACCGAGTCAAAGGGAGTTAATGTATCTTTCTTACCCTTGGGCCCGTCGGTCCGTCTCGTACAGCCCAGACTGCCGTACCCCATACCAAGCAATTCGTGCACCGCCAATTTTGTCGCTCCCTGCCGATCGGGGGTTAGTGATGTGACAACCGCAAAGGCATCGCAGATGAGGGATAGAGAGACGACAGACCATTCCGAAAGTGTTCCACCACCTCCACCGTAACCTGCACCGGACCCGGTATCTGGTGTGCCTCGACCCCCGGGCGTTCCGCCCCGACCAGCCGGGCTCAGACTACGGAACCGCCTCTTGCGCTTGCTCCTCTCGCCTCTGCCCAAGGGAGTTTCACTGTCGACATCGAAATAGCCACTTCCTTGTCGGGAAGCCTCTGGTGTGATGCCCGCAGTTGAAGAGAATCTGGCAGTCTCTCGCCGAAGACGTCTGATTTGCCGCTCACGGTCGCCTTCGCGCTTCTCAATCTCCTCCTTGGACAGAGTTTCGACCTTTGGTTCCCAATCATCACCCAGCCCTTCAGGGTCATATCGCCAGCCCGCCTCGGCCCCATTGGCCGCTTGGTTGTCAATCTCGTTTCCGTAGCCACCCATGCTACTAATCAGCCCGCCACTTTCACACACTTCTTTCTTCAGCTTGAGGACTGCCTCGTAAATGCCATGGGCAATGGTTCCTACCCATTCTCCACCGAGGCCTAGATCCGCGCAGGTGATCCTAGCGAACTCCTCCGCCATGCCGGGAGGATGCAACAGTGACCATTCGAATTTGTCGGTGTACAGTTTGTTCTGCAAGTTGATGTTCAGATTGATCATGCATCTGTATGCGTCATCGGGATTCAATAAACTGTCATTGATCAACGGTTCCTTCGTCACCGTCACCTGGTTGGCTCTGCTGTCGGGGGTCGCGCCGTAGGTTAGAGTGGGTGTGGCAGACACATCCCTTGACATGGCTGACGGCAAAGCAGCTGGTTTGCTTGGGACGCTTTGAAACAAGGGATGCAGTGCAACACCGGCGTATTCTTCCAATTGTTGACGTATTTGGTTGCTGATGGCCATCGTCATCGCCTGCGGGTTGGGCAAATCCATGTCGCGAACAAACCCGATTGCGAATTCTTCGGGGGTGGCGAGAGCTTCGTGGAGGTTCCAAAGAAAAGTATCCTTGATTCGGTAGGCTGGTAATGGGTCCTGCTTTCGATATGCAGGTAGGGTGGTTGTGATTCCAGGATCGAGCATGGTTCGCGGCTGGGGAAACGCTTCGAGAGGCTGATGCGCAGGGACCTCCAAGTCAATTCGAATGGGTATAAGGGTGAGAGGTAGTTGCGCCTGGATCTGCAATTGATCGGCACAGCTGGACGAGGCGCAAAGGGAACCGTAGAGTTAGCGCTTGCAAAGAAACCCGTCTGAAGCGGAAAAGGTGAGGTCTGAACATACGCTGGTCGCAACATTCGCTTGATCATCCAGTCACGGAATACCCCTTGAACCTCCACAGGAGCATGTACCTCTTTCCCCAGCTTTTCCGCCAAAGGGACCTTGTCGAAAGTCGAATCCTCTCGTCGGAGACTCCGTAGCCCCGTGGGACGCCGAGGACCTTCACTGTCATCAAATTCCTCATCATCAAAGCCGTCTTCTGCATAATTGATGGCCGCAGTTCCTCGCTTGGTTCGCGGCGCCGGACCGGCCTGACTTGGCGCGATTACGGGCGTAAGTAAGGCGTTTCCGTATTGGCGTAGACGCGGAGGATAAGATGTGATGTAGCCTCTGAGAGGGGACATGTTGGCCATATAGCTGGTCAAAGACATGTCCCTTTCAGTCACTGCAAAAGTCGACTGGCGAACAGATTCACCAATGTTTGAACGCGATAAAGGGAAGAAGCGACTGTTGCCGACAACAGTAGAAAACCGTGGATATGGAAAGTAGACCCAGGATCGCAAGTCGAGAGGAATGCGCACCGGCAAGTTGGTTTGCGCGACAAAGTGAACGGAGTGGAAATGGTTGTAATCAAAATGATGCTAAAGGCCCTCTAGACGGTGATCGCGGTCGACCTCCGCCTTTTCTGGTCGTCGCGCTTTGCCGGCAGAGATTCCCCCAGGCCGGCGCTAGTCCTTTTCCAGTCAAAACACGCACGTGATGATATGTGATGATCTTGCTCGCATCTCCATCAGTGACGTTAGCAGATCTGCTTGCGCTGATAAAACAAAAGTAAGAAGTCTATATGATTTCATTTGAATTCTGATGTGGTTTTGAGCGTGTAGCCTGTAATGGCCCTGAAGCCCTTTCACCTTGTAAGGAGGCGACGCTTCCAGCCTACCTTGTTGAGAATTATTACAAAGTCTCACAAGCAATGCTAAAGACCTACCTAAGAAGCGAAGGCCCATTTCCCTTGCGTACCATGCTGCAATTGAGCAGACTCGGACTCCATTGGGAGTCGCCAACTTCACATGTGGGAGATCTAACACGCACCAACAACGTCGGGAGACAAATGCAATTTACGGCTAAGGACAATCGATATAGATGCTTGGGGAAGTATAATAAACAAGAAAGAGAAGAAATTACTGCATCTGGCTACCGGAGCCCAATTACGCTCTGCAACATCGTCAGCCAAGCTCATATAGATCCGGAATTCTGCGGGAAAGTCTTACCATTTCCAGTGTCCATACTCGCCGAATCCAGATTTTAACCTTGCCGTCTACCCCTTCAACATCATGTAGCTCAACGCCTTCCCACCAACATCTTCTTGCTGGTTTCCGCCAAAAGAGAAGGAGCTTTTGAGCCATTCCCACCGCGTTGTTATTCTCCAGATCACTTCGAATGTCTGTTCGAAGCTTGGCTAATGCCAAGCTACAAATGACTGCCTTATTAGGCTCCGGAGCACGGTGGCCCCATCGATCATCACGATCAAAGCCGCTGAATATCATTAGCATGCGCTGATTTCCTTGGGCATGAGAAATGTGGAGAGCTTACCCTGCAGTGAGCATCTCAATCAGGTGTTGCTCCGTTGAACCTGCTTCGTCGCTTTTCCTCAAACCAGAGAATATTCCATCCTGCTTCAGCAGAGCTTTCGCAGCCGCACGCTTGACTTCCATCATCTCTGCATGATCTATGTCAGGGCGAGGAGGTATCGCGTAGAAGTCTAAATCTTCGCGCAAGACAATGATGCCAGCCCGATCTTGAAGCATGTCCCTGGCAGATGCCTGCATGGAATCGGGAGCGATATCCACATCTTGGGAGGTCGAAGGGGAAGGCGAAGAAGACGGAATCGACTGGGCAACCGAGCGGAAGAAATCCAGCATATACTGTAAAGAAGCCGGATCGTACTGGAGATGACAATATGAGATATAGGGCCCGAGGGACTGTGGAGCCAGGGTCAAGGCCACAGGTACGCCGGCTAGGAATCACTTACGTCAACAGGGTAGATGTCACCTTCATGGAAAGTGCCCATATGTCCATCAGGGAGGAGGCCGTTCGGAAACAGTGACAGAAGAACAAATTCCGGCAACGTCAACAGTTCATCGCGGGAAAGTGTAAATCGAGTACCTCTTCGGGCATGTCAGTGCCACGGGATCAAGACGCTAACTGCTTGCGAAGAGAAGAATAAATGCGCATACCTAAGGTCTAGAGTAATGTGCTCATCGCCACCAATGTCTGCAGGTGGCACGAATCAGCCGTGGACTGTTTGACTGGGTGCAGAGAATCAAGGAAGTTGCATACCTCCTAATGTATTGATCGGCGGCCCTCCAGCCTGTTGTACCTGGGTGATGATACTCGACGCGCCTCCTGCGGCAGCCATGACGTACGTGAAAGATTCGAGTGGACTTGATCCTTCGGTATATGGTGGAGGAGGCTCGCCGTCTTCCGCTGACTTCGCTGAGGAATCTGGTTTGGTGTCTCGAGAGAGCGAGGCTTTAACTTCGGCGACTAAAGATGTTGATGGTTCCGGTCTGAGATGCTCGTCGACTAGGGGAGTAACGAGAGCTGGGGTGAGGGCGGAGCCGGACGGGGTGACAGGGCCCTTTGCGCGATTGGAATCAGACGCCGCGATGAAAACTAGAGACGAGAAAGGAGGAGGGTTGGACGAAAAGAAGCTGGAAGTGGAAGCCTCCGAGCAAGGAGAGTGGGGTGGTGGTGCAGTATAGAAGTCGTCCTCGTCCTGGTCTTCCTCCGTTACGGAGTCCGTCGTTCGATGATGCGGCCGCGCCGTGGGAGGCGAGCCAGAGGAATTCGGTAACCACGACAAGGTGATGAGGTCTGTGGCAGAATCAGGAGGTGAGCGCTCAGCGTCTGTCGTTGTGAAGAATTTGCCGGTCGTCTACTGGATAGTCGTCGGTCGTAGGAAACTCAGGTATGTGACGATCAGGAGGCGTCTTCTGTGGCTGCCTCGATCTGTATCATTCAAGGTATTGGCACATAACAGTTCAGGTTGGTAGTTAGATTCGACCTTTATGGTTCTATCAGAAAAGAATGCTAGCAAAATCAGAAATAGCGAGATAGCGAGAAAGCAGAATTAGACGGTGGGGGGGGTATCTGTAGACGAATTACTAGTTTGGGCGGAGGTGACACTGAGGAATGTGAAGAGAGAGAGAGTGGAGTGGAAGAAGGAGAAGGAGAGGAGAGGTGGAAAGGCGGCAGGGAGCGTTTAGGGAGGGAGAGCGGGCAGGACAGCAGCAAAGCAGTACGCAGTAATAATAATAATGATAACGGCCCTGAGCGCGCGGGTAACTACTGAGTTACCTCCAAGGAACGTACAGTACTAACTCAGGCGGTACTAGTAAGCTAGGGTATTTAAGGTGATGAAAAGTGGTCGCTCGCCCGTCGCTCGCCCGTCGCTCGCCCCCTGCTCGGTTCCCATTGCATTGACGGTGTAGTGACTGAACATACGAAGTGTGGGTAGTAGTACTGGATGTACCTATGACTATTTTGCCTTCGCGCGACCAAACTCTACCAGGAACCGGCGCTTTTGAGAAGCTAAAAAGCTCCTGCTGAGCCTGGAGAGATGCTTTGTGCAGTCCCTTGTCACATGACCGTTCACTACAATACCCACCATAGTTATCGCGCATGCATACGCCTTACAGCAAAATTAGTAGAGACTGATTCGTGCTTTGGATTCTATACTAGAGATAGAGTAGCGTATATCTCACCTCTATCTTCAGTATCATTTTCTACTCATCTTCAGAGCTGCTTTCCTGGGCTGCTTACCTTAAATAGTAGCTTACTTAGTTACTTGAACTACTAAGTTACCAAATTAAAGCTAACTTGCCTTAGCCGCTTGGTTTGATATACATCTTATGAAACCTTGCTCGCACGTACTCTTCCTACTCGTATGAACCACCGCGCTTGTGCTTACTTGTACCGCAAGCGCTACTGTAGATTGCCCTGGTGGCCTGCTTTAATGGCTTACTTCAACCGCCAGGGCTGCTTGCCTTGACGGCTTGCCTTGAGTATAGACTGGCGTGAGCCATATTTACCGCTTGATTTGGTTGTTTGACAAACTTTGAACCTCACATGCTCTACATGCATTGGACACAGGCTGATTATGATTCATCCGATGGCCGGGACCTAGTGTATAGAACAAGCATGATACCGATGCTGTCCGCAGACGGAATGTTTAAACATCGCGCTCGACGTAACTCTGGATGATACCCTCGAGGGTAGGTTCGTACTCTTTGAGTGTCACCTCGTCTCCGTCGAGGATGGTGTTCGCCTGGACGAAGATCTTGCGAGGAACCTTATTCTTCAACACCACCTCGCGGACTTCGTTGCCCCACCACGCATCGACGGATGTGATCTCATCATAGAGCTTCTTGCCTGAGGCGAAGTCTGCAGTGCTCTTGTACACATGCAATTTCTGCAGGTATTTCTCCACAGCAGGTCGGCCATGTGACAGAATCTTCGACCGATCCAGATGAATCTCGAGATCGGAAAGATCCGGTTTGCTGTAGGAAAGCTTGACGAAATCGTCACCAGCATCGAGGAAGGTTCGTAAGATACTGTAGCGGGCCTGCATGTGAGCCTGTCCCCACTTCTGGGTCTTGGGATCCCAAAATTCGAGCGCAACCAAACCGGCACGAGCCATCGACAAGTATCCCGCAAAGAGGACATCGCCAGCATCGTTCGCAAGGTCCACCTGGCCGTCACCAAACCCAAAGAGCTTCAGAATCTCAAAGTCGCAACTAAGCACCATTGCAACGCATTCTGCACGACACTCCTCGTAAGACGAAGAGACGGCCCCGAACACGGAGCCCCAAGTTTGGCCAGGCTTGTACCATGTCGTGACAGGCTTGTTAGTCACTGGACTTACAGGAGGGTTGGAAAGGTCGAAATTGTATTTTCCAGCAGACGTCTCTTGCAGCAGCTTTCCAGTTCCATGACCAAGCAGCTCATGAATGCCAACCTGAACCTCAAACGCAGCATCACGGTTTTCGCTGTATACTTTGAGGTCTTTAGCGGCGATGAATGGGATGGGCTCGTTGGGGGCTTTAGCACTCAGAACGTTCCCAAGGGAAACGTTCTTGAACCCAAGTGTTTGCCGAATGTCATCATAATTGGGGAGGTTTATTCCAGCGGGGAGGCCAGAGCATTGGAAGCTCAACACCTCCAGAGACGTGAAGTCGGGGCTGAGAAACTTATCCTTCTCAAACTCTTTACTCCACGGTAATTTAGGAATCATGGTCTCGGCACTGTCAACCAGCTTGCCGAAAGCGCGGGTTCGCTCCAAATTGACCTGTTCGAGTTAGCCAGTGAACCAACGTGTCATACATCAATCACATGTTGAGCAGAAACTCGTACCAGCGCAACAAATCCTTCCCATTCTCCTCTCACCCCATGCGGATCCCTGTAGGTTTCGACGAAACCCACATTGGTCTCTAATATTGGCTTCTGATCCTTTACCCAGATCCGCTGGCTTTCCTTGAATGCCTCGATAGAGCCAGAACCAAATGAGAGAGCGTAGGCATCTAACATCCGCTTCTGATTATCGTTGGCAGCATACAGCGAAGCCTGCTTGATACTGTGAGCGACTTTTGCCATCTCCTCTCGATAGTCACCAAAGACGAGGCGAAGCTTGTGGCCCTTCAGCTTGCCATCGAGATCGAAGCTATCGACATCGCCCAAATCTCGGTCCCGTGCCGGGGGTGACGAAACACCGGAAGCGATTAGAAGTTCGAAATCCCCAGTCTCTGTTTTCTTCAGTCGCGTATTCTCCAACGGCAGCCCTTTTTGCTCCAAAAAGTCACCGACGGCTGTGATTTCTTCTTTGGTGATTGATGGCGAATCAGGATAATATGTAGTCATATGGTTTCCCTCTGTGTAACCCAGGTGCATACGCGATTGTACATCTGTCTCATAAATGCCACCTCCTGTGCTGTTGGCCCGACTGAAGGCGTCCTTTGTCTGGGGGGAGGTAGAAGCTAAAGCTTGGAAGGCCTCAGCAGGCAAGCGGGGGATAAACTTCGAGTCGCCAAAGCCCTTGTAGTTGCCACAATTGCCGAGGAACTGGGCAGCATATTCTAGGAAGTAGCGAAGATGCTCGTCGCTGACATCGGTTCTCCGAGCGAGATCGGTCCAGTCTCCATTGCAGGCCCGGTGAAGTTCAACGATGAGGTCATAGATGGGTTCTGACTCTGGGGAAACCTGGCGAAGGGTGATTCGAGTTCCTTCAAAGGCGGCGCTAGAGAGAAGTTGCCCATGTTAGCTTCACCGGGACGTGGCCGCTCTGATAGAAAGTTGGCAGCGAACCGGCTCATATAATGCGCGTATTTACGCAGCTTTGCATCCTTTAGATTATCGAAATGTGTCTTGATTTCTAAGCGCACTACTGAGGGCGGCGAGTCAGCCAAATAGTGTTGCTTCACTTTGTCATCCATGTTGATCGGCGGTGATGATGTTGATGTTGATGTTGATGTTGATGTTGATGTTGATGTTGATGTTGTCGTTGCTGTTACTAAGAGTTCTGCACTGCCAAGGGGAATTGTAGAGGACAGGTTGCTGGGCCGGGACGAAGAGGAGCACCGGATGGGATAGTAAGGATTGAGGGGTAAGTGCGGTAATCGGAAGCAAGAGGGGTGGCGGTGGGCCGACGGGAAGCGCCTCCAGGCGCTTCGAAGAGAGTGCATTTGTAGCAACTCGCCAGCCCGGGGTGTTTGAGCTGAGTTCCTCCCCGACGCCCGTCACCTTTCAAGTCCAAGCTTTCTACGATTGAGGGTGCTTGGCAGAAGTGGAGCTTTGGGCTACTCCCTCTGAAAGGTCCACTCTGTTCGGTCAGCGTACCGCGTACTAGTCTAGGTGCTCCGTAGATATATTCTTTTAGTAAATATACTCATATACATAGTCGTGAGATACCTCACTAAGCCTTGGTCAGCCAATTCTATGGGTGCAAAGCTTCTGAGAGAAACTTGATATGTACTGGATAGCAATCTTTTTGGATCAGCTATTGCCATACCTCGTAACATATGCAGAACAGCCGGAGGCCACTTGTTTTGTTTTGTTTTTGTTTTTTTCCTGCCAGTCCAAGTCGTACGTTACAATTATAATCGGGTAGTGTATGTGGGCAAATTATATGCATTTGTGGTGCTTGCAATCACACATCCAGCGACTCGGTAGAATATCGAACACTGAAGGTTGGAAGAAGACGAACGGATTCACGCAACAACACAGGTCGTACATCTCATAGCAAACTCTCATACTTGTCAAGGCCCTGTTTTTGCATCCCTTGCGGTGGAACTGAAGTATTGCTAAAGGAAGCAGTGGGTGGGATATTACCACTGAAAGGGGATCGCACGGGATTCGGCGCTGCAGTGGGGTTCGTCAGGGAGCCAACTTGGCCCAGCCCGGCTGGCGGGGGAGGAATTGAGAACGCGGCATAGTTGGGAGTAGATTGCGATCCTTGTCCAGAGATGCCATTGTTGACCCTGAGACCGGACAAGGATCCTAAGCCATTGCTCGAAGCCCTTGACCCCGGAAGAGGCTGTTGAGGGTTTGAGGAACTCGGTGAGGTCCAAGATTGAAGGGCGGGAGGAGAAATCGGCAACGTAGGAGCTGCTGGAGTTGAGGGCGAGTTTGTTCTAGCAGCAGGTTGCAAGGAGGGAAAGGAGCTCAGGTTGTAATCCGGTGTGACCGACCGCATGCTGAAATTTGATAGTGTTGGTAGCATGCTTCCTTTGGAAACAGGGCTAGCAACGCTTGGCGACCAGGATGTCCCGGTGGATGAAGTGCTTGCAATGGGAGGTCGTTTTGTTGCGGGCTCTGCAGAGGCAGTACTCCATAGATCGGTATCTTGACCATTGAGGCTGTTAGGTTTCCGTCCCAGGACCAGACGCTCAAAGGTCTCTTGTGCATCGGCGCTAGTTTGATCCAAGTCACCTGCCGATTGGGAAAATCCTACTGCACTAGTCTGAAACTTGGTATTGTCGCCTGCCGAAGAAAGTTCCTGCAGCTTCTTTGTCTGCTCACGTTCAACTTTCGAGGAAAGATCTTTGATCAAGCGCATGAAACCGCCGAATTGGCGAAGATCGAGGAGAGGTCCGAGGCTGAAGCTCCATAAGACTGGGAGAAGTTCCAAAGCAAGGAACTCAGTATCTGCCACTGTTCCAACTTGTCGGAACACATTCAGTGCTGCCATCATGACAGCTGGCTCTTTTGTTTTGATGGCCTTCAGTGATGGAACAAGTTTCTCTTGTATCGTGTACTTGTCCAGAATCGATGACTTACTCGACTGCGGTACGCTGCCTGGGCCAACACCCGTCAAGTCATCTCCTAAAGCTTCTTCAGAGTTCACAGTACCGCCACAGAGAACAGCAAACGCCTCCAAGCAGCGCACTTTAATGGCAAGGCTATTCGTGCGACTGAAGGTTGCAGCAATCGGCGGAAAGACCTCATTCTTGACAGTGCTAAAGTCGAGAACGGGTAGAATGACGGGAAGACATTTGATTGCACCATCTACCAACGAATGTGTCGGTGAGTCAAGTCCCAGGCGGATCAAGGGCAAAATATCTGTTCAAATTAGAATCCGGTCATGTCACATAGGCACATCGGAAACTTTGACACATAACTGACCTTCCTTAAACTCCTTCCCGGAGCAATTTTTAGCAACAATGTTCATGTTTTCCAGGACCACCATCAACCCTGCATCCTTCTTGGAGTCACGCTCCTGGTGAGCCCCCTTGTCAGCCGGAAAGGTCTCTTTCAGCTGAGGTATTACCCTATCGGGGAATATGCGCCGCGCACTGGGGATGCGTTGAAGGATGGCAAAAACATTGCCTAAGACAAGAGGAAGAAGCTCACGATCCTTCATCTCGTCTAACAGAGCTCCCAAGACTTTTCTTTCCAATACAGACACTGGGAACTCGGGTAATACTCGTTGCAAGCCGCGCATGAATTGCGATTTCTCATTCGGGTTCTTTGCTGGCAGAGACTCCAGGAAATGGATTGTTGAAACCAGAATATTGTCGAAGTAGGGGGATTGCTGGAATTCTCGAGCATTTAGTCGCTGGGCTGGCCTTCGAGTTATCAATCTGGGTAGTACATGAGTGAGGATGTCTCTTGGTATTGTGCCCGAACACAAGAAATTGTTGCCTTGAGAAGGGGTGGTGGAGGAAGAGCTAAGGAGCTTCTTGTATGTGTTCACATTTGAGTGTGTCTGCAATGGAGATACATGGGGTGAGTTATAGAGCGCCACAATCACTAGACCAAGTGAGAAAAGGTCGGCGGCGGGTGTGACATTGGAGTCTAACACAAAGTCTGGAGAGGTATAGTCCATGTTCAACTGGACTGACGTTGGTAAGCGGGGATCTTGATAGAGCACTTCTGACAAGGCAAGTGGTGGAAGCGTCGGTCGTGAATCCGATGCAGTTAGCGGGCCAGCGAACCCAAGCCCAGAGATCTTCCAGTCCGATTTAGCATTGATGAAGACGGCTTCAGGATTAAGATTTCCGTGAACGAGCCCTGCCGATTCGTGCAGAAACTCGAGACCTTTTGCCACTTGCAACAGACCTTTCTGGATTTCTAGCTCATCAAGATCAAGATCTCGTCGCCTCCGCGTTCCATCAGGATCCTCCACCATGTAACGGCTAGACCATCCGCGGCGGGCATCAGATGCGGCCCTGGCAGAGCTCTCTTGAGTATCTTTGGCCTGCAAAAGTCCAGCAAGAGAGGCAGTAACCTGTTCAGTAGCAAACATAAGCCCGCCGCCACGTGTTTCTTCCAGAGGTTCTAGAACCTGAAGAACAGAGGGATGTCGAAGGCGTGCAAGAGTGCCGGCTTCTCGCTTCAGTCGCTCAACAACATCTTCCTGCGACTTTTTAGTGGAAGCACTGGAGCGACTGCCTAGCCCGTTTGAACGGGTCTCGAGAACCTTCTTATCGAAGATAAAGATCGAAGCCAATGTGCCTGTGGACTTCTTTTTGCCGTCATGGATCTTCCACGGCCCTGAAACCAAGGTTGGGTGGGGAGAGACTTGATAGTTTGATGTTATGTTAGAGCTCAGAGATTTGAGCGCAGATGAGAACATTTTCGCCTATCAACCCAGATATATAACCGTTTGCGAGCACACAAGACACTATTGACTAATTCCAATGCATCCAAAGCGAAGCTTATGCGGGAGGGCGTATATTCGGGGAATTGAGATATCACGAGCTTGCAAGAGGAATAAAATGATGACGCAGCAATGAATCGGGAAAGGGGGAAGTATATGGATAGGAACAGAATAATTCATGAACTGAGGTTTGAAAAAGGCTCCTCAGTTCAAGAGTAGAGTCAAGGTCGCCGTATTGTTGCTCCAGATTTTCCAAACTCTTTCTCCTCTTCCCTTTCTCTATTCATGCCATGTATGGCATTCCACTTGAATAAGTTAGTTATCATTCGGGCGTGCAGCTGCCCGCCCGAGGCCTATGTCACGTGCACCCCAGGCCTAAATTAGTGGTTGGCCCAGGCAAGCAACTCTTTTACTGACCGCCTTCCTAGAACGATTATTGCCGGGTATCTGTGCCGCTCGACGCCGACGTCGGAACCTTGCCTCCAATAACAGCGCGATAGTCAATTCATCTCAGGGCGAACAAGTCACATAGCTTAGACCCAGCCGTGATCTGTGAGAGTACAATTGATGCCAATTTGACCTGAAAATCGCGGCCTCGTGTTCCAATCTGTGGTCTGGGCCAAAGCCATCTTCAGATACTAAATAGTTCTTCATCTGTGGATCTTCCGGAGTTGCGCCCGGGGTCCGTTGAAAAAGAGTCATCAAGTGCTTTTCTCCGCCTTTTTAAAGCTCCGCAACCGCCTCCCCAAAATAAACCTCAATAGTCTTTGGTGATAGTGCAGCACAGGATTGACTAAGTGTTCTCTACCTCATCATCTTCACATTGTTTGCGGATCACTTCACGATGCGATCTTTCCAGGTTGCCCGTCGTCGGGCGTTACTACAAAGCTTCGTTGCCCCTGGCGCTTCTCAAAACTCCGCACTGAGTCAAGTATGGAAGAGATGCTTCAGCGCAACACCAACTGCTGCTTCCAGATTAGCCGGCCTTGATCCTTCCAAGCTTACAGTCACCAAGACGAGCACGCCCAAAGAGTTGACGGCTGCCAAGGACCTTGTCTTCGGAAAGACATTCACTGGTATGGACATTCTGCATTGGCAATGACCTGACACGGTCCGTTTCTGATTTCCGTTAACATTCTCTCGCTCTTAGATCATATGCTTTCGATTGAATGGACAGCGGCTGATGGCTGGCACACCCCCCAGATCGTTCCGTACCAGAACCTGAGCCTCGATCCCTCAGCCTGTGTGCTTCACTATGCATTCGAGTGCTTCGAAGGTATGAAGGCATACAAAGACAACAAAGGCCAGATCCGACTGTTTCGCCCGAACAAGAATATGGCACGTTTGAACAAGTCGTCTTCCAGAATTGCGTTGCCCACCTTCGACGGCGAGGCTCTGACCAAACTGATCGGAGAATTTGTGAAACTGGACAGCAGATTCATCCCCGAGTTAGTGCAATTACAATTCCTCATCCAGCAGCATTTAGTCATGGCTAACCCCTGCTTTCCTAGTGCTCGAGGATACTCGCTATACCTGCGTCCCACGATGATCGGCACTCAAAAGACTCTTGGTGTCGGACCCCCAGGTTCCGCCCTTCTATTCGTGATCGCAAGCCCTGTTGGTCCTTACTACCCTACCGGCTTCAAGGCTATCTCTCTTGAGGCCACCGACTATGCAGTCCGCGCCTGGCCCGGTGGTGTGGGAGACAAGAAGCTAGGTGCGAATTACGCTCCTTGTGTTCTGCCTCAACTCGAAGCTGCCTCTCGGGGCTTCCAGCAGAACCTTTGGCTCTTTGGAGAAGAGGAATACATCACTGAAGTTGGCACAATGAATCTTTTCGTCGCAATGAAGAACAAAGAAACTGGTCAGAAGGAGCTGGTGACAGCACCATTAGATGGCACAATTCTTGAAGGTGTCACTAGAGATTCGGTGTTGGCTCTGGCAAGGGAAAGATTGGTGCCGAAGGGATGGGCCGTCGCAGAGCGCAAAGTCAGGATGACCGAGCTTGCTGAAGCAGCCCAGGAGGGAAGGCTCATTGAGGTCTTTGGAGCCGGAACCGCAGCTATTGTGAGCCCTGTACGAAAGATTAGCTACAAGGGTGAGCTTGTCGACTGCGGTCTGAAGGAAAACGAGGAGGCTGGGGAAATCGCTTTGCAAATGAAGAACTGGATTGAGGGTATTCAGTATGGTGACGAGGAGCATCCGTGGAGGTGAGAATTCTTCTACCGACCTGAATACGGCTTTTGCAAGACTGCTAACGATTTTCACAGCTACGTCCTATAGAGTCAAACTTAAAAGATAGGAGTTGATATGCTTTATACTATCATTGCGTGCGCATATGTGTGCTTGTGTGTCTTTGTCGTTCCTCATAGACGTATCAAAACGTTTGTTTGGATCAGTATCAAGGGGCGTTGTAGGGCTAATGGCGGTTCTGATGGACTAAAAACATAAGAATAACAATATGTCATGGTCAATTCCTGAGCCTTATCTGAGGCTAGGACGGTGGAAACTCATCTTTTCAGAGCTCCTGAGAGACCGTGGTTCTGGTCCGGACGAAGATCTCGCTGTACACCAGCTCGTCCAAAGGCGCCGTGCCGGGGCCAAACGCACGGCAAGTATAGCCACAGAGCCGTCATGTTCAGGTCTAAGCAAACAGACTGAGAGAAAGCTGAACGGTGACGCTAGGTCTCAGGAGATAGACAAAGTCCCACATTGTCATTCTAGCGACCGCACACTGGATAATCGAGGCCAGCATATAACGAGCGTCGTAGCATTTATGTGATGTCACCCTACTGGAAGCCTTCCATCGGGATGTTTTGCAGGGCATAAATGGAAACTCTACATAAAAGATGGAATTACATTGCACTGGATGAGAACTGTTTCCAAAGTATGCCTGTCGTCTCGTCGCCAGCCAACTGAGATTCAGGCTTCTGTGGCATTCTTGGAGCAAACATAACACGTGGTTTGTTGAGTTACCATACAAGATCTCGAAGACCCAATCACCGGTGAATCAATCCAACACATGCTGGCGTGCCATCAACTAGGTAAGTAAACTCACTCACTGACTGATACAGGTAGAATTTGTAATACGCACAGCTCACGGCCCCACCGAGCCGCTATCCACTTTGAACCCTTTCACAGTTCATACCCTGTCCTGCGCGAATTTCCACCTCGGAAGGCCGCTGTCCAGACCCGGCTCCGATCTCGTAAGTGGTCCATGATTAATAATAATCCCCCCATGAATGTCCAAAAGCAGCGCCAACTAAAGTTCCAAACCAACTCAGGGCTCCTTGACCATCTTTCCGAGCCCGGGGCCGCCCATGTTTATGCGAGCAAGCCAATCAGCACGCTGACATCCTGACCCCCACCAGGCAACCATTGCCAGTACCCACCTGACAGATACGCTGGGATTACAGTACAGTACAGTACAGTACAGTACTAATGCGTATATCTACCCAGCCGACACGCACTGCATACTATCCATCCTACCTATTTAGTACAGTGCACTACCCTTTCCTATGTACAGTGCCTTGGTATTCACAAATGATCCGATGCGATTCTAAGATACCTTCTACGCCTCAAGAAGATCGCTGGTTCTGAACTTACTGCCTCATAGCTCTCGACTAGACTAGCCAGTACGTTATCGTATGGATGCCTAGAGCCTAGGTAGACTAGACAGTGACTCCATCAAAAAGTCAGCACCTAGATAAGATTACCAGGCAGCAACGTGCCGGCAGGATCCGTTCCGCGGGCAGTGATGTACTAGTTGGCCTCCAGTCTACGGAGTATGGAGAACACCTGTCTCAGCTCTTGTAAGTTATGTTGTAATTTAATGTAACGCAGATATGAACCTACAGCAATACTAATTGATCCTTAATCACCCTAGAACTCCGTAACTAGCGAGGCAAGGCTGTGTTGCAGTCTGCTCGGCCTGCACAGGTGGAGTGAGCGATGTCATGGGTCAAGATGAAACTGGCCCATGCCCGGTGCTTGTTTTCTGGTTGTACGGATATGGAGGAGCCGCAACTCTGTTTTTCCACCTCAAATCCCGCTTGACACCGCCCGCTGCCGGTGCCGCCCCCCCCCCGGGGTCCTGCATGGTTCCACTTCTCCAAGTTCAGCTCGGTTCTGACTTGGATCTCTTTGGCGCATGGTTCGGATGAGTCGGTAGATACTAGGTCCATGGTAGACACGCTATCGGCCTTTCAAATAGCCGTCCTACCGAGACCATTTGTTTTAGAGCGACAAGGGGGGGGAATCGAGCAGAAGAAAAGGAAAAAGAAAATGAGATAAAACCGGAAGGGGGAGAAAAGCGTGCAATACAATCATATTTCCTGAACGTACTCATGCCACAAGAACTGGCTGAATTATTGGTTGATTACGACTGAAATCATAGATGAAGCTTCTTATGAAGAAGCCACCACGGGTGGCATTACGGCAGGGGGGGAATGAGGAGAAGAATGAAGGAGGAAGACTACCACGTACTGCTCGAGGTAGTTACGGAGTAAGTTACTATCCATCACGCCTCAGTCACGGACTTGCCGCATGCAGTCTATGCGACTGGTCTCAGCTATACGACGATCGGATTTCGGGCTGAGATCTGCGTATCATACCGCGTGTCATGGTCTGTAACAATCTCAATTATAAAGTACTGTACAGTATACTAGTTATACCGTATCTCATACAACAAAACCTGAGCTGGAACTCCAACTGGAACCTTACAGCATCAGGACTACCCTTTCTGGCTAGCTTAATCTCCCTCGCAAAGGCGATGTAATACTCCGCAACAGTCACAGGCTAATGCATGTGCGGTTCGAAAGTCTGAACTTTAGCGAATGTTTCCCAATTCTATTTTCATATTTTCCCTCGAAAATAGCATGCTACATCATTTTGTTGAGTCATAATTGTGCTACCATGGTACTGACTGGACTTGGAAGATTGAGTATTGTAGCACACGTATATGGGAAGCAATACTAAGTGATACCTGTATCACCTAGACCATCGGCCTTTCGGTCAGGCCGAGTCCGACAATTGGTGATGATTCATAGATCATTATCAATCAATCAATATTAGGCCCGTGTCGAAAGGCCTTCCACAACATCACGCTAAGATTGCTAGTCACCAGCTAGTCAACTGCCCAGGGCATGATTCTTAAGATGATTATACCCACGCACCACCAATGTAATGCACTTTGTTGAGGCTCTAGCCTCTGCATTAGTCGCCCACGAGTCGAGTGACTAGACGCGTTGGTGATAATCACTGTGGGTGTCGTGGGCCTTTCGAGCGCTAACTTATCATCCCATAGTACCCATACTGATCCGCCGGACCCCATAGTAGCTCGTTTCTGTCAACTAAACTTCTCTCCCCACTGCCGGTGGCTTTTTCCGGGGCTCACCTGTGGTGGCCCATCTACAAGAGTGCTTACCGATATCATCCCCTGATCGAGGTCGTCGATCGCAACTCATCTCTCCTCGACATAGTTATAGTAGGGGAGAAATCACACGCCTCTGTATATATGTATAGAATGGTATAGAATGATGGCTACGCCGGTCAGAGTACCCCACAGCCTCACAAGACTCTATGACGGGTCTCCTGGCGATTGCCTGTTGGCGTGTGCAGCATGCCAGTGGTCTGGGGCAGATCAAGAGCCCAATCAGCGAGTCAAGCTATCCCGAGTGCTGAATTCATGCGACGCAAATTGGTTGCGCACGTTTTGGGCTCATCGACATGTGGTAACATCGAGGTGCCGTGATGCTAGGGGACACTTTTTTCTCTGCCCTAGACAGGGATTCAGAACCACGCAGGTGCGGACTAGTGGCCGTCTTTGCGGTGGGGGGCTCGTTTGCTTTAGTTCGCGGCGATGGGTCGTATATTGTATATTCAATCTAGACGGAGCTGGCCGGCTCTGCGCATGCATGGCACCAATCAATTCCGCTAGCGCATAAGTTGTGGCATGTACTGTACTAAAAGCAGTTGCTGGGGGGCACTGATCCGCGAGCATTGCCACATGGTCGGGCGGAGTGTACTGTACAGTACCTAAGTAAACGAACTTTCCAATATAACTGTGGTCGGAATTCCTAATCATGGGGGCGGTTTTCTGCTATTGCTCGAATCTGGGATTAGTAACGGTGTTAACTTAGACAATGGGGGCGGAGGTCCGGGCAGGCTGATGAGGTTGGAAGTCAATTTCCTTCCACTGTAACTATAGTTCAGCGGTACTGTACAACAATCCAACTTGCCAGATTGGGGCCGGAAAGAGTGGTGGCCGTACAGTACATCACTTTCCTACTTCGGTAAGCAACTCGGTCAAACCGAATATCTCCACGGCGCACGTACCGAGTAGTTTGCATGGTTGAGACATCCTATTGCAGGTAGTGACTACCGCGGGCTAGAATTCGGAAAACGCTGGGTTAGGTGATGTGATCCTATCCCCCGGCATGGGATGACTAAACCGATCGTCGTGTCCGTGAAGGTCACCCGAGATGTTAGATAGGAATCCACAGGCACTGTTATTTCAATAGGATAGTCTAGAGATAGAGATCCCAGAGCCAATTTCTCACCCGCCGCAAATCATGGTAGGTGGAGGTCCGATAAGAATGGCGCCATCACATGGAGTCATGGCTGCTGCACATGGAGTTCCCGTACAGTACAGCATTCGACTGGGGTGTTTTTGTCTTACACACTCTTCCCGGTCTTGCGGGGCTCTTATTCTTAGTCTTCTCCTAGTTTCTTAGCCACATAGTATCATCAAGTGCTATGAGTGACTCATTATTACTTGCTATGATAAGGATAGGTGTCATACGAGCAAGAACTAACCGACCTTGATCACGGACATTTGCTATACACTACGTGCAGTACATTGCAGTGTGGCAGGTTTTGGTTTTGCTTCAGGCTTGTGTCTATGGCTTTAAAGGTATTGTATGTACTGTACAACCCTGGGTTGACGAGGCTTGGCCTTACTGAACGTTCTTGCGTGTATGCATGCCTATGCATCAGGAGAACCCAGGACTGGATAAAGCCTGAAGACTGCTGCACTAAGCCATTTTGATTCGGCTATCAATAATACAATCGACATAGTTACCACACCAGTCGATACAGTGAAATGCAGTGCAGCAGCGCGACACAGTCTCAGGTTACCCTACGTGTCTTCTAGAAATACCAGAAGCTTCTTTGTGGCACCCGCCAAGGGTTTTCTGTGGAAGTCCTTCCTGCTTCTTCAGGTGTTGAAAGAAAAGAAAACCCGTCCAACCGTAAGGCACGCCATGGCATGCAGAGATTACAGCAGTCCTATCTACCCATGCATCGACCTATCCTCGTGGCTTGGTAGTGCTACAGTACTGTGTGACTATACGAGCTGTGCCTGCAGCCAATGATTGCTGCATTTGCCCGGATCTAGCGCAGCTGAACCTATTTCAGGAAATATACAGTGTGCTGTACTATGCGTACTCCGCACAGGTTACGGCCAGCATTGGAACTCAAGCAACGTTGAGTCGATAGACGTGTGGCACAATCCCATAGTACGAGTTCTGTTACGGTCCTGCATGGACGTCCTTATCAGAGGAGTATTGGCCATGGGGTTCGAGTCAGGCCCGCAATCCTGTCACTGAGCAATCATTCCGCAGATGATCCTTAGCCTCTTCAGCCCTACACACTTGTCGAAATCTGGTGGGCTGTGATTGATCTGGCCTAAGGCTCGAGCTGTCCCGTCTCAAGCTGGGTGTAAGTCTGCAGGTTTTTGAGCCGCAAGTTTAGCATAGCATGATCAACATGGACACCTGAGGCCAAGAGGCCCGCCCCACTGAGAATGAATGATGATTTGTTGTCTCGTGAAGTGGTACTTGGGGCTGAAAATGACTCCAGACAATGGTGCGAGATCATTGGTCCCATTGGACGTGAGGGGATGTTCTTCCCCTCACTTGCCCCCCCCAACAAGGGCCTCATCTCCGGCATGACAACTTTGAAGCCCAGTAACGAGGACGCAGGCGCTATCTTAATTGAGCAGGACCCTGTACTACGGGCAGTGGCCAGGCTAACTGGATACTAGTAGATTAACTACCTTTAGCTGCGGTAATTCACTCTCAAAGCATGCTGCTGATCTTTCACAGAGCGCAATCGCTACGTAACTGCCCACTGGGGAAACCCTTGAAGTGTTTGGCTTACTATAGCCAGAGTACAAAGGCAGATTAAACCAAATGCTAAAGTAGGCAGTGGCACTCTACAGTATATGGGATGATGGCGGTGCACTCGCATTAATGGAACTGGAAGGGAAATGGACAGCCCTAATCGGATAGGGAGAACGGGGGCCGTTTCTTGCTGCGAGACAGCAAACTAGGCCCAGGGAGGGGTGGAAGGGGTAAACCCACTTAGAAACGGAGTGGGCTGTGCTTTGACGCTGAGATATACCCTAAACAACAGCCATGAGATTCTGCGACGGGAAAATTCCAAGGCTCAATTGACATACATTCGAGGATGAATGGCTGCCCTCTCAAAGGATCAATGATCGCGACCGAATGAAGCTGATGGAGGAAGCAAGGGAGTGCCGTATTCCACACAGCGCGCCACTTTATCTAGACCAGCCATTCGGAGATGGTGAGATCTTTATCCTTAGTGTACTGCCAAGATCAAGGGGTGCAACGTGGTCGAAGTCAAGGCCGTGCACTCAAGGCTCGTGCTCATATCCTGTTGCGGTTGGCTACGGCCCGCGCTCGAAAGATAGGCGCCATGCTGGCGGTCACTAGAAGGAGTAATTATTCTGTGTGGCAATTGAGAAGTCACTTTGTAGTACTGTACCTGCTGGGTAGTGATCAACTAGGCGCCCTGTTCTGGAAAACGCGGTACCCTGTCGCGATTGGGCTTGGGGCTCATCCCTCCTGTGCATCATGCATGGCGGGAAGTCATTTGCAAGCAAGGCAAGGAGACCATGATGCTCCTGATTATTATACAATAAAGCATTAAATGATAAGTAATAAGCCTATGTGACTACAGAATGTACATGAACTTGATAAGTGTTTGCTTCTGACAATAGTGTCAGAGAGATCTCCGAACGGCAGGCAAAAAAAAGACTGCTATATTCGGGGCATACCTGGAATCAACAAAGAATTTCGTGCGCGGAGCAGGATTTTAGGCTGAGTTAGACCGGCGGAATCTCTGTTCAGCGAAACAAACAGCCATGTGCTCAAATTATCTGGACTCGGTAACTATTTGTTTACGGCAATGAAATCAGAGAGCCAGAGAAGAACTTCCTCACCTGTTCCGCAAAAGTGAAGTTTGGTTCAACTAGAAAAGTCCACAGCTAATGATCTTGTCAAAGTAACAGATAACTTATCACTGACAGGGTCTAGCGAGATACGGTGTAGACACCATACCTGAGTGTAAACTTACCAGCGATACATACCAATAAGACGAGAGCCGACCAAATCATTAATACTCCGTACCCAAGTTGCCATTTTTCAGCCCCCCCCCCCCCCTCCCTTGGGTCCAGATCTTGCAATGTCAAATGTCAAGTCAAGCCATGCACGCGAACTGTAGACGACATACTCATCTCCCCACACCTAAGTACTCTAGTACAGATACCTTGTTTCATAGCTCAAGGGGATCGGTCTATATTGGGGCCATTTCTCTACTAATGATTTGTATACATGCCATCGCACTGCCTCTTAAGGCCCCCCAGATCCCTTTCGGTAATTGAAATGGTTTCCCGATTGATCCCAAAGGTCGTCTGTCTCATGCCTCTGTATGTACTTGGTATGCGGCAGGTATGCTTGTACATGTACAGCCATCAATGCGAAGCTTCCCCACAGACATAATTGTGCGAGGACTGACATCCAAGGCAATCTAACGCTTGGCTGTGCAACAGTCGGGCTTCTGCTCTAATGATCTCGGTTGGTTCGAGTTGAACGCCGAGGTACTGCACCACTAGCACAAGTTTCTGCTTTTTTTTCTTTCTCTATCTCGTTTTTATCGTTCTTCTCTCACTCGTCGTCAAAGGAGCCTCTGGATAAGATATCCGGCTATTTCAAATACTGAAAATTAGATCATGTACGCCCTCTCAAAGGAATTGCGACAGGCCACTGTCATTCAAGTCAAGTCAATCAAAAACACAATTACAGTACTGTGTACCGTACATACTGTACATAGAAAACAAACGAAAGGCAGACTGCGGACCGAGATCGGCCAGGCATCGGGGTCATTCCAATTTCCTCCTCCGACGGAATGCTGCGGCCGATTGCACTAAGAACGGGGAAGACCGTCTCGTGGATACTGATGATCCACTTCGTAAATGATCGGTATGTGCAATATGGAACCACATGGGTGATATTGGTGGACAAACCCGAAGTTGGTGTCAGTCTAGCACAGCCTGATATCATGCCTCTCCCTCCATTCCGGTGTGTCGGCCATCGGGGGTCCGCTCAAACAGCCTCATGGTCTACGAGTAGGATTGCCGCTAACCCACGCCAGCCATTAGTGACGCAGCCCAGCCCTGCACATCGGCGCATCCATTCGGGTAAGGTTCCTTACCAACACATGGTCGAGCCATGCATTCATTCCCTGCGAAAGTGTTTCCCTCCCCAAGCCCCCTCCCCCCTCCCTCTTCGTCTCCCCCAGTCACCTGTCCCCCCTCCCCCTCCCCCCGTCTTCCACGGGTAATAGGTCTAATGGAGAAAGTATAAAAAATAAATTCAAGATCAAATTAAGAGATAATCAAATGAGACCGATCCAGAAAATCCCCCCTCCCCAATCCTCGTTTTCTAAAAAAGAGAAAGAAAAAGATAAAATCAGAAAAAAGGGAAAACAAAAAAAACCCCCAATAAAAAAATAAAATAAAACATCAAGATGCTGCTAGTCTTACGAGCACGGACTAACACGGTTATCGCAACGGTTCAATCGACTGTCACTGACGGGCTACTTTCATTCGGACCCGGGGCTTAGCAGGCATAAGCTACAGACCTGTTCGCCAGCTGATCGACCCATGGCTTAATTTTGTTTTAAATACTGAATGAATGCCTCCTGCACATTTCTATCGCTTCTTAAAAGCAAAAGCTGTGAAACTTCTAAGGCCCATTGCTATTATCTGTGCGCAGTACGCAACTATATAGTTGACCTTACACCTCTCTCCCTTCGATTCCCATTGATAGCAACACCACCCCGTACTTTGCGCCTGAGATACCGGTAGCTTGGTACATCTCTCTTCCCAATGCCCAGCATGCATCGTTCATCCAACTACTCCTATCCTCAATCCTCCAGCTCGAGAAGTTCATCGAATCATGCTTCCAGCAGCGCCTTCAGTCCCAATGCCAACCCTAATGAAGATTGGACCAAGATCTCCGATCTTGCGGAGAGGCGACGAATTCAGAATCGAATCGCGCAGAGGAACTATCGTAAGTCACAGAGCTTGGGAGTTGGAGAGAACATTGACTAATCAACCTCGCTTGTCTGTAGGAAAGAAGCTAAAGCGTCGCTTGGAAGATCTAGAGAAGAGAGCGGCGACAGCCTCGACGTCGCCTGAACGAGCTCTCGAGAGATCAGAACCACAGAAGGCGGTATCTACAGCCAAGTCCGGTCGTAGCCGACAGAGTCGGGCGTCCAAAGCCAGTCAGAATACCACAACCCACTCGCCCAGTGAACGAGGCTCGTCCTACGACAGTTACTCCACTTCGGATGATCGAGGGTCAATGTTTTCTCACCAATGTACCCGTCAGCTTTCGGCTTCACCACCTCCGGTATTTTCATACCCGTCCTACTCGCATCTAGACCCGTATGGTCACTCGAGCTACGGTCAGCCGCCATCATATCACTCGATGGGAAGCAGCTACCATGATTTGCCCTACCACAACGAATACAGTACTCACCTCCCTTCGATCCTTCCCGTCGCTATATCAGCCACTGGACCATCCAAAAAGCCTCATTCCTATGCCGATGATGAGATTGTCAGTCCGTTCAGTATGAGCTATGCCTCCATGGCGGGCATTGATCTTTGTCCAACACCACAACAGATGCCCGAGACCAATATCCCTGTACATACCCCTCTCTCTACACGACACATGTCGGTATTAGAGCTCCAGGGTTAATGGTGCTAATTCTGTCTCTCAGATGCCACCCTTGTCTTCAGCCCATAGCGATGGTCACTCCTCACCGTCGACCCCAGCAGAGCCTTCACTGGGGACAGGGCCCCTCACGCCCGAGTCGGGCCCGTGCTCTCCCCACATGTATCCTTTCCTATGACCGTGCGACTAATATTTCTTTCCTCTGCTGGGTTTTCTTTATATCCTCTTCCCTTCACTTTCTCGTGGTTACACCCTATAATGACTGCAATGATGTATTATTGGTATCCGGACTTCAAGCGGCTCTACAACTTTTGTTTTCAGATCTTATGTGGTGTTCCCAGGCCTTCTGGCTCCAGAGCCTGCTTGATTGATTGCTTAGACTGGGTCTCGATGGCTTGTCCTTTGGGCGGGTTGCTCGACTACGGCTCGAGGGGCCATTTTAAAGAATGTCTCTTTTGTTATGACCCTTGGACGCAGATAGAGGCATGGGGTTAGCGGCGTTCTTGTCACCAGGCAGCCCCCTCCCTCAAGGGGGGTTTTTTCTTTCGTGAGATTGAACTATTAAGCAGAGCGCAGATAATGATACAAATCGAATCACATTACTTTAGAGAGCATCCTTTCAAGGGAGGAAGTCTGAATCTGAGCGCGACAGGACAAAGAGACTGTGTGAGGTAGTTTTCTCTAATCCACTATTCGGGCCAGACCGGTGGAGCAGCTAATTAATCTACCATAGCTAGTGCGCGCAATTGCAATTAGACTAGTCTGGCGTACAGGACGTATAGTCGTACTGCGCATGAAATGAGGCTGCCACCTAAGTCTAACCTACCTACGTCCGGTTAGTTGCTAGGTTAGATATGATTAGTATACCCTAGTAAGGTACGTACTGAGTAAGTAAATGAAGTAAGGTACGTACCGTGGACCACAGCTCGAGGGTGGGGGGTGGTGGGGGGTGTGGGGTCTTAGAGCCTTCCGCCAGATGGCTACTTGGCTCACATGTATGATTGGCTGGCTCGTCTGTACCCTTTCAGGTTCCATTGTTTCTTTCCAGCCCCTCCAGTGACTGCACCAGGGCACCTACGTATCTATACTGTTGAACTAGTAGAATAGTACACTATAAGTCACGTAGTACCTCGAAAAGCCTACAGCCCGCGCTGAGCACTTTGCCTTATTCGGTAAGGCGTACCGTACCTGCCATCGGCGGCTCATCGGTCGGCCGCCCCGTGCCTTCCATTTTGGGTAAATCATCATTGTCGGCCGCAGTACTTCCACTCAAGCTCCCTCTTCGCTTCTGTCATCTTCAACATTTGCTTTGTATCTTGTCTTAAATAACCCCGACCATATCCTGCCAGTTAGACAGATTGACTGTCTGGGTTATCTCAAGTCAAGTCGGAAGAGCATGAAGCAGCAGCAACTTACTCGGTACAATACCCATCTGAGAGAATTACTCTCAATGGGGCCGAACATTCAGCGGCAACCGTGCATGATTGGCCCCCCCGGGAGGGGGGGAGAGCCTGAATACAGCCAGCCCCCCTTCTATCTCGTCGCGAGCCAGAAAAGGCCTTGATTTTAGGTTAAGGTGATCGCAAGGCCTTCCAGTTTTGGGGCGGGTGGTTTACCTAGTCTAGATATTTCACCAACCGGAATGCAACCTTTGCAGGGGTTTTTGAATCGAGCTCAAAGACTCAGACTCGACCGCCAATCGCTGTTGGCCAATTCCTTTCCATTGATTCGGAGACAGCGAGAGGCTTCAAGGCGGCTCTCTCTTGATCACTCAAGGACGCTGGAGCCTTGGAGGTGAACCCGAAAGATCCCAAGTAACCCACCACCACAACCACCCACTGCAGCCGCTTAGCGCCTGGGCCAGAATCTAGCCCGGGCAACCGTGCCGCTCCCGGTGATCCCCTCCCTTCTCCTTTGTCCCCCAGCAAGATCGAAACGGCAATGGTGGAATTCGAACGGAAACCCAAAAAAATCAAAATAGAAAAGACCAAAAAAAAAATAAGGAAAAAGAAACAACCACTCATCCCCACCACCCTCTATCTGTACGCTGATGTTGCTTTCCATTTCATGCCAGGAGGCTCTGCTCAAGTCGCCAAAGTGACGTATGCCACACGACTGCTGGCATACTGCTGCGCCTCCACACACCCTGGCAAGACGTGGTACGAATTATGTTAGCATCGACAGATCTGGGGATTCCAAATCACTTTCATGCGCACCCTCACCCTCAGCAGGTGGCAGCTGACTCGCAGCCAGGCTAATTCACGGGTCTCGTCTCAAGTGTGCAGTTTGGATCGTCGGTGTTCAGGTCTGTATCGGCTGAAGACAGTCTGGACAAACATTCCATGATGTTTTATCGTATTCCCAGTCTTAGCCCCGGGCCATTCGCTTCAGATGGTAATCGTACTCGGAATTAAAGCATATCACCGACTCCCAAATCGGGCTATACCACGAATCGCACAAGGGTTATTTTTGGTCGCAGTCAAGGCAAGTTCCGCTCGTGACGATGTTTTCCTTTCTGGATCACGCACAATTGCTATCCCCGCGTGTGAAAGTACCAGAAACTGGGCCTTGTCGGGCAACACAAATTGCGACGTATTCAACTCCTTTCTATGATTTTTATGATACCCACTTATCTTGAGAACATTACTTTTTCTCGTCCCTTTCACCAACGGCTGCAGCATGGAGCTTACCTTGATTCCAGGCCGCGGATTATGAATCAAGATTGGTTTTATCAGAGAGTAAACCTCTTACTCCCTTCCTAAGTAAAAGTGACAGCCCTAGTCCGCTAGATGCGACCAAGTAAGCCCATTTAAATTCTCAGGACTAAGTCAGAACCCGTTACATGTGAGAACTCTTCCGGACCAATTTGTCCAGACACTCTCCGGCATCCTCGAGGTAACTCTCTCGTCGCGATATCGTGCAACACGCCGTGGAGATACAGCTCACCGGCACCAACCAGGATAGCCCTCTCCCGGCGCGGCTGAGACTATGATTGAGTTACGACTTATTTCAACGTTGCAACGATCCCAGACGCCCCGGCACCGGATTACATGGAACTTTGGCGATTCAGAGGACAGAGGCACATCCTTGCCTCTGAAAGGGGTTCCCTCACTCGGTCGAAGCTCGTATAGAAGGACAGCCATCAGGCCACGCTAATGTGAGACCCAGTAGCATCGCGTGCAAATTCATCAAGCATAATGAATGGAAGAAATGCAGAGAAGGTCCCCAAAAAAAAGACAGATAGGAAAAAGACGAAAAGAATGAAAACGATAAAAACCAACGCGGCTGAACCAAAGATCTGTCGGTCATAGCCCACGGCAAACAAACGGTGAAATCCGACCTCGTCTATGCCGGAGATAGTAAGTTAGCGGAGGTAACGCACAAACCCCGCGCGTCATATCGGCAAGCACATGAAGACGTGAAGATGCCTGGAGGATTGGATAGTTGGCCGCCTAATAATTATGCAGTTGATAGGTACTCTCATGCACACAACCAGACTCCTGCCACCGGTGACAGTTTAAAAGAATCACAAATCAGGACCCAACAAACTAATGTTTACCGGGGATTTCAACGGTCCCAATATCATCATCACCTTAATTTTTCCGATGCCTGAAGATTACGGTCGGTGCAATCAAATGTAGGTATCCGAGCCACGCACTGCATTGTTGCCTGTTGCCTGTTCTTAATTTATGGACCACGTGCAAAGCGGCCCCTCCGCCAGAAGATACGGCCTTAGAACACCGACTTGTCAGATCTGTGGCTTTCTGGTGGTGTCCACTTCCCACCACTCCCTAAGTATAGTGGAGTGATTAGCCAGTGGTAAATATGGTTAAGCTACTTCTGCTGTTCAGTTCTCTCTACATGTGTTCTTCACATTTTTATTTTTTATTTTCTTTCTTCTTCCTTCATATTGACTGACAGCCAGGTTCGCATACCGCATACTCTGCAAGGAGCGAAAAGTAAACCAGCCATTGGCGGTTGTCATTATTACTAGTTACCCAGTTAGTCGTTAGGCCACTATGACTGAGCGAGCCTAAGGCGGATTCGGACTTGGCCGAGACGCAAACCGCCCTCCCAGTCCCCAATATACTGTACTACAATACCTGCTGTGACCTCTTGTTACAGAAAGCCCGAATTGCCCCAACAATGCTAGGTGTCGGTGAAATAGCTTCCTTCTTGGGATTCAAACACTTCTCCTGCGCAACTACGGTTCAACAAACAAGCTGATTGTCCGCAGCGAAAATAATCTTGTGCATGGTGTATTTGTACTGTATTTGTGAACGTGAATCTGTACGCCAAAGACAATAATTTGACTCAACGACGCCTGAATGCAGGTCAACGGGAGGAACGAAACGTAAGACAACGTGAGACAATATCACTGAACATGAGTAGATAGATATATGAGCTTTGGGCCGGTACGCATGGCGGCGAACGGACTAGGTGGTGTTTGCCGGCAGCGGTTTGACTCCGTTACAGGCAATTCAAACCTCGCCGGGGAGGTGGTGATGGTAGACAGACACGTCGAATGATGAAATTGAATTGGGAAAGGCAAAAAGAGAAACAGGAGATAAACTCAATCCTTCAAAAGAGCAAAGGAGTCCATGAGAAATGAAGAGGTTGCGTTCACACAAGTAGCCCAAGAAAAAAAAGGATAGAGAGAAAAAGTGCGACGTTCTCATCCAAGCATGATGACGAGTACTTCAACCAGCTTCTGCGCCGTTGATGCTCATCTGGTCCGGGTTGTATCGGCGCCTTCGCATTGGGGCTTTCTTCCGTCTGGCGATGGCGGCGTTCTGAGCAGCGGCGCCGTTACCACTGCCCATCTCCGTATCGCCATCGTTGTCGGCCTCTCCATGTAGCGCTTCGTAACGAGACATCTCGTCCAGCTCACGGATATCAGTTGGCTTCATGCGCAGCCACTTCATGCGCGGGCCTGATCGTGATCTCTCTGAGACACGGAATCCATAAATTCGCGATTCATAAATGCGGCCCGGGCCGAGACCGGGGCTGAAATTGACCGTGCGCATGCCGTTGATCTCGACGGGCTGGTTGGGAGGGGGCACATCTGGAGACACCTGGTTGTTGATCGAGGAAGATGTCAAGGAGGAAGAACGCGTGGGGGACAGAGCTGACAGGGAATTGTCCATCCGAGATCCGATGTCCAAATCGGGGAAAGTCATAAAGAACAGGCACCCAAAAGTGGTACCGAAGAAGGCGCCATCGACCGAGTGGAAGCGACTGTTGGGAGGTGTGTAGAGGTCCTGGCAACTGGGACAGAACAATTTGACGGTCTCCTGACCCGGGGTATCTGAGCGACCCACGGGCAGGACCCTGCAACCATTGCAGTACACTCTGGGGCAGACACCAAAATGTTGCATCTCGTACTTCTCAAGCATCTGCTGAATGCCAGGCCGCGAAGTGATGTACCGTTGATGGATCAAGCCGTATAACAACTCGGCAGAGCTCTCAATCACACTCAAATCGCTTGCCACCCGTGCATGCCTGCGCTCTCCAGCTCTCCGGTAGCCCAGAGGCTTGTCATCGCCCAGTATCTCATCTTCATCCTCCTCCTCTTCCTCTTCCTCTTCATCCTCGTCGTCCTCCTCCGGCTCCACGTCCAAGATCATTTCCAGCGCCTCCTTGTACATGGGCACTTGCGACTGAAGGCCAGTGAGGTTGAAGTCATCCTCGATGAAATCCTCGGAAACTTCGGCGAAGAACTCATGGCCCATCAAGGAGCAGAAGGAGGAGATCCAGGACTCCGGTGCACCTTCCGACGACGACATATCGAACGAGTCCGACGCAGATGATGAGGGCGTTGATTCAGACAGTTGACTCAGATCCAGCCTGTCTAGGCCGTCGGCCAACGCCGAACCTGTCTCTCTCGACACGTTGCCGAGCTAACGGGGGAAACCAGGCTTCCGATATGAATCTCGTTCCGAGATAGAGCGCGGGCTGAAACCTGCACCGGCTATATCGAGTGCCGGGTACAAGTCTAATCGTGTTCCTTGCGGTACTCCCTAAATCAAGAGGGAGAAGATATGAAGCACAAGAAATCAGGTGCTAAAGGGAAGAGGCCGTGGAAGGCAAACTGCTGAGATGGTCAATTAGTAACCGTACATCTGCCTGGCTGATAAGGCGAGGGGTCATTGGCAATGTGCGGGCCGGCGGATTATTGTGCGATGAGGGATGTAGACGATATTAGTAGTGTGTTGGGGCATCCACTAACCAGCGAATAACTTAAATGGACATGAAACGTCACAGATCAGGCTTTGAATCAAAGTCCAAGAGTCACCAAAGGAGTGGCAAGCTAGGGATGAGGCTGGATCACGCACTCCCAGCTCGGTTCTGGATGGATGGATCGACGGAGGTCGTCGAGGGGCTTCCGAAATTAGATTCGTGGGGCGGTGAGAGGGGACGAGAGACAGTAGTCGGGACTGAATTTCAGCTCATTGAAGACAAGACAAGACAGAAGAAAGCGAGACCACTTGATGCCAGCACTCCTAGCAGCATGAGATCAAGCTCGATTCGATAAATCATAATGGCGACCGTTGCTTTCTTTGGAAAAGCATCTGAGGTGAGCCTTTCATGCACTGCACCTACTCGATCACGTGATTAGATGTCCACCACACACTCGACAACGGATTCTACCGAACAGGCGAATTACTATGAATGCTATGAATACTATGAATGACCAAGATCTCAAGTCTGGCATGGAGAACGGTTTGAGAAGTTCTCGTTCACAGGCGGGGTGAAGCCAAAGACAGGCTGTAGCCACATCCTAAATACAGCTCAAACTTCTAAAATAAATCCCGTATAACACGCGACCATTCGCCTTCATCTCCAAGAACACCTGACAAACCTTCCCCGGTGTTTTGAATTTCTCCATCCTGGCCGATGAAACCAGTGAGGCTTTCCGAAGGCCCTCCCGAGGTCATGAAATTACCAAACCCCCCAACCGCCTCGAAAAGATTCGTGAGTTCATGGCTCATTTGCAGCCCATTCAGCGGGCTGTTTCCTAGCTCTCCAGCGCCATTCACCGACCCATACACCGAAAGATCTTCGATTTGGTGACCGGCCAGTCCGGCCATTGCAACAGCCGCGGAAGAATGAGGGTCGTTGGAATCGGTTCCGAAAGGTCGTACAATGACACCCAACCGTTCGCCTATTTTGCGGAGACCCTTGATTGTCTTCCAGAGTCGCTTGGATACATAAGATTTGGTACTGAACCCGCTGACTAGTTCAAGAGCCATGTAAAATTCGTCCCGCACTTGTCGGTTGAAGTCATTTGGTGCATGACACACAGCGAGGAAGAGGACCGCCAAGGCGGCGACTAGAAAGTAGTTGAAAGTGATTTGCTGCGTACGATAGATATCGGACGTCCCATTGAGCCGAGTGAGCACTCGGATCGACTCTTTCGCAATATCCACCACGGTCTGCGCGTGACCTTTGTCTTCCGCGATGCTCACCGCGGAATGTAGCACCGGCCGGTAAATGAGGATCCGAAGCTGATTCATGCGTAGATATAAAAGAATTCTCAGTCTTCGAAGACCTCGGCTAGTTGACTCACCATGGTGATGCTTTGGAACATCGACTGGGTAGAACTTCAGCCCATCCGGCACTTGTTTATACCATTGTAGAATCTGATAGTCCAGATAGCCAATCTCATCGCGTCGTATGTCAGTTGCTCCTTCTGAGCCAAGTCCAGAGTACCATATCTTGGAGCTGATCCGGTTGTACGATATCATGCACCTAAGATACAGTAGAGACGCGTCCTAAGGATCGGTTAGCTCTACAAATAACTGGATTAATGATGAACGACGGGGCTCACCGGTTCGGGCAAATTGGGATCAATGTCTTCATCTTGAATGATGAATGGAAGCCCTGTACCAAAGCTCCAACGCCTGTCCAAACTATATACCGACCAAAAGGTCTTCACAATGGCAGGCCACTGGTCTTCGTTGGGAAATAATTTTGCCAGCGCATCTCGTCGGTGCAGACCCATCTCAAGACACATACGAGCTGCAATACCGATGATACGATATGCCATAGCATCATCATCCGAATGGAAATGATAGGTTGCCTAGACACACGGTCAATGATCGAATCTTGGTGGACCCGGAACAGAACATACCATCAAACCATATAATTGAATTGTCCTAATGTCCAGCGAATCCCAGATTTTAGCTTCAGCAACCGGCTTGACATTTAGGTAAAGACGCCGTGCTAGCTCGCTCTGGCCGCTTCCCTCTATCACCAAAGTGATTGCGAGAATCATCTTCAAAAGAAGCGTGCTATCGTCATGAAGGCCATCTGCACCGGGGAGACCTCTCTGTGCGAAGCCAGTCCGTGTTGCAGCTTCCACAAATGTGTAGAGCAAGTTCACTTGTTGCGCTACTTGTTCGATATCTATAAGAGGGTACATGATTCCAACTTCCTCCTCGTACACCTGGCAAAGTCGCAGGGCTTCATCCCTCTTGATAACCCATATCGGGTCTTTAGTTGGATGGATTGTGGAAACAAGCTGGCCCACATGCGGGGGTGAACCGGCAGGGGTGGCATGTGCTGTGGTGAGATCATCTGTAATCATATCCTCAGCTGGCGCAATGCCCATGGTCTGCAGACTCGAACGGGCGACATCAAAGTTGAAAGCGGAACTAGTAGGGCCCTGAAAGCGCGGATGCCTCATACGAGGTTTAGCCAATGGTGCATGCATTGGCGTGAAGACTGATTGGGAGCCATCTCGAGAGAACCCATCGAAGCCCGGTGGGTCTAAAGACGATCGCTGAGACCGAAGGTCCTTGAGATTAGAAAAGAGACTATTGACTTGATCTTGCAAAGTCTTGATTTGGTCTTTCATCGATCGAAATTCTCTATGTAAGATGTTCGGTGAGCCATGGCGCCTCGGGGGTGTATGTCACGCGGGATCAAGGGAATCATTGCCCTGTCGACTTACTCGGAATCCTTGAAATTATTGTTGCAGCAGTTCGGAGCATATCGGCCTAAGAAAATCACTCAGCGTGTCCCTTGCATCAACGTCATATCCGAGTTACACAGCCCTCGCGGTGACAACTAACATTCGAGATTAAGGTGTCCGCAGCGTTGGCAAGGTACCTGGCCGTTGCACTTAATCTTGCGCCGTTTGCATTCATTACTAAACACAAAGGAAAGGTTCGAGCCTTGTGTCAGCAAATCGCAATCCCGCAATTGACAGAGGTCTGGGGTTTTGTCTCGGTGTGGATTTTAGAGCCGGAATCATACCATGCGATAGAGATGTAGCGATTCCGCTTGGTGCGAGTATGCGTTCCGTTAGCCTGTTCCGCCTTCCTCTTCGTCGTATCGGCAGCCGGGGCTTCATTCTGGTCCGTGACTTCTGGCTGAGGTGGTGCCATATCAGTCTGGGGAGACTCTGAAGCCATCTTAGGGGAGTAACACGATGCGACGATTGATTGTTGGCGTGCAAGCAAGCAGTGACTGGTGCGGATAGATTCCTTCTCCTCGGCGGATGGGTGCGCGGGGTTTCCGTTTTCCCCAGACGGGTGAACGGTCGGACTGGGTCCCGGTTACGTAGAGTGAGAGAGTGACCCCAAGGCGGTAAAGCTGACGGACTGGCAGCTCGGGGCGGAAATCTCCCCGGCCTTCAAGGTTCCAGTCTCCCAACCAAGTTGGCCTGAAAACACCGCACAAAAATCTGCCTGCAAGATTTACTACATCTCATCAGTCTGGATGAAGATCCACCAACGATCATGTTACAATAGCCTCCGGGTATGGAGGAGGCACTCTCGCTGTAACCAACCAAGCCAACAATTCCTCGGTTCTTTCTCCACGACGGCATCGCAGCACCCGTACCGCCTATTGGAATCTCTCGAGGATTTTGAGCTCGACCACTTTCGTCAGACATACTTCATCCCGGAGCACCCTATAATCCTCCCCCTCCGATATTTCCAAACTCTTCCTGCCTTCGAGAAATGGTTCCGCGACTCGCCGTCCCGATTAAACACTGCGTATCTCAGTCAATATGGTGCGGATGCTCTGGTTCCTCTGGAACTGACACAAGCTCCTGTCAGTACTAGTATTGGAGCGAATGGGCTTCGCTTTCGGCAGTTCCATGCGCCTCTAAGCTTGTTCCTCAAATGGATATCTGCTGCGGAATCTCTCGAATCGCACACGATGCGTTTGTACCTGGCGCAGTGCCAGCTCCTTGACTTGCCGCAGGCTCTTCGCGATGATCTCCCCACCCCAAACTTGGTTGCGCAGGTAGGAAAGGGAGATGTTTACGATACAAACATTTGGATTGGATACCCGCCTACGTATACCCCTCTTCACCGCGATCCGAACCCGAACCTGTTTGTCCAGCTGGCCGGACGGAAGGTAGTGCGATTGCTACCACCCTCGGAAGGGCAAAGGGTGTTCGGCGCGGTGCGACGCCGATTGGGGAAGAGCGCTGGCCGCGAGTCTGCTGCAATTCGGGGCGATGACATGATGCACGGCGAGGAGAGGGTGCTGCTTGAGCAAGCTGTCTGGGATAATGCAGCTACCGAATCTACTGGTCCCATCGGATTCGAAGCGCACCTAAAGGCTGGAGACGGCATGTTCATACCTCGAGGATGGTGGCATAGCATCAAGGGACTGGGGGACAGTGTGACTGCTTCGGTAAGATGCCATGCTGTCACGTTCGCTAAAGGGAGTTTACTGATCTTCACCAGGTCAATTGGTGGTTCAGGTAATAAGTGCTGCCAAATGCAGCCATAGTTCGTAGTGTGTAAAAAAGTAGAATCGAATCATACGTTGCCAGCTCCATTGTGAATAAGAAAGCCACGCCACCACAAACAGGGTGAAAAGGCTTTTGATCTCATTGGAAGCTTCTCGAAGCCTGGATTCTCAGTAGTGAAGCTATAGAGGGCAAGTGTCGGCTGTTCCTCACTAAAGTTCTAGAATCCTCTCCTCGCCGCGCCCCCGCCCAGAGCTCCCTCTCACCACCTCATCATCCACCCCGAGATTAAGAAAAAATCCCCATCATTTTCTGTCCGTCACACGTTACTTGATTTCTCTTCTCTCTCTTTCTCTCTCTCTCTCTTTTTTTGCACCATACTAAAGCTACAGCTTATGTGACCGACATATAATGCACATGTCTGGTCCTTTGAGCCGTGCCTCTCTCCTCAACATTCTCCTCAACCCACTTCTTACCGCATCCACATCCACCCGCGCATCGGCGATCAGTACGCCACGATTTCAAACCCATCTCCCTGCTCATCCGCACTGCTTCGCTTCTCATCTTTACCGTCAGCATAACGCCAGTTTCTGCTCAACGATGTCGACGACGCCTTCCCAAGAGCCCCTGACTACTGGCACCGCCCCCCTCTCGGAAAATCAGGAGCGGAAAGAATACCTCGCTCTTCCAGATGCAAGCAGTGTCGACTCTGCGACGCGACAGCTCGACGTCAGTGGCGATGGGACATCCGTGAGGCTGGACCATCTCGGCCCGTTGGTCGTCAACCAGGATGGAACACTATCGAGAATCTCGAACTGGGAGCAGATGACCGAGATTGAGCGGACAAATACATTGAAAGTCCTGGGCAAGCGCAACAAATTGAGGATGGATGCTATCAAAAAGGAACAGAACCAGGAACAGGTAAACTAGGTGGATTCACCAACTGGCGCCGAGACAAGACACTTGGTCGCGTCGGCTGCTGGAAGGCGATTCTGCGGACTGTAATGTCTTCTGCTGTTGTTGTATGCTTTCTATACCGGTTGAATAATTTTACAGGGACGCATTGCCGGACGGCGCGTCACGTTCAGAACTATATTTTGACTATATATCTCCCGCCTGGAGCAATAGAACACATCATCTTTGCCACATCTCTTTGGTCCAACCGTGTAAGTAGGTTAGCCGAACAGCCAATCGCCAAATCGTGAGAGAGGGTTACTGTGTCTTGTTAGTTTACACGAATCGTCTCATGGCAGTCATGCAGCGTCGTGGAAGGTGGAGGGCTTACCGCGAAGGTACTTCAACATAGCTCTTCGTATACTCATCTATATCATCCACTCCAGTCATTATATCGATCTCTTCGGGCTTCAGGAATTTTGTTCGGCAAAAGAATTTATAGCCAAGATATATGATTGGAAACACCGCAATCATCGTGTACGAAAACAAGAATGTCGGTACGTCCCAGTTGCCGGGCAGGAAAACTGTGTATCCTCCGACAAAGGTCATGACGAATGTGGAGACCAAGGCTATGTAGGCGACATAAGGCTGGCCCCAACTCCGGTAGGGTAGAGTCTGCCGGGCCACGCCTTGTGCGATCAGAGCTTTCCTAAATCTAGTGTATGTGAAGGTAATGACCGAAAAATTAATGAGTTGGGAGGCTGTCATCTATCAATCTGGTCAGCACTCGAGTCATGGCACGTTCAGCGAGGGGGCCCTACCAGACTAACAAACCAGTTAAGGACGACTGCTGAGCCATTGGAAACCTGTAAGAACGCAAGAAGGGAAATCAGAAGAACGGCCAGCACGCAGTAGATTGGTATACCCTTTCTGGTGCATTTAGTGAGGATTCGTGGCGCCTTGCCATCAAGCGCAAGCCCATAAAGGCTACGGCTGGCACAGTAAACATAGCTGTTACCCGCGCTGAACGAAGCAAGGAGAATCATGGCATTGACGATGTGTGGCAGCACTGGGATTCGTAATCGATCCATTGCAATCACATAAGGCGAGGACGCAGCGCCGGGCAAATCTTGTTCAAACGCAGCCGCCATTTCGGGGTCGTTATAAGGAACCAAGATGCCAATGCAAAGCACCCCCAAAACAAAGAATGCTGTGAGCCGAAGGAATATGCCGTTGTAAGCCTTCGGTAGAACCCCACGGGGATTGACTGCCTCCCCGGCAGCCATTGAGACGTAGTCAGGCCCGGCGATGGTGAAGCTAGCCTGAATGAAACAAGCCAAGAACCCAAGCCACCGCCCAAGATCGCCAGGCTTATAATATTCTGCGAAGGCTCCAGGGTTTCTCCAGTACCGGAAGCCGAACCGGTCGCCGAGAGGGTTACCTCCAACCATCACAATAAATGTGAAGAATATCAGCCCCACACTAAGTAAGACTTTGCTGAGAGAAAGCCAGAACTCAGACTCGCCATACCATTCGACGGCAAAGAGATTCAAAAGACTAAAAAGTCAACAGTTTTAGATCTGGTTAGAGAACTGCGGTTCAAGGGTCCATCAGAATAAAGGAGAGGCCACGCACACGTAGAGTGCTAGTACAATGATAACAATACCGGCAACTGGAACTGCATCGCTCCAGTAGTTGATAATCATATTACATGCCGTAACTTCGAACGGGACCATAATGGCTTCGAATATGAAGAAGTTGTAACCAGCAGCCACGCCGAAGGCTTCGTCGACATATCGACCAGCGAATCTAATGAAAGGTGATGATATGGGCAAGTAGGTAACCATTTCTGCCAGGCCTAGCACAAGAGTTTGTTCAGTGACGGTCTTACCAGATGAAACGGATACAGGGTGCCTATGAACCAATCACCGGCAGAAACGCAGGCGTATTCATGCTTTCAAAGGTTCTCGATGCCGAAGTAGAGCAAGGATCGAGATGCCGTTGTTGACAGAGAGGTGGAACTGGAATATTTTCGGGACCGCGAGGAGAGAAGCCAACAGGATTGAACAATAGGGCCCCTTACAGACTGTTATACAGAGGATGACTAGGGACCTATTCCAAGAGCATATAAGATTTGGCATTTCACGTACGAAGAAAAGAGGCATTTGATCACAAAGGCCATATTCACACCCGTGCTAATTCACAACCAAATCAAATGTGTCGCAGTCCTGTCCTACTTAGGTTTCCACGGGGGGCTTGTAGGAACAGCTCATTGAAGCTGAACAGCACGTCTCAATAGCTTTCCAACTAGTGGAGGAACTGGCTCATTTGTAGTGAATGTTGACTCACTACCATTGAGGCAAACTCTCTGGGACAATAGTTGCCAGGTTGAGATGGCAGCGGGAACAGTAGGGAAGGAGAGGAAGGGCAGTATGAAGACAAATTGGCAGCAGTAGTGGGAAACTAACCAGATCAAAAAAGCCAGAAACAGGCTGCCAGGGCCACCATGCATCAAGCCCTTACCAATCTGCACATATAGTGCTGTGCCAATTGTACCACCGATGCCAATAAGTTGTATGTGTCTGGGCTTAAGCTTGCGATGTGTGTGGTCGGAGGCGAATGTATTTGAACAGACAGCGGACTCTTCACTACCATTGAGTACCACGCCCTTTTCATGGGGTCCTTGGTGACTGGCAGCTTGTCTGCTATCAGGACAATCTATTGTCGGGGATTGCCCCTCATGGAGAACAGTCGCAATAATCATCTGCGAAGCGTGTGTAGGACCTTGACCCACAACTGCAATTCTGGTTCACTCGGATGATCAACAGACAGGCAGAGCGCGCTTCATAATAACAATGCAGAAAGAATCTCCGGAGAGAAAGAGCAAGGGCTAAGGAAAGCAGCGGACGAAGGGAGGCCGTCGTATATGTAGCAAGCCACGAAGCGGGCGGAAGACGGTATCATGGTCGTAATAATCATGATTCATTACAGTCGCCTGCTGATTTGGCTGGCCTACCTCGGCAGGTATGTCAAAAGACAAGCAGGAAAGCAAATCATAGAGCAAGAGGGATATCTCCAGCACGGGCGACTCCATTTTGGCTCCCCACAATGGCGGACAGATAAAAAGGCCCTTACTTCTAGCCCGAAGATAGACACCAGACTAGCGCGGAGGGACCAAAGGGAGGACGCGGGCAAACCCACAGCAACATTCCTTCAGCCTGTAGTAGTTGACAAGGACTGAGGTTTCCATTAGTTAATTCACAATTGTCAGCCATAAGGGTTTCCAATGCCAGTTTGAATAATGATGTGTTGACGACATGATAGCTCCAGGGTTGTACTAAGTAAGGTACTCCGTACTCCGTAGGTCATTGGTAAATTGGTGAAACCTGGCGGGGTGGGAGAGAAATGTGCGGGGACTTGTTGAAGGGCCCGCCAGTTGAAAACGGTTCCCAGTTACGAAGTACGAAATACAGTACAGTACGGAGACTAGACCTTTTACTGCTAATGGCTATAGTTAACACCGGTTGAAATTAATTCTATTGCTACTACTTCGGACATACCGCTGCCATCCATCTGCGGTACACCCAGCCTGAGGCGCCCCAATTACTGCGATCACATAATGTAATAGTTACTGTCTTCTTCATTCCAACCGTGCCTGCTTACAAAGAAGAGCATCTCATCAAGGCCCGGGGGCGGGGGTGAAATATGGTAAATTTGACAATCCGATGGCCCCAGTATAGCACTGAGCAGAAGATTTGACCAGCCCAGACAAATAAATGCAGTAGAAACTCCAAAAAGCGCCATAGTTTCGTCCAAGCCAGATCATGCTGATGACCCCGTCCAGCGTCTAGTGGGATCGCGCTGTGGTTTCGGTTTCTGGGGTCGGCGGACGACTTCGGCCTTGGGCGGGGGGCTTCTGCCCTAGCCAGCTGGGGGGGAAGAAGTCATCATTATCTTCGAAATATAGGCGATGCGATAATTCCGACTCCAGAGGGTTCTGCTGGCGTTTTTGTGAGTGTGTAACCTCACTGACTTCGGGCCTTTTTGTGAGCAAAGGTACAGACTCCAACTTCTCCGGCTGATCGAAGTGACTTGGGGGCATTATTTGAGCTGCAGTGAGAAGTGGATTTGGAGGAGATAATGCGATGATAACAAATCAGCGGATGTGAAGATAAATGAGAATTTAGGGGGAAAGAGGCAGGCGGATATTCATCGTTGCGACATGCACAGTATTCGTATGAATCCAATTGTTAGCCAACATTCCTTGACGTCAGATGCCCAAAGCAGTATTATGTAAATTCGGTACTCGAGTATGAGAGATACTCAAATACTGTGTGCCCTCCAAGTACATTACGTATCCTTATATGCAACCTCAATCCTTATACATATTGAAGGACGGTGGAAGGTAACAAGCTCCTGCTCAATGGAACGAAAACCTTGATCTCCTCGGTGCGTTGAGTTATGAGCATGAACATACATTAGTTTTAAAAAAAATATATATATAATAAATAAGTACAGAGTCCAGAGGACTTCAAATGCAGGCCAATGACAGAGAACTGAATTAGAGGTCGCGTTTCTCAGGTTCCGACCCACGGTTGCACCGCCCCGAGCACTTCTTCCCCCGCCTGCCCCGCGTCTTCTCGTCCCGAATCCCACCATCAACTTCTTTTCTCGGTTACAATAGCTTGCTTGTTTATGGGAGTTGGAGTCATAGGTACTCAATCGCCATACTTAATCGCCAGCGCAAAACAAAGAGCGGAATTGTATATCAATCAGTGAGACACCATGGTCGAACACGAGCCCGAGCCGAAGCGTTTCTCCCCTAAGATCCCTGTCCAGCTTGACCCTCCCAAATACGATCTGATAACTGTGGAGGAACTATCGAAATGCGACGGTCAGTTGATTTTGTTAAGAGATGCCTAGGTGCACGCAGCGAGTTATCTCTGACTGAGTGCGACTACAGGCACCGATCCGAATCGTCCTACGCTGGTCGCAATCAAAGGAATTGTTTTTGACGTGACTCGCAACGTTGCATACAGCCCGAGCGGGCAATACCACGGTGGGTTCAAACCCGGGCTGCTCGAATAATCCGTTTAATTGATACATTTATATGTTCTTGTTGTGCTCATACATTTGTCCGGTTGCAGTATTCGCCGGAAAGGATCCCTCCCGCGCCCTGGCCTCCTCGTCGCTCAAGCCTGAGGATTGCCGACCTGACTGGTACGATCTTGAGGATAAAGAGAAGACGGTACTCGATGAATGGTTCACATTCTTTAGCAAACGGTACAACATTGTTGGGAAAGTGCAAGACGCCGCCAACTATTGACAGAAGTGAATGAGGCATTTTGTGGTACTTTCTTGATTAGCCAGCGCTCCTCTATCATAAGCGCACCAAATATGCCTCAGGACTGGCAACTGGTGCCTTCATATGTTGTTGTGATACCTAGCATCTTAGTTCTATCTATCTAAGTAATATCTCAACTTATTCGTGAGGATTGTTAGTATAAGTATACACAATAACCATTAGCTATCTAGGTGACGCTTTTGAACTTTTAAATGTACCCGTGTTTAAGCCTTCCCTTTCCGAGTTCTCCGTTGCATTCTCTTCCTTGAAATGATCCGGTTTCGCTTTGCGATCTTGTCTTGTTCCTCCGCGTCTTCACCAGCATCGTTCTTGTCGCTGCTGTTATCAGAACGCTTTCGCTTCTGTCCTGTCTGGGAGATCTTATCCTGCGCACCACGTTTCGAGGCACCATCGCCTTGTTCTTCCTCCTTCTTGAAATTGCGTGCTTTAGACTGCAGTTCATTGCGACGTTTGACGACATTAGCGTTCTCAATGGCGAATTCAACAACGAGCCGTTTTTTCTTGTCCTGGGCATCAGGGGTTGCGGATTTGGGAGGCTCTACGGCATGGCCATTGAGCCATCTTAAACCCATGAGAGCATGGCGATGGGTGTAGTATTCGACGAAGCCGTAACCTCTACTCCGGCCTGCTCCACTTTCCTCGTTGATCTTGCTTCCATCGCGACTCTCATAAACAATCTTGGCTTGTCTGACGACTCCAACACCCTTCTTTTTCCGCTGCTGCTCTGCTTCGCGCATGACATCAGCAGCCCGGTCCAGCTCCTCCTTCGACAAGGGTTGGCGCACGCCGCTTTTCATGTCCTGGGCGAAACCAACAACGGCCTGCCTAGCCAGCTGTTTAAGATCTTTGGACGTGATATGGCGGGGAATGTTGCGAATGGACAAACGCGTAAGACTGAGGTGAAGGCTAGGATTCTTCTTAATGAAGTTTTGTCGTTGTTTGTAACTGTCCTCTCTCATCTTAATTTCAGAAGGCGAGAGTTTCTTGTAGAGAGAGGTATTGGGTGCGATGGTACCCTCCTGAAGAAGGTAAAGACGACGTTTATCAGTATCGCGAACAAGGCGACGAGAAACACCCTCTTCCTCGAGTTCGGTGGCACGAGACTTGCTCACTGCACGAGCGATCTGAAGCACACGGCCATCCAAGGTGTAACGCCCGCTGGGATCAGCGTTCTCATTTTGTAGAACAGACTGCTTGTATGATGTGGATGCTTTCTTGCCCTTGTCTTTATCTGCGGCAAGGGAATCCTGCTGTTTGGGGGCATCGCGCATACATGATACTGCATCATCCACTTTCCAAAAGCAAACAAATCCGGTCCCACGAGGACGCTCAGTTTCTCGGTCAATGACGATTCGTGCATAGCGAAGGGGCCCGAATTGGGTGAAATGTTCATAGAGCATCTCATCGTCACAAGTGAAAGGCAGATTCCTGATGAAGATAGTTGATGCATCCCTCTCATCTTCTTTTGCCTGCTGTTCATCAATCCCTTCACCTTCCAACTCTTCCTCATCGATATCGTCTTCACTATCGAGATCATCGTCCTCGTCGGCGGAAAGGGCGTCCTCGACAACATCAGAGTCAGGCTCTGCCGCTTCCTCGTCTTCATCCGCCATCTTAGCATCTTTCGGCTCCTCATTCTGCTCATCACTCTCCGCGCTATCTTGTTCTTTTTGCAGATTCTCCCAAACATTTTTTTCCACTGCCCAATCAACAGCCAGTGTCCGCCCGTCTACCTCCTTGCCATTGACGCCCTCTAGCGCCTTCTCTGCGTTCTTTTTTCCCCTCAGCACCACGAAGCCGAAACCTGCCAGCTGGTTTCCCTTTTTGGGAAGATAGGCTTGTTTGACCTTTCCATAACTCCGGAAGAGCACTGCCAGATCGTTAGGTTCCTTGATGCTCCACGGCAGGTTTCGGACGATCAATCTGGGTGGCACAGCAGCCGCTCTTTGTTGTTCTCTTTGCTTCTTGAGCTCAAGGGCTTCGGTAGATGGTTTGGATTTGCCGAGGTTCTCGTCAACAACGCGATGGCGCGGTTGCGCATACTCGACCTTGATTTTCTTCCCGGCGAAAACAGTTCCGTTGAGTTCCTCCAACGCAGCCTTCGCATCTTCGACATCAGCAAAGGTCACGAAGCCGTAGCCTTTCGATTGCTTTGTCTCTGGATCAGTGACGACGATGGCATGCTTGATCACATAAGACTGTGAGAAATGTTCTGCGAGACTCTCGGTGGTCGCTGAGGCGGGAAGCGATCGAATGAACAACTCCCTGCGAGGTTGGTTCGAGGAAGACTGGCTTGTTGCCTTTTTCTGCGTATCAACAACGGCCACAGACTTATTTGGGGTGGCTTGACCCTCGACGGCCCTCTCGTTGCGAGAATCGTCACTGTCGGCCATGGTTGGTGTCTGGATGACTTTTTTTCGGAGGAAAATCTGCGGCAGAAAAATCCCAGCAAGGACAAAGTCAAGAGGCAAGGTAGAAGCGGGTCTCAGGGCGGTGAGGATGAAGATTAGATACGAGGCGCTCGAGTCAGAGACCAGTAATTTCCCGGATCCATCTCGTCCTGCCTGGGTTTAAGCACGACAGGAGGGCGAGCTTATATGTATATATCGAGGTATAATATCGATAGGAAATCGAGATATCGAGAAGTTTCCCCCCCAGGTCACAGACAAGCTCTGGATCTATGAGTAGTGGCGGCATGTCTAAGGAGCGGCTCGAACTCTCGACGTCTGCGAGTAGGAGAGGCATATGACGCACTCAGGTTGCACGTGAGGTCATGCCGGTCGGAAAGCCAGCAAACGGCGAGAACCACAGCTTCTCAAGCTCAATCAAATCCAATTTGAAACCTGATCTCTGTCTCAGACTGTGGCCTATTTCTCCTCCAGTGTCGAGCTGGGGCTTAGAATTAGTGCATATATTGTTCATCATATCGCTTTCGGAGAGAATATGGGAAGCGAATCCGATGGCAGAGGCGAGCGACAAGAGTCCAGCGCACCTCCCACGGTCTCGACATCAGGCCAAGCGTTCAATCCACCTAAAATCCAACAGCCTACGCCACAGGCACTGCCCAATAGATCCGGTCCCTCCGCTATACTTGTCTCTACACGACAGAAAGGAAATCCGATCTTGAACCATATCAAGATCGTACCTTGGGAGTACGCGGATATTCCGGCCGACTACGTGATCGGCAACACCACCTGCGCGCTGTTCTTGTCGCTCAAGTACCATCGCCTACATCCTGAATACATCTACTCGCGCATACGGCAGCTAGCGGGGAAGTATCTACTGCGCATTGTCCTAGTGATGGTGGATATAGCAAATCATGAAGATAGCCTTCGAGAACTGTCTAAGACGTCTCTCATCAATAACCTTACATTGATGCTGTGCTGGTCTGCACCTGAAGCTGCACACTACTTAGAGCTGTATAAGTCATCCGAAAATTCTCAACCTACAGCTATTCGCACGCAGCAGGCCCAAACCTACAAGGATTCACTAGTCGAGTTTGTGACTACCCCCCGCAGCATCAATAAATCGGACGCTGCGAGCCTAATGTCCACCTTCGGAAGCCTACAGAACGCAATTAATGCGCCGCCAGAGCAGATAAGTGCGGTCCCTGGATGGGGAGAAAAGAAGGTCCGGCAATGGCATAAAACAGTGAGGGAAAGATTTCGAGTGGAGTCGATGAAGAAGGCGAGTGCTCTCAATAGAGATAGAAATCATCGATCGGCACAGCTGGAGACTGAGGCGTCTGGCGCCCCTTCAAGGTCAAATGAGGGTCGGGAGCATCTCGATGAAGAGTTCCTGCTTGCGGAGTCGGAGAGCAGCAAGCCCGACGTACATGTAGATACTATTCATGTAGATACTATTGAAGAGCAACGGCCCAAAGAAGGCGCCCAGTCAGAGGCAATGGACCAGGGCATCATGGTAGCACTGGCAAAGCTTCGTGAGACTGGTGGATGACGGGACGCTGTGGTTGTGAGTTGATCTAGCATATATCAACCGCCAGATCAGTGGATCAAGCCTCTCGGGCCATCTCGTGTGGGTGAGCCTGAACCGAGACCATAAGCTAGCTGATGGAGAAAGCCGGAAGTTTGCGAGCCAACGCTTCGAGGGCTCCCCTCGATTAGGCAAGGCATTTAAGCTACCTAGTATGTCTGATGCGACTCTCAAACCAGTTCTATAGCAAAGTGTAGTATACACCTCCAACACCCGATCTGTGAGAGATGGAATAGAGATACCTAGTGTTGGCATATTAATCATCTCCGTTTCCTTACCACCTCAGCTCTGGTCACTTCAAAGTCCGCACGGGACATGGACAGAATTGGCATGAAGGGGAGCGTTTATGTATGCGTGCATATACCAAGGATCATGACGTTTAGACATCGACTATATACCCATGGCAATAGACTCTAGATAGTGAATCTTTGAAACAGCCATGTACCAAGATCACGCTCAAAATAGCGACATTCTCGACCGGAGACCAACAGATACTGAATTCGTACTTAGGCTTGGGTAACGCGTGTCGGGGCCTCGGGTAATCCGATCACAGCTGCTATATAAGCTAGCCGGCCCCATGGGGGAGCATCTGAGAGTTCGGGACAAATCAAGCCGGTGGAGACTTTGCTTGTTCCCCTCATACGTAACCTATACTGGAGCTTTCTGGCTGTGGTTGGACTTGAATGTCTTCCCAGTTCCCACGCGGTCCACTTGAGGGGGTTCTGCTCCTCCGATCGCAACGGAGGGGCTGAGACTTAATCGAGCCTGCGGCGATCCGAGAGCCCAAATTCCAGGCCTCTAACACAAGTGGACAGACAAATCAGCAGAATCATGGACTCAAGATTGTTGGCCTCTTACTTCCTTCGAGAAAAGTACTGTACTGTACTGAACCGGATGGACAGGAAATCTCGCCGAGTCAGCCGCATGGGAAGCAGTCACGTGGGGCCCGAGCGGTGGGGCCTAGAGCCGAAAGGGGAAATCGGGCTGACAGCGAACATTGGAGTTTGACAGTCCAACGAGTCAACGACATTCTCTTGTTCAAAGGCCAGCCCTATTATTGTTGTTGTTATTATTATTATTCTCGTGCTAGTGACAGCGATAGCAGTCGAGCTGTGAATGTGTCCTTCCGATTGAGCAGAAGCTACCAAGCATTCTCCACTGAGCATAGCTGCAGCAAAGACCCTCCACCCCCTCCCCCCCTGGGTCCCCACTTGACCACTCACCCAGCCAAGCTTGCCTGTTGAGTCTGATTTGACTTACTCATCCAGGTCAAATCATGAGATCATGGGTGAGGAGGGACATCGGCAATCTGGGCAAAATAGGATACTAGAATTTCAGCTTCAGAATGTGAATGACTTGGGTCCACCAGCAGCCCCCCAAGTCTCGAGTAGTCATGCGGCGGACCAGACGAGTACTTCCTCCGGAGACCAGCAATCGAACGGATCGGCCCATCAAGCCGGATCAAGGAACTTCGAGTTTGTGCTAGTGACCGACAATGAATCTCGGCGCCAGGTCCGACGTCATGCTATGCGCCAGTATATGCATCAACGGCGCTTGGACAGTATCGCTCGACTAGGGACGGCTCGCGTACCGGGAGGTGGTTGGTCTACCCGCTCTCCTCCCGACTTTCAGCCCTCGGCTTCGTCTTCTCAAACAGGGGCCGTGAAGAACGGTGCTCAAGAGGATCTGACTGTCAAGTCAGAGAATGCATCGTCCTCAAGCAGCGATGAGGATAAAAAGACGCCGGAAAAGCCCAAGAGCTCTTCGCGTTTGCTCATTCCGAAACTGCACAAGGTCAAACGCGAAGATGCCTCTTTGCATCCGGCCACAAAGCCTGGGGCATCTAATCCTCTAGTTAGCCCAGGGGAAGGGGCCGTTCGAGACCCTTTCAGCTGCTATCCAATTGCTATTAGCCATGCGGATCATGAACTGATTCAACACTGTAAGTGGTAAGATTCGTTCGCATGTTGCTTGGAACCGCGGTGCAACGCAAGATCTTCACCTGAAATGAAAGCCGATAAGTGCGGACGGGGGCTAACTTGACCAAGTCGTCGTGACCTATCCATCCATGATGTATAAGTTCGCCGACTCTATCGCGAATAATCCGATGATGGAGATTTTCCGGCAGATAGCGCTCCATGACGGTCTTCCCTTTCAGGCTATGCTTGCCATTGCGTCCAAGCATCGTGCCGGTGTTGAGGGAAAGGCGGAATCTGTGCAGAGCCTGACTCACAAGATGCGAGCACTGAGGTTCATGAATGAGCGTATCCAAGGGGATGCAACTGGGCGGCATGACGGGACTATCTATGCTGTCGCCACAATGGCTGTCATCGAGGTACCGTGGCTTGTGGCACCCCATTGTGCATGCAAATGACTAACAACCTCGGAGAAATGGTCCAAGGATGCATCTATTGAGCGAATGCATTTCCGCGGATTATCGTCGATGATCAGGAATCGAGGCGGAATGCACGGCATGCGACTCACTAGTCCTTTCCTGGAGAAAGTGCTTTACTGGTAATCTATACATATGCCCTTTGATGTTCATCTGGTGCTGACAGAACCTAGGGTGGACTTTAGTTGCGCCCCTAAGGCGATCATCAGCACCTCGCTACCTTGGACAGGGACTAGTCCTGATACGACCCCTACTCTCGACTTCTTGGACCCCAATTTACACCTTGCTGTCCCTCATGACGCTACTACCTCAGAGGATGCCGAAAGTCTCTGTGCACAATTCAGGGCATGCGAAGATTTCTTGCGGTTCTTTCGTCGCCTTCGCGAATTGGAGGGCTTATGCCTGAACTCTCCTTATACCGTCGTACCAGAGACCTTTCCCCGTCGAACAAAGCACTTTCGTCCTGGAACCCAGCTCTACTCAATCTTGACAATGCTGCCGGACTATGACCACGGAATTCGAGATATCCGCTTCATTGACGAATATACCTGCATGTCCTGCCTCTTCTTCCTCACCGTCGCATTATACGACTGCTACCTGAACTCTCATAACCTGGACGATTATCTCGATTGGCTTAGCCTTGAAGTCCGCAACCTCAATCCTTTCACAAACCCCAGCATTACTTCAGTCCTCTGGCTATTTCTCAACAATGGCGGTTATCCCAAGAATAGACCAGGTGACACTGGAGATCGATGTTGGATTGTCTCGCGGATGGTCCGAATCGCTAAACGACTCGAATGGAAACGCCACGGAACCATTTGGGACCGAGTTCGCCAAGTACTGATTGACTTCATCGTCACGCAGCAAGAATGCGCGCTGGGTTCCGATGAAATTGACGCCGAAGCACACGTGGCTCGCGCGCGGAAGCGACTTAGCTACCAGACTCATTCGGACTACTTCTGGAATGAGGTACAAATGCGTGAAGATATTCTCGAACTCAATCTGCCGTCTGTCACCTCCACGTCCACTAGTATCGAAGACATTAATGTACTTGTTTTCACGTAAAAATCGTGTGCGATTTTTGCTTTTCGTCTTCATGCATGACAACCCCACTTCAGATTATCACTAGCGGGGCAAATATCTCGCTTTGGGGGCTCGCTTTCGATTTCCATTTAAGCTAATCTTACCTTTCACGACTTATGATGGATGAGACAATGGGATGGACATGGGCTAGGATGGATACGGATGGAGTGCTACTATAGACTGGAAATTAATTGATCTCGTATACAAGGAAAATTCATTGGCTATTGACAAACAAGCCATGACGAGCACTTTCATACACAGGGCTTTTGCAGGAGGGAGCCTGCCGGTAAAATGTCTTCCATGAGAAGACGATCCCGCAGGCATCCGGTAGTCGGCTGTTCACCTTTCGCTCACATTATATACACAATATGCAAATATTCAGAATTACAGTCTCCTTTCTAAAAGGGTTAAAATTATTTGACGGGGCTACATGCAGAGTAAACCAAGGCCTCTGTCTATGCGACGAGCGAAGGCGATGAAGTATCTATCTAATCATAGGTGCAAGAGCAACAATCACATGAAGCCAGGATGTGTGAGATCGCATCCATCCTGCGCATATCATTTAGGATAAAATCACCCTGGGATAAACTCGAAAGATGAAGTAAAGAGCATGTACGGAAATAGGATTAGCAGCCGTCCCATAAGGCATCTGAAAGAGATAAGAAGAGTCTTATCATGGTGCAAATTGGAATCTTCTTTTCTTAACATAAAAGGACGAACCAATCGGACAAGCAGTACATAGCACGCAAGGCAAGGCAACATAATATAACCACAATCAACCAAAGTCAATGGTATCGAGCGCGAAGATAGAGATGGATAAAAGGAATAATGAAGATAGAAATCAAAAAATGGAACCTGCCAATGCAAAGGTGAACAGCGTTAGGCAGTAGGACTTTTGGAGGTGCATTCCAACCTGTTCCTCCCCGTGTTTATTCACTTCTTTCGTATAATCTGTAATGAGACTTTTTTGGCATTGTCGTTGATACTGGCATCAGCATGTCCGTATCCATATCCGTGATATCGTCATAAAAGAAAGGCGAATAAGAAAAGAAAAGAAGGTAAAGAGCGTGGGCAGATTACGTGGGCTTGTCGCAGCCAATGCGGCCTAGAAGTGCCTTGCGATCGCTTTGGTCTCCAAGGCGAACTCGCCGAGGCCGCACAGCCGAGGAACCATTGGCTCGACGCCAGTCAACATTGGAGCTGTCAATCGCATGCGTGGACCCATTGAGGCCATCCTTTTCAGCAAAGTACTCTTCCTCTTCCTCTCCTTCGTCATCGCTGCGAGGTTCCTCAGCATTACCGGTGCGGATGACGCCAACGGCCACGCGAATTACCATGGTGAACCAGATGAGGGAAAGCAGCTGCAGTGCCAGAAGGCAGGAAAGAAAGGCCCATTTGACGGTGCGGTTCATGCAAATCGGTCCGTTAAGATCCTTGAAGGGGGAGACCAGATACGACCATGCGCTCGGGTAGCCATTGGTGGAAATCATCTCCGCCGTAGTACCTGAGTAACATCCGTAAGACATCTTGGCAGGGACGTCCTTGTAAATCGACCAACAGAGTTTCGGGTAGTAAACATGACGAGTAATCAACCACGTAACCATGAACACAACAAAAGCAGCGTTGCAGCTCGTTTCGTACTTCAAATATTTGAGAACCTTGGCCGTCTAATTCGGTGAGTTAGTGAATTCCACTTCAGACGAGCGTGGATATCTTCGAGAGCATCTTGAACTTACAGGTAGTAGGAGATCAACAATGTCCATGAGCGAGAGCACGACATTGGAGACATTGTAAAAGCCGTAGACGTAAGCCGAACCAAAGAGGGCAATGGTGATTACATGGTGGGTCAGCATCTGATAGTGATCCTTTCTACGCTCCTCAATATTGATCACCAGAAGCTGTTGTGCCCAAAACGCCAATTGTACCAAGAGATACCATTTCATTAAACCTGAAACATTGCGCGCAGGCCATTGGTCCCAGATTTTGCTGAAATCGCCCCAGTGGTCAGAGTTGGACCAGATATACTGTTTTATTGTGTTAGTCAAAACACACGACCAGCAGCGGACAAACAACAGGCACGATCATGGTGAACGAACCATTCCAAGGGAGCAGATGAAGCCATAATATAGACAAAGCCAGCCCTGTTCAGCCAGACGAAGCGACGCCTTCCGTTTCAGACCCCACTGCTGCGCAATGGGCCTCAAGACCCAGTCAATGAGAATGGCCCGGATAGCGATGAAGGCAAGTGCGGAGCTGGCGACAAAATAGACATCGTCCCATCCTTGTACGTAGTCCCCGGAAGCAGGTTGGTAGTAGGAAAGCTGAAAGAACGGCGTGGTGTAGGGGTTGAGGGAAGGATAGAGGTGATGGACGGCCAATAACATCGCAAGAGTGGTCAAGGTAATCCCTGCGGTGAACAAACGTTATGGTAAGCAGGACAGTTGACCTCAAAGCGCCAACAATGGCATTGTTCAATTATCATGTATCAGATGAAATGGTCCGTACCGATCTGGTTATGCAGCATCCATTCGCGGAACGTGGTTTCTTTGACCGCCGGGCGGTGATGACTGGTAGAAGTGGAAACGCAGGCATTGATTTCTGAGACCGATTGAGAGACTGGAGATGATACGTCGGTGGCCATGACGGAAGCGGGAGGGAGAGCCTGGAGAGTATCTCGCTGGAATTGGAGATCTGACAGCAGAAGCAGCAGTCCTGCAGAAAGGAATACCCAATTGACAACAGCGCGAGAGGGAAAGTGGGAGGGAAGGTGTAAAGAAGGAGAACCGTCGAGAGCCGGGACGTTCGAATATGGTAGAGGGAAGGAGGGAAACGTAACTCCAGGAACCTTGAAGGGGGAAGGGGGAGAGGGGGGGAGAGAAAAGAGATAAAGTCTCGGCCGTGAGAGGTTGATTGGAGTGTGTTGAGGTGAGGTGAGTTGAGTTCAGGTATAAGTTGAGGGAGTACGGCAGTGAGCGAGCCAAAGAGGAACGGAGGAGTAGCGAGCGGCGGGCGAAAGTGGTTCCCGCCCACTCGAACTTCTGTTATTGTAAGCCCACAGGTTCCACGGCGGGAAACTAACTCTTCAGAGAAAGTAGGAATCAATAGAGGAATTCCAATCAATCAATGATCAATCGATTGTCCAAATCAGATAGGCACCAAGAGAGAGAGAGAGAGAGGGGAAGGGAAGGAAAGGGAGGAGCGGGGAGGGCCTCCTTGATGTTCTCGCCCTTGGTTCTCCCCGTCCGCTGAAAAGCCTTGGAGTAGTTAAGTTATTTTTATTTTGATTCTCCCCAAATGAGTGGAGTGGAGATTCTGGGCGGAATCGCACCGGAAGATCTCTGAGTGCAAGTATGTATATTATTACTGATGCATCAAACTCATGTGACGGGTTCGAGGCTTTGAACATCGCCCAGAACAAAAGGGAGGCCGCGAAGAACGACGAGAAGATGGAGGGAAGTAGAATATTGATGGTGTATCAAGTCTGTTTCAGCTTATTTCGCCCCACCCCCGGGAGGACCCCATTACGTACGCTGAGGGATCCCCAACAGTACAGTACGTAGTCTAGATACTTAGTACTTTCAATAGCACTGGTAATGCTCCTGCCCTTCAGGTACTGTACTCTTCGGGGACCGGGGTAACGTTACCCCTCAGCTGTCGATATTTGATTCTCAGTACCGAGTACCCGCACAAGCCAGTTGGTGCTCTATTAGGCGGTCACGAAAAGCAGAATAGCAACCATGTCATGTGACCGGTCCTGAGCCTTCCGTTGGTACGGAGTACAGTATTCTCCATTATACAGGTGGATACTACTCTTAAGCAATTCGAAACTTTAGGCGACATACTTTCAGGAATTCTACCTCTACTTCAGGCTGCGATGATAGTAGTGTGCAAGGTTGCTTTTATCCTTGTGTTACTCCGTATGTATGGTAGGTTCGATCTTCCCGTCCGCTGGTTTGGATCACCCCTTGGGCCGGACCCCACCCAATAGCCGCCACCCCAAAGCTCTGCCTCTGGTGAAGGCCCTGCAAAAAAAGATTGTCAAGCTGTTTTGACAAGAAAACATACTCCACAATAAATACATAACCGGCCTGAGAAAGGAGAATCTTCCTCTTAGGCGACTATTGAAAGTGCGAACATAGTTACCCCAGTTTCTCCGCTCTTCCGACGCTGGTTTTCATTGATTTGGCCGCGATTTCTGCGTCACAATGGAGGCTGAAATACAGGCACAAATTCCCGGTATCGACCATGTGATCTCCGAATATTCCGTGGCAAGTATCCTGGATCAGATTGTTGAGATAAGTGGTTCGATTGGAACACTGTCGCTGACTCATTGCAGGGCTATCTTGCTCATGCTTCTAAAGCCTACGTTGAAGATGCCAATGAACCGTCGCCGCTGTCCGAAGCTGCCGATATGGTCACGGCGCTTCTGATTTCTGCCTCGGGAGACTTCTCCCCTGAGAACGAAACGGCCATTAGGAATCTCGTGGAAAAGTTCATCGCTTCTCTTAGCGCGTCTGATGGAGTGAACGCAGAGCGCAGACAGATGCCTTTCACTGCTAAAAAGCTTGATCAGGCGATCAATGTCGGCTCTCAGAAAAACATCTCCTCAACTTTGGGTCTTGCGGGAGGCAACGTTGATCTAGAGTCTGCGAATGCCAGGAAAGTGGAGTCTCGTGTTGACCGCAAGAAGTTAGAGAAGGCAGAACGAAAAATTCGTGCTAAGCAGGAAAAGAAGCAGATGAAGACGGTGCAATACGAATCTTCCCGTCTTCTGAATCAGCCTGATAGCACCATGTCCTACGAGGAATTCTTCATGGCTGTCAATCCTCTTCAACTGGGCTCTGACTCTCAATCAAAGAGTAAGGACATCAAGATTGACAGTATCGACATCTCTGTTGGCGGGCACCGTATCTTGACCGACGCTTCATTGGCTTTGGCTTATGGCCGACGCTATGGTCTCGTGGGTCAGAACGGTATCGGAAAGAGTACTCTTCTGCGCGCGTTGAGTCGGCGTGAAGTGGCAATCCCTAGCCATATCTCGATTCTCCATGTTGAACAAGAAGTATGTTTGGTCACTCGTGCTCAGTATCTCAAACACAACCATGGATTGCTGACTGAATGGCTAGATTACGGGTGATGATACACCTGCTCTTCAAGCAGTTTTGGATGCCGATGTCTGGCGCAAGCGTCTATTGGCCGACCTGGAGGTCAGTATCCTTCTCTGCTTCGATCTGTTTCACCTTCCTGACTTGCTTGCAGAAAATCACTAAACAGCTCGCCGACATCGAAGCAGAGAGATCGTCGATGGCGGACACTTCTAAGGATGCTGCTAGACTTGACCACGAAAGGGAAGGTTTGGATATTACCTTGAATGATATTCACGCAAAGCTTGCAGAAATGGAATCGGACAAGGCCGAGTCTCGCGCGGCTAGTATCCTGGCCGGCCTTGGCTTTTCACCTGAGAGGCAGCAGTTTGCGACGAAAACATTCTCGGGTGGTTGGCGGATGAGATTAGCCTTGGCTCGGGCACTTTTCTGCGAGCCTGATCTGCTTTTGCTGGACGGTATGATCGAGCGACCCTACGCTGGTTATATCTTGACAGAATGCTAACCATATGCAGAGCCGTCCAACATGTTGGATGTGCCTTCGATTACCTTCTTGTCCAACTATCTACAGACCTATCCTAGCACCATCCTTGTGGTTTCTCACGATCGTGCCTTCTTGAACGAAGTAGCCACGGATATCATGCATCAACATTCTGAAAGACTCGACTACTACAAGGGGGCCAACTTTGGTAAGTACCTCGAGGTGCTGGGAAAAAGCATTCAAGCTGATGATATTACAGATTCTTTCTATGCGACCAAGGAAGAGCGGAAGAAAAATGCCAAGCGTGAATATGAGAAACAGATGGCCGAACGCGCACATCTGCAAGGTATATGTCTCTGTTGCACAGAAGTCTTGAATTGGTGCTTACTCATTTGAATAGCATTCATCGATAAGTTCCGGTACAACGCCGCCAAGTCGTCTGAGGCGCAATCTAGGATCAAGAAACTGGAAAGAATGCCAATCTTGGAAGCTCCAGAAAGTGATTATGTCGTTCACTTTAAGTTTCCCGACGTCGAGAAGCTTTCCCCTCCTATTGTACAGATGACGGATGTGTCATTTGGCTATTTGAAAGACAAGCCGCTTCTTAAAAACATTGACCTCGACGTGCAGCTTGATTCACGTATTGGCATCGTTGGACCTAACGGTGCGGGTAAAACAACTGTGCTCAAGCTGTTAACAGCCCAACTTCAGCCGACGTCTGGTTTTATATCGCAACATGCCAGGCTGCGCATCGGATATTTCGCACAGCATCATGTGGATGCCTTGGATTTGACGACTAGTGCCGTGAGCTTCATGGCAAAGACATACCCAGGAAAGACAGACGAGGAATACCGGCGACACCTCGGAGCGTATGTGAAAGTTTCCTTCGCCTTAACATTTCTCTTAGATCTACTAACAACTGCCTCTGCCTGATTATAGTTTCGGTATCACTGGAATGACTGGTCTCCAACGCATGGAGCTCTTGTCTGGAGGTCAAAAGTCTCGTGTCGCTTTCGCCTGCCTGTCTTTGACTAACCCGCACATTCTGGTTCTGGACGAACCTTCTAATCACCTGGATATCGAAGGTATGGATGCGCTGTCCGAGGCTCTGCAAAACTTTGAGGGTGGTGTAGTGATGGTATCTCATGATGTGACGATGCTGCAAAATGTCTGCACCAGCTTGTGGGTTTGCGACAAGGGCACGGTTCACAAGTTCGATGGCACTGTGAATGCTTATAAGAAGTTGATCAGTGCTCAAGCCAATGAGGCCGGAGTAGCTGCTCCGCATTAAGGTGAGGACCTAGGATGATTGAGCCCAGTGAGCTCTATACGAAGGTACTTATGCAATTGGGTTACCATGCGTGTGTGTATCTATGTCTCTAGATGGCGGAACTTTCGATCCAGTTGGTTTTGCTCAGCCCGTCTATTTGTCTATGAAAGTTCGTACATACGTATCACGTAGGTGGTAATTTACAAAGGACTGCGTTGCTTGAGAGGAATCAACAACAAAAAAACCAACAGAGATGGGTTGAGTTCGCTCCTGCTTATGTAAAACACACTAACCTAACTAAGTTAACTACCTGACTAAGTTCCCCCCGGCCCGGTCTGGTCTTCCCCAGATACCCGAGTGCTCGTTTCCATTTCGAACTACGTACGATGGTGTGAGGGAAGAACCGCCTGACACAACTTCTGAACCCCTTATGCACTTACCAGTGCAGATGTCGAACCCTCTAATACGCGCCAGCAAATAAACCACTGAGTTATGAGTCGCAGGGACGAGAATGAGGTGTCGGATTCCAGTGCCCCTTTACTCTCCCCCCCAGCCTCGTTGGCAAATAGAGCGTCACAAGGCGATGATGGGGACACCCGGGTTTCTCGCTTCAGCTTAACACTTACAGGGGACCTTTTCATATGGTCCTTGACATTCTCTGCTGGAATCAGTGGGCTTCTCTTTGGTTACGAGTAGGTGGTGCCTCATTGACCATTCTCAGCCCGGGCATGAGATTCCAAGTCGCCGAGCAGAAACCTTCCTGATAGTTCAAGTGGCTAATTTTTTCGTCTAAAGCACAGGTGTCATTTCATCAACGCTCGTGTCGATCGGCTCGGATCTTTCTAACCGTCCCCTCACTACTATAGATAAGAGTCTTGTAACATCGTGCACAAGCTTGTGTGCTTTAGTCGCAAGCCCATTGGCGGGCATACTGGCGGATAAATTCGGACGCAAGAAGGTTATAATCATTGCGGACGTGCTCTTTACCTTGGGGGCTCTCATACAGGCTTTAGCCACCACTGTGTGGACTATGATAGTAGGGAGAAGTGTTGTCGGCTTGGCTGTTGGTGGAGCGAGCTTGGTCACGCCATTGTATGTCACGTAGCTGACGGATACCTGCTTCTTATCGGAAAAAGACATACGGGGGATCTATCTCGACTGTTTATGCTAACTTTTATTCAGGTATATTTCTGAGTTGGCGCCATCTCATGAGCGCGGAAGATTGGTAACGATCTTGTGTCTGCTCATCACTGGGGGTCAGGTCATAGCTTACACTGTTGGTTGGCTTTTGTCCAATACACCTGGCGGTTGGCGCTACGTTGTCGGCCTTGGGATGTTTCCTGCTATCTTCCAATGCATCGCTGTTGGGACTCTACCCGAAACCCCACGATGGTTGGTGCAGGCAGGTCTCGAGAGCGCAGCCACAAATGTCCTATTACAGGTCTACCAGGCCCACGATGAAAACGTCCAAATTGTTGAAAGCATCTTGCATGATATCCAGCAAGAGGTTGCCGAGGAGGCTGAGATAATCGGTCATACAAACCAAACAAACAAGTCTCTCGAACACTATGAAAACTGGATTGCACATGCCACCCAGCGCACTCGCAATCTCTTTCTTGTTGGCGGTAACCGCAGGGCATTGATAATAGCAGTTATGCTTCAAGGCCTGCAGCAACTATGTGGCTTCAATAGTCTTATGTACTTCGCAAGCACACTTTTTGCCATTCTTTCATTCTCCTCCCCTACCCTTACGGCACTGGCAGTAGCGATGACCAACTTCGTTTTTACACTTTTGGCATTCATATACATTGATAAGATTGGCCGGCGGCGAATTCTGCTTTATTCCATACCTGTCATGGTTCTTTCGCTCGTTGTCTGCGCTATTGCCTTCGGGTCTTTAGCTCTTCCTAGGTCATTGTTCGAACCTGAGGACCCAAACGGAGCCGGTGCTGCGATGGTCCAAGATTCCTTCCTCCCCTTATCAGTCCTTGTCTGTCTCACGGTTTATACAGCGTCATACGCCTTTGGCCTCGGCAATGTTCCTTGGCAACAATCGGAGCTCTTTCCGCTGAATGTCCGCTCGTTAGGTTCGTCTCTTGCTACAGCTACGAATTGGGGATCGAATTTCATCGTGGGTTTGACATTTTTACCTATGATGGAATGGCTATCACCGGCATGGACTTTCGCGACCTATGCGGCTGTATGCGTAGTGGGGTGGTTTGGAGTGTGGGCTATCTACCCTGAGATGAGTGGGCTCAGCCTTGAAGAGGTCAAAGATCTCCTGGCCAATGGTTGGGGGGTGAAAGAGAGTCTGGTACGGGGTTATAGCCGTCCTTAAAGCAGGCGCAAGGCGCTTATCCGATGCCAAGGTGGTCATAAATCTTTCTCTAGTTATGCCTGATGACGGGCACGAGCTTAGCTGGCGTCCCCCATGAGTTAAAAATGAGATGAATTCAGCATAACAATCTGGAGGAGTGAATCATCTGACTATGAGTAATCACGAAGTACGTTAAGTACTAAACCCTATAAGCTACTGGCTAGTAAGTAACTAGCACTTAGCTATATCGTTAAGTCGATTTCATCGATATTAATCAGCACGTTGAATTCAACATAGAAGATATATGATATAAGTTAGCCCTATTTTCGCTGTGATGTACTACTTACCTTGACTACAGAGACTGATTTCCTTGGTTGATCACTTTAGTAGTTTTGCTTTGACTGCTTTAGTCCGATACATAATTCCAATCTGGTATGACTGAGCATAAATCTTTGCTTTAAGGAACTGGTTTACTGGTGTGAACAAGTTCACTCGCGCGGTTCCTTGACTGCATGAATCCTCGTTTACGCTTCTACTTTCTCTTTCTACTTGTCCCCATCGTAGTTCTGGCAAGCTGATGTTGGGTGGAATATTGTGTACAATGACCGGCAGACGCTCGGTATAACTATTACTGCAATAGATGTGAAGCGCATAACAAGACAGTAGAAAAGCACAAGCCCTACTCTTCGATATCCTTGATCTTCTCCCATTGTCCCTTGAGGTTTTCCTTCCACAGACTAACTTTGTTATCCCCGCCACTCACCGCGAGAATGTTGCCGCTAGGACTCCAGCTTACCCTCCACAGGACAGTGTCGAACTCGAGTTGCTGACTAGTCCATTGCCCAGGGTTTGATGCATCGGAGGTCCAGATCCGAACAGTCTTGTCTTGCGAAGCGGATGCGATGTAGGACTTGGAAAGAATGCTGGGCGACCAGGCGACGTCCCGAACCCAGTCGGAGTGGCCTTCTAGTGACTGGTTGAGGTTGTATGACTTAGACTCAGGGCTGTATCATTGTGACGTATCAGTTAGCAAGCTCTGTGCTATGAAGAAGAGCGACAGACTTACTTGTAATCCCAGATCTTGAGCATATTATCACTTCCACCCGTCACAAACCTGCGCTGCTGGCCGAGTCCAGAGCTGGCGCTGATCAAGCTTCCAGGAACTGCAGCGGGCGCCCAACTGATGGAGTTTACACCCATACCGTGCGCATGGAAGATTTGATGAGTCCAGCTGTTGTCGCGAAATTCAAGGACGCTGACATGACCGTCCGAGGAGGCGCAGGCCAAGACACAGCCACTTTCATGAGGAGCCCAGGACACCATGTTCACCGAAGCAGTATGAAGCGAGAAGTCAAAGACTTTAGTCCAGGCGCCACCGCCAACGGGCGACGTTGTGTTCTGATGTTGCTCACGCCAGATGAGCACTTTTCCATCGTAGGAGGAGGAGGCCAGAATCGTGCCGAATTTCGGGTGCGCCTAGATCAATTCAACATCAAGTCATCAATGCACAGCGAGAGACTCGAAAGAGGCTCAACGGAATGGGCATCTTCTATAACGTACCCATGCAACACACCACACTGCGCCTTCATGGCTAGGTCAATGATTTTGAGTCAGAATCACAAATGTACGTATATGTGATTGTGTGCTTGTTGAAACTTCTTACCCTTTCAAAGTCTCAACTAGTCGGTGCGTTTCACCCTCAACCTCGAAGATCTTTATCGTCTTGTCCGAGGAACATGTTGCCAATCTGCGGCCATAGTAGTCCAGACCCGCATCGTGCTACAGCCCAGTCCGGTCAGCGTATGAAAGTGCTGGTTGAAATTACTGTGTTCATGTGATCAAATTGGAACCATCCTTCGCCCGCAGTCAACATACAATCATATCGTCGTGTCCAGAATTGGAGATCACTTGTGCAGCCGCCTATTTGCCCCTCGCGGGGGACCGTGTTAACGAACGCGAACTACTCAGGGATGGAGAAGAAGAACACACCATTTTGGGTGAAGTGCAGCACCAAATATAAACTGCAGTGCCTAGCAATTAAAGTCTTGAAGGTGCCGTAAAGGACGTGGTGCAATTTGTGGGTAGAGGACAGCGAGAGGGTCGAATCGGTAACGTAAGTAGGAGAAACGGCAGCGGCAGCAGTAGCAGCAGCAGCAGCAAAACACCGCCAGCTTGTCCGTTACGCGGTCAGTCAGCCGCAGCCCGATCTTATCTTATCGGCTCAGTCAGCCATCTCTGGTCACGGTTGACCCCAGGCACGTGAGAAGGGCCTCAGTCTATAAGAGAACATATGCAACCAAGTTTTGTTTGCCCAGTTGGTCCATACCAATCCACGCTGAACATCTTCCGACCATCGATTTAGTATTCCCCTAAGGATGACTCTCGGTGGTTCCCAACAAATGTTGCGCTCTTAGTTTCTAGCAATCTGTCCGTTACGTCCTTGCCGGCGACATAGAATTCGTTGGGCCATGTTCTGGCTCCTTTAGTTTCCTAAGATGAAGTAACACCATGGTAACGAGGGTTGCAACAAGTAGCCCCCTTCAAACAACGACATACAGCAGAGGACAGATCTGGATAATCAGAGTTACATGAGCACAGAAGCAAAGTGGGCTGGCGAGCTGTGCTGGGGACATGCGGGTCGAGTTTACTGATCTTCTGAGGACGCCCAAGCTCCGACTATTGTGACTATGTATAGTTCTTGACTGAGCTCTCATACACTTGATATTCTGTCGATTATTGATGAAATACTGATGGATCCACTTGCTCAAAGAGGAAAGCTTGATGCCTTGAGATTCATGGAATTGGTAAGGAAGGAAGAAATCTACACGAATTCGTGGTGTTTATATCATCGCAGTCCTATTTGAAATCATGTAATCTCGCTGGACCGAGGCGTTACACGCACAACGCCGATATATTCACCTCTTTTCTTTTTGCCCATGAATCACATGGATTCCTACCTTCTTGTTTTTGGCCTACCTGTGGGCAGTCCAGTGAGTAAGTAGTAACTATTTTGCTTACTGTACATAATTTCACAGGCAGAATTGCAATATCATGACAGTAGTAACTGAATTGGTTAACCTCAGATTACCAAACTTATGCGCTACAATGTTAGGCTGCAGGCGGTGAGCATGTGCTGTACCGGCACACTCTCCAGGTTCCCTCCCTTTCTTGACATCACCATTGGTGGTGAGTGTCCATGTCAGGAGTCACCCTAGCCTCTGTGAACTCTTTGCTAGCTACTCCGTATTGATCAATGCTATAGTCTTGCAGCACACGAAGACCGGAGAACGCCGAAAGTCCATTGGCTTTATAAACAACAGCCCGTCAAGAGTCGAGCTCCCCCTTCACGCCAATCCCAAACTGAGGAGTGTTTGGCGCCGGTCTATTCAGCTTAGCCACCGATTCAATATACACCAAAGCCTCGTTCAAGGGCGCTACCGGCTCTGAGAGCGATATTACGATGGACTTGATAGGTTCTTGCAAGGATGGTCAATTTTAGTCTTTTTTGTCATTCGCATCAAGACAGTTGTTCACGGAACCATGCATTCCCTGCTAGATTCGCCAATCAAGGCCCGGTTTGTCCAAGGAGATAAGGACAGATGATACATGCAGGAAACGGCTAGGAGATTAGCCGCACTCCCAGCTTGGGTCAGAGAAGCAAGGGCAAGGGGGGTTCCTGATTTTGACGGACTCAAGGGAGCGTGGGGGAAAAGTGAACCAATTCCAAGGTGCCTTGAGCAGCAAGGGCTCATGTCTGTCTATGCCCACAGATGGGGCCAAAAAGGAAATCCCGAAACAAGAGGCTTGAACACGCCCTGGGATACGAGGCGCGGCCAAAACAAAATTGGCACAATTTGGAGATATTTTTGTTGCTCAGGCAATGATGAATAATTAAAGCAGGTGATGCACCTGGAGCAGGGTAACAATGCATGGGATAGTCAAGGGGGGAAGGAGGGGGGGGCGGGGGCGGTATCATGGATTATTCGACTATAATTGTGGTTGGTGTTCATTGTGACCTCAATTCAAGAGCAATGATGTGACATCTTTTTGAAACAATAGCAGGTCCAAGGACGTTGGCCATAGCAGTCAATGGCTCTGGATTTGAAGTAGACTACTCCGGAGCCCGAAATGAGAATTCTCTTTCATAGTGTAGTTAATTGTGAGTTAGGTACAGTACGTAGTACGAGCTGTTCAAAGCTCAACGCTCTATCCCGACCGCCCGACCGACTATCGGCCGGACCAGGAAAAGCGGAGCACCTCGGCTGGGAAGAAACTTGCAGCCCACGTTCCCTCCCGACAAATGTGATCTGTCACTAATCACGCTTGTGATGGATGGATGGTCTTTAGGCCTCCTAACTAAGCTCGGAGCGACGGAGTAGATCAGGTATGTAGATACTGATACTGATAGGCACCGTTGGCCTGTATCTTGACATCTGAGACGTACTAAGCCGGCTGGTATTTTATCAGGTTTACTTTTTCCTTCGCAACCTCCTTCGGTTGTTTGCGTGCTGAGGATTGTAGCTGTATGAATCGGAGGGATAGATAAGAATAATGGCCAAAGCTTGCCGGCTGGTGCTTGTGTATTGTGTAGGTATGCTTGTTTGCGCACTGAATTAGCATGTCCTGGACTAGATGGAGCCGATGACGGATCGGGAGCTACGGAGTACATATTCACTTATCCATCCATCCACCTGCAATCATCCTTCACAGCTACAGTTCTCTTCGGTACGCTTTACATAAAAGTCGACAAACCCCAGCCACTCCCGGAAAAGGCTTGCGCGCTTGGCCGGTATGCAAAGTGTGGACTGTCGTCATTATCCAGGAGCGGGAGCGAATACGTAGCGAGCAATTGGGGCCGAGGAAAGGGCGGCAGAAATTTTCTATCAGCTCGAGCAAGAGCTAGAAAAGGGAAAGGACAAAAAGAATGGAAGTGCGCTGTGGGACTGGAGAAGAGTAAGGTGAAGGCATCATCCATCCCGCTTGTTCCCTTCGATCCCGTGCCTTGGAACGACCCTCGGTAGGTGCTGTACCTGAAAGGCTGACGGGCTACGGAGTACAGTACATATTAAATCTACAATATGAGTTGCCTTGGCTGAAAGCTCGATAAACATTCTCTTCCTTTATCAAGCTAAAGTCTCATAAGCTACTGTATATTTGTAGGTACGGATACGTAGGATATTGGTTTTTAATATCTGTGAGCACCCAATTTAATTCCGATATCTACCTTCTCGCCGGCCCATCCGAAAGCTAACTACGGACTATAGCCTACAGGTGCTAAAGTGGGGATGAGACGGCTTGGTGTCACCAAACGGACCCTCATTCCAAAATCACAGCGTGCCCTCCAGGCTCCGTCCATAAACAGTACCTGACCGGGCGCACTGCAAGCCGAATCCCAGAGAACTCCCCAAGAAATCATTCCATTGCATCATAGGGCAAGTTTTATTTACCGTTGCCCGACCTTCAGCGAACGCATAACGAGGTGGTGTAATTGGCTTGGTTATTCCAGGCCTCATGAACGGCTGACAGAAAACACACAACTAACTAACGGTGTGGATTCGATTCGACTCTACCGCCAGTATTTTCTAGAGTCAAGCTGACCACTGAATTTGTGAGCCGCCATTTGCTAAGATCAGAGGGGGCGGGTAGTTCTTGTCTAGGACTCTTGGACCAAGCGCACAGGGTATCGGATCGTGCACGCTAGAAAACTGGCGGTGCAAGGTTCGCGCACATCGTCATAATTACACCATTATAATTTGAGATTCTGACAAGGAGGGTCAGTTACAAGAGGAGAGTACTGAGTAGTGAGTACTGTACATACACGTACTTACTTCCACTCCACCTTGTCTAGACCTGAACAACACCGTACCTGGGGTATCACTAGCCTCATGGGTGCAAAGCTAGGTCACAAATCAAGATCGAATCTCAAAGTAATCTGAGTGTTGGATCGATGCAAGTTGGCTTCTGTTTCGATTTGAGCTGATCTGTTATTCTTGGGCAACCTATTAACGAGTGAGCGACCGTAAATTCTCTCTCCTTCCTGATTATAGGGGCGCAGAGGGCTCTGATAATATATAAGTAATTGCATCCATCTCAGTTAAGTCAGTGTGCTATGCAACATCGAGTCAAGGTACCTGTCGATAGGGCGGTACCTTTCTCGTACTGTACTGCCTGGAGCATGCTTTGCGCTGGCTACTTCGTGATGGAAGGGTCGCAGGAAATGGCCTGCATATAATCTCCGCTCCATATTTCCCTCCTTCCTCTCCAATCAACATGACTGCGTTCTGCCAGAATTGCGGGTAAGAGCTACGAGTAACTGGAAGTCAGAAGGTGACTGACGATGCTTGCTTGACCTTGCAGATGTTACAAAGCTGGATCCAAAAATCCCCGTAGCTGTTGGCGGCTCTCCGCTGAGATCAGATTGAGTCCAGGATAAGTTACGGAGTACTTCGTAGTAGGTAAGCATTCATGGGAAGCTTCACAAAAAAGAATTTCTTTTTCTTTTTCCATTTCCATTTCTGTTACTTTCACTTCCATTTTGTTCCTTTTCGAAGGGCACATGCAACCACTTGTTACTATTTATGACGGAGATCTCATCCATGATCCATCTCATCTTCGATCCATTGAAATCGCCCTGCAGCGGGTGCTTCGCTGGGGGTGGGAACTCCTAGCGTGATTCATTCCTCTCCAGTCATTAAGTAGTGGTTGAGTTTAGACTAGAACTAGAAGAACCTCGCCCGTGGGAAGGAAAAGCAAGTGGCCGCTGTGTCCCACTGCTGGGGCTTTAAGTGTTGATCGATGACCGGCTCTGGGTTCTGTTGTTATTATTCCTCCATCGTATTATTATTATTATTCTTCTTCTTCTTCTTCTTCTTCTTCCTCTTCTTTTTCGTCTTCCTAACTCTTCTATATTATCCTGCTATCTACCGGTACTGCTAATTACTGCTGTTACTTCCTTTTCCCTTCTCTTCTCTTCTCTTCTACTAATTCACCAAACCCCTTCCTCCCCTCCCCCCAATAATAATAGGCACTGTCGCGCTCACCCTTCCCTCTTCACCTGGACGGGGATTATTGCGATTTGTCCGGGCCACTCAACCTAAGGATTTGGTCGCTGCCGTCAGTTCCCGTCGTGTGTTCTCGCCTCCTCATTCTTTTGCGACATTCCTTTTCAAATCTCGGTTTCCATTCCTTCCTTGAGCTCTTCCCCCGCCTTCAGAGCTGGCTCCAACGCGCTATTGCTCTCACGCCATCTACGCACACAATCATCGCGCCTAGTGTTGCCCTGTAAGAGTAACCTATACAATATCAGTGGTCGTCTCTGTGCCACTTCCCGCATCCGCGCTAGACACCTCAGATCAGACTGTGTCGGCATATCTCTCCTCTCTCTGGATAGGATCTTATCTATCTAGATGTACCAGGCTAGCTGATCCTCCTCGTGCATGATAATGCAGATGGGAGGTCAGGTCACAAGTGATTTCGATGCTGCGAACCTGAGCTTCGTGGTATTTGACGCTGTTCTCTGCGCCCTTTGAGAATGGAGCATGTATCCACAGTAAGTGCCGCGTTCTTGAAAATCAAGAGCTTCGCAGTGACTGCCCGCCTCGCCTGGCATTCATGCTCGCTGCTCAGCGAAAACGTGATCTCTATCACAGCTTTGATCCTCGCTCAGACGCGCATCTGACTAGTCTACGTTCTCTTAGTTATGTGCCATTAGCACCGTCGGTATTGCAGCAACGGGCTTCGCGTTCGGTCGGGTGGATCGAAGCCCCTCCAAGCCCAGCAGGTTCCGTAAGAGGACCCTCCCACTCCATGATCAATGTGCGACGGCGACAGACATACCGGAATCTCCAACCTCGAACTGGGTACACCCAGCTCTGCGCAAGCCGTTCTCAACCGCAGCTGCCGAATCCCCGCTCGAAGCAGAATTCTCCCAAGGCCATGAAGATGGCCATTCTAATACAACCCACCGGGAGGTATCGAAACATTCGAGAAACCCATCATTTGCAGGTGTAAGACTGCGTCGCCGTGGACAAACGTTGGCTGGCCCTCCGCTCTTAGCCAACGATAGCCCTGCCACAGTCTCGCACGTAATCCGGCGACCATCAACCTCCTGGATACGACGACTTTCATTTCAGCCAGAGAAACGTAGCTCATACCAGTCGCCCGTTTCATTGTCACCCAGCGGCCCAGCTGTTCCAGTCAGTCCCCGGACTTCCACGCAGCGCAGGCTTCATAAAATGCTCAAGCGGCCTCTATCGCAACATGCTAACATTCAACCGCCTCTGGACGTCGCCCCACCAAGTCCGTCCACGGTCAATTTCCACAGGCCTGCTACCAGTTATCAGCGATCGGAGAAGTTTGGTCACAAGGCAACACACAGCTTGAATTTCGAACCGAACTTGATGTTGTACTCCCCATCTACCTCTGACAACATTATTGCGCCCTCTGAGGACCATGCATGGCGACCATACATAAGTGCCACCCTGGATGGGCTGTCGGATAGACTTGCTCGCAGATTCTCCGCAGCAACAAAGCCAAGAGATCAAGGACTACGACGAATCGTCCCGAATAGTGGCTCTGTCCCAGCACTTCTTCTGGCTACCTCCATCACGACAAAGCAACCTGCAACGACTAGCGGCCTAGTTGGCTCGAATTCCGACTCACTAGTCCAGTTCCGCGACCCATTTACTTCTGGTGACAAGACTTCGCAACCGCCTGATGATCACATACCACCGGAAAGGGCTGGTTGTGAAGCAGCATCTCGTGCTGAAGACGCAGATCCTCGAAGCCTCTCGACACCTTTCATGCTCACCTCGAGTACGCATAGCTCTGAGCACAGCCCACGGGTATTCCCAAAGAGACGGGCGATTTCGACGCCCCTTCCGTTCGGTATGAGCACGGAAGGAACTATCCTAGCGTCATCCAGACGCCGT